TTGTCAAATTCACTGACCCATCTCTAAATATTTACTGGCCTGAAATTCCCAAAGCTTAAGACTGAGGATTAAAAAAAAAATCACAGGGGCAGCTAGGTGGAGCAGTGGATCAAGCTGCTGCCTTGGAGTCAGGAGGACCTGAGTTCAAATCTGGCCTCAGACACTTGACACTGACTGTGTGACCTTAGGCAAGTCACTTAACCCCACTGCCTAGCAAAATTTAAAAAAAAATCACACTGAAGGATACTAGACTTTCCTCATCTGATTCAGACAACAAGCATTTATTTGTGCTTACTATGTGTTGGGCACCATGCTGAAAACTGGAGATACAAAGAAAGGTAAGAGTCCCCACTTTCAAGGAGCTTACAGACTAAAGGAGGAGTCAACATGTAAAAATGATGTACAAACAAGATAAATTGGAGCTAATCAATAGAGGGAAGACATTAGAATTAAGAGGGACAGGGAAAGACTTCCTGAACATAGGATTTTAGTTGGAACTCAAAGGTAACCAGGGAAGCCAAGAGGGAGAAATTAAGAGGGAGAGCATTCTAGGCATGGAGGGTAGCTAGGAAAAATACCCAGAGGGAAATGTCTTGTGCCAGGTATAAAAAGAGAGCCAGGATCACTGGAGGGGTGGGGGTGTGTGTGTGTGTGCACGTGCGTGTGTGTGTGTGTGTGTGTGTGTGTGTGTGTGTATGTGAGTCAGGAGGAGAGGAGAATAAGGTATAAGAAAACTCGAAAGGTAGGAGGGAGCCAGGTTATGAAGGACTTGGAAGACCAGGCTGAGGATTTTCTGTTTGATCCAGGAGGTGGTAGGGAGACCCTGGAGCTTGTTGAGTAAGGGAATGCCACGATCAGATCTGTGCTTTAGGAAGATCATTGTGAAAGATAAGTGGAACATAGACTGGAGTCGAGAGAAACGTGAGACAAATTATTATAATAGTCCATGTATGAGGTGATAAGGACCTGCACCTGGTAGGTGCCAAAGTCAGAAGAGGAAGGCAGGATATGGAAGAGATTATAGGAAGGTAAAACCAGTATGACTTGGCAGCCCATTGGATATAGAGCATAAGAAAGACTGAGGAAATGAGGATGACACCTAAATTGTAATCCTGGCTGATTGAGAAGATGGTGGTACCCTTGATAGCAACAGTAGCTCAGAACAGGGTTTCTGGGGAGAATGAGTTCAGTTTTGGACACACTGAGTTTAAGTCGCCCATGGTACATCAGTCTGAGACATCCAACAGGTGGTTGGAAATGAGGGTCTGGAAGTTAGGAGAGAGGTTAGGGTTGGATAGCATTCACATAGCACTTTAAGCTTCACAAAGCACTTCACAAATTGATCCTCACACCCCTAGGAGGTAGGTGCTATTATTATTCCCATTTTACAGATAAGGAAACGGAGACAGACGTGATTTTCTCTGGGTCACACAGCTAGTATCTAAGGTGAAATATAAACTGAGGTGTTCCTGACTCTGCCCCACCTCACTCCCACAACCTAGCTGAAAATCATCAGCAGAGATGACAATGGAATCCACGGGAGCTAACAAGACCACCAAGTGAAAAGATGCAGAAGGAGAAAAGAAGAGGGTCGAGGACAGAGCCTCGTGGGACACTCACCATTAGCAAGTGTGACCGGAACTAAGATTCAAAAATGGACACTGAGGAGCGGTCACACAGGCAGAAGGACAACCAGGATACAGTTTCACAAAAATCTAGACAAAAAAGAGTATCCAGAAGAGGGTGACTGATAGCATGCAAGACTTCAGAGAGATCAAGAAGGCTCAGGATTGGGAAGAGGCCATTAGATTTGGCAATGAAGAGATCATTAGTAACTTTGATGAGAGCACTTTAGGTTCTCCTCTAAGGATGGAAGGAAGACTGCAGAGAATAGAGAAGGGAGTGACAGGAAGGGAAGTGAAGGCATTGATTGTAGGAGCCTTCTCAAGGAGTTTAGCCACAGAAGAGATGCAAAACATGGGATGACAGCGAGTAAGGACAGATGATTCAAGTGAAGGCTTTCTGAGGATGAAGGAGATGGTGCATGTTTGTGGGCAGTAAGGAAGCAATCAGACAGGAGGAAACTGAAGTTAAGTGAGGAAGTTGAGATGATGTAGGGGATGATGTGCTGGGCCAGGTGGGAGGGAGTGGGATCACTTGTGCTTGTAGAGGGTTGGCCTTGACAAAGAGCAAGGTCACCTCTTCATGGGAGATGGGTGAAGGAGGAGATAGTGACAGAAGGCATCTGAGTGATGGGAGAAGAGGAAGGGTGGAGGAGGAGTCTCAGACTGGGTAATATTAAAAGCCAATTCCTACATATCCAAAAGAGTACCTCTCACCTGCAAAGATACCTTGGTCTGTGTTAATGGACAAATGTTACAGTGGACTAAGCTATGGCTCTTTTATCATTCTCTGAGCAGATCCACAACAGGCCAATGTGTGTGAATCATGAGGCAGCTAGGTGGCACGGCGGATAAAGTACTGAGCTTGGAATCAGGAAGATTCATCCTCCTGCGTTCAAAGCCAGCTTCGGACACTGCCTAGCTGTGTGACCCTGGGCAGGTCACTTTAACCCTGTTTGCCTCAGTTCTTCATCAGTAAAATAAGCTGGAGAAGGCAACTGCAAACCACTCCAGTATCTTTGCCAAGAAAACCCCAAAGGGGGTCACAAAGAGTCAGACACAACTGAAATGGCTGAACAGCAACAATGATGTGAATCGTGGGGTTATATATCTAGAGTTAAAAGGATCTTACAGCTCATCTACTACAAACCCCTAGTTTTGCATTCAAGGAAACTGAGGCCTAGGAAATTACTTGGCTAGGGTCATCAGTGGAAGTGTCGGGTCTCAAGCTCAGATTTCTTAGCTATAAATCCAGTGTTTCCTCCACTAGACTACAGTTTATGAATTAGCAATATCTTGTTATAGTCTACATTTTCCTCTCTCCTCCTTTTACTGTATTTATATGAATTCTCCAGGCACATCTCTTACAAATCTTCAGTTCAGAGAACATCACAATTTTATATTGCCATTCTGAGGTCTTTCATATTTGTTCCTCACCATAACATCTATTCTATTAAATAATTACATAGTAGAGGTATTATAATTCCTGTTTTACAGAGGCTGGAAAGTAAAGCTCAGAGGCTAATTGGCTTCTCTATGATTATAAGTAAGGAGAGGGGGAGAGAAGGGAATTTGTACCCCCTCCCCAAGGGACTCACAGGTTTGATTACTTTATAAATTCCTAACACCATTTATGTTTCCCTAGGTTATTGAAGTATATCCAGGACATGCAGAGATAATTAATTAGCAAACCTGTTCTCCCTGTTCTTCTAGCTTAATAAGAGCTTGTCTGATAAAATGGTCCAGGAAGCAGAGCCAAGAGGACTCACAGCCTGCAATCCCTGGGATTTTTGGAGGTTATAGCTTGGGAAATGAGTAGTAAGACTGTTGACTGCTTTATTCATATTATTATCTACCTTCTGTTCTCTCTTAAGACTATGTCCTTCTTGTATTGTGTGACCATGGACAAGTAACAGCCTCTCTGAGACTGCTTCTTCATTTGGGAAATCTTGGAAGAAGAACAACACCAGCTTCATCAGGGCGTTATGAGACTTACATAAGAGAACGTGTACAATGTGCTTTGCCAATTCAAAGGACAATAATTATTAATATTACATCATGGGGCCCCAGGTGACTAGGTCCCATGGCCCAGAAGCTTATCAAATTTCCAGATGGAAATTCCAATAGTAGTTTACATAACATAACTGCCAAGACGTCAGAGTGGTTGTTTTTTGCAAACTTCTCCAACCTGAAAAACTTTAAAAAAATTATTACCCAACAAAAATAGTTACTAAAACAGAATCCACAAGACAAGAAGACAGAAATACTGCAAAATCTCAGGAAAACTCACAAAACAGATCACAGCCCTTAGATCCCACTCAGCATTCCCACCCCTCAGCTGACTCTGCATCTTGGGCAAAAACAGCATGGGTCTAGAAGACTGTGCCTCCTGCTAAACCTCAGCCTGAGTGTAGAGAGAGTCATTATCAATAAGCTGGACACTTACTGATGAATCTTCAGCCATGGCAAGACACGAACCAACTAATGGAGAACCTGCCAAAAGGCGGGCATGTCCTCCAAGAGCCCAGGGCTATCTCCAGGATCAAAATGGGGCTTTGTAAGAAGCCATCTACTATGCAGAAGCTTCCTTGCATCCTTCAGATAACTCTGCTCTGAGGTGACTGAGGAGTCCTTGCTTGGATCACCATTTCTCGAGGAGTCCCAGACATGCTGCCCACTGCACTCCTGGCTCAAAGCACTCTCCAGATCACTCCACCTCTCTACCATTTTGCTTGACCTTCACACGGGTACCTTGCTTCTGCTGTCTGATTCCCAGCTTCCCTGAATGGGTTGCCTTCCTCTTTTAGAATGTAAGCTCTTTGAGAATAGGAGCCATATTGTTTTCCTATATTTGTATCGCCAACACTTAGCACAGTGACTAACATTTAAGAAATTCTAATTGCATGTGTTTATGAAATTAGAATTTCTATGTATGTATGTGTACACACACGCACACACACAATGTATGTATATATTAATATGTAGATGTGTGTGCATATATATACGTATATTAGAATTCTAACATATGAATATAGTAGAGAGAAATAATATTTATGTGTATGGATATGGATACATACACACATATAATCCTACACATGGCCTATGTCATCATCTATCAGATTAGATATTTGTAAAGCACTTGGTACAATGCCTGGCACATAGTAGGTGCTTAATACATCCTTCTCTCTTCATTCCCTTTGTTCTGTTGTGTGTGTGTGTGTGTGTGTGTCTGTGTGGAGAGAGAGAAAAGGGTATGTGGTGAAGTCACTTTGTGACTTTGCCTTTTTCAGACTATAGGTGGCAACATTTGCACATGGAAAGACCAGGAATTCACTGAGTTAGCAGAAACAACGATCTTGCTTCCTAGGTTTGGAATACCTGTGTATCTCTTTCTCTGCCCACTTACTTCCATGGACAAGTGGGAAAAATTCAGAAGCAAAAACGAGGAAACTCCTGAACTCCATAGCTGTTTTGTAGTTTAATGGGAAAATGACCATTGTCTGGGATAGGTCTTAGCCTGCAGAGAAACAAAGTTCAGTAACATATTGGTTAATCACCACAAACTAAAATCAGATCTCTAACAAAAGGCACCTAGCCCACACCCCCCACCCCCCACCCCAAGCAAGGAAGGATCTGCAGGAAAAGAGAGAAAGCTAAGCCTGAGGGCATCAGCTTGCTAGAGTTGCTATGCTATTTGTTCTAAAAGGCTTAGAACCTGGGCCTGGGAATTTCCTATCAGTACTCAAGGAGCACAAAATGAAGGTCCTAGGACGAGGGTCATGCTTTTTCTAAAAGTAGTTAAAGTTTAGTATTGTGGTCAAGGATTCCAGAACAACTTCTGAAGTATCTAGCAGAGCAATGATGGGCAATATCCAGTGTAGCAATATCTAGCAACGGCCTTCAGAATAACATTAGGGAACACAGTATCCAACAGGATGCAGTAGAGCAGTGTCTGGCAACATTCAGGATTTTGTTGTTAGTTGTCCATTTAGGTCTCTGTCCTTTGATCGTGTTTAAATTGATCTATATTTAATTGTTTTGATCTATACAAAATGTTTAGAATTTCTAATTTTTTAATATGTATTTATAACTTCTTTGTATATGATCTGTTACTGTAAATGGGCCATATGGTACTGGCAACTATGTATATACCTAAATGTTTGTTAAGAAGAAATCACAGACAATTTGGAACTATGCCCAAATGGCTATAAAAATGTGCATACCCTTTGACCCAGCAACGGCACTCCTAGGGCTATATCCCCAAGAGATCATACAAATGGGAAAAGGAACCACATGTACAAAAATATTCATAGCAGCTCTTTTTGTGGTGGCAAAGAATTGGAAATTGAGAGGATGCCAATCCTTTGAGGAATGGCTGAATAAGTTGTGGTATATGAATGTAATGGAATACTGTTGTGCTATAAGAAATGATGAACAGGCAGACTTCACGTAAACCTGGAAAGACTTGTATGGTCTGATGCTGAGTGAAGTGGGCAGAACCAACAGATCTCTGTACACAATAACAGCCACGTTGTGCAATGACTAATATTGATAAACTTAACCCTTCTCAGCAATACAAGGATCTGAGACATGTCCAGAGGCCTCGGGACGGAAAATGCTGTCCACATCCAAAGAAAGAACTATGAAAGTTGAGTTGCTATTTTTTTCTCTTCTGTTGAGTTTTGTTTCCTCTTTCTGATGGTTCCTCCTATTGGTTTTAATTTTTACTTACAATACCACTAATGTGAAAATATGTTTAATAGGAATGTAAATGTATAGCCTATATGAGATTGTGTGATGTCTCAGGCAGGGTGGTGGGGAGGAAGGGGGAGAAAAATTTTAAACTCAAAAGCATATAGAAGTGATTGTTGATAAATCAAAATAAGTTAATAAAATTTTTAAAAAACATGTATCTTTTAGCCCCAAATTTTTCAAGTTTGTTCAGTTCAGTATTTTCCCTTTTATTTGTTGTTCTAGATTTGTCAAGCTCTGAAAGAGGAACACCAAATTCTCCTTCTACTGCTGTATTACTACGTCGTTTTGCAATTCAGTCAACTTTTTCTCTCTGAGCTTAAACGTTCTCTCAATTTGTGCATACAGGTCTAACATTGATATCGGTTGCCTTGGGTAATTTCCTTATCTCTGTTTAGGTAAATCTTTATTTTGATTCCATGACTGATTCTCGTTTTTATAGTCTTTGTTTTAGGTGTTTCTTGTAAACACCGGATTGTGGGCTTGGACTTTCTTTGCCATTCTAGGCCACACACACTTAGAGTTATGTAAAAATCAACATTTAAAGTTGTTCTCTTTCACGTAGTTCCCCAGTATAATTTTTCTAGTTGTTGTTGCTCAGTCATACCTCACTTTTCACAACACCATCGGGGGTTTTCTTGGCAGAGATACTGGAGGGGTTTGCCATTTCCTTCTCCAGCTCATTTTACATGGGAGGAAACTGAGGCAAACAGGGTTTAGTGACTTGCCCAGGGTCACACAAATTTGAATTCAGGCCTTCCTGACCTTTCTTCCATGGAACTTACAAACCACTGAGAAGGGTCCAGGCAAAGTGCTATGAAAAATCTGAGGTAATCACTTTTGTAACAGGGATAGGGAGTAAAGAAAATAGGGGCAATTTTTTTGAGGAGGAGGAGAAGCAGCCATGTCAGGCATTAAAGAGCCAGATCAAAGCCATCGTAGTGATGGGAGGTAATGAGTAAAGGCAAAGAGACACAAGGCAGAATGTCAGATTGTGACAGAGAATCATCAGCTTTTGTTGGCAACAGAAACAGTGAAGAACAGTGGGAGAAAAGGCTAGAAAGAGGCACTGAAGTCAACTGTGGAAGGCCTTGGAATGTTGGATTATGGGTTCAGATTTTATTTTGTAGGCAATGGCCAGCCATTTTCTTTTTCTTTTTAAATGGGAGTACTATCAGGTGGTGGGTTGGAAAGATAAATTGGGAAGTGATGTGAAAATTTTGGGAAAGGACTGGATTACAAACACAAGATTAGTGTAGACAGTAATAAAACACTGATCTCTCACCTTGTCTCAAGTTAACTTAGCTCTAAGAATTTCTTTTGAGGCAAATTTTGTCATTCTAGACTTTTTAAAATCTTCTCCTGCTAAACCTCCAACTTACTTAGAACTCACTAGGGCAGAGGTGTCAAGCTCAGGGGAACCATTTATATATATGTGTAAAATACAATTGTGAAATGTTTATAAAAATAAAACACAACATAGATAACATAAATTTGTGGTTTTCTAAGTCAATATGCAGCCCTCACAGATGTCTGTTTGAGTCTGACACCACTACACTCCAGCACCCTTTAATCTTGCTTCTAGGTATAAACACAAAAAAGGCGATTACTCTATTTCTCCCTTGCCCCCACCTACGATATCATGGGATGCAAAGCATATGATACTGGTAGTCTGATGTGAATACTAAGCTCAAGCCCACGACTACAAGATAAGCCATTTAACCTCTGGGCCTACTTGCTCATTTATAAAATGGTGGTCCAAACCAGAGGGCGATAATTCTCTCAATTCTCTTGCTAGCATTTTCTCTACTCTTTCCTCTTCTTCAAAACACCTGAGTTGTTCAACCTTTCCTGAAAAGTGTGGAACCGCCAATAAAACTTGCTCCCCTCCCTTTGCATCTTAGCAGAGATGTCCAGATTTATTGAAGCGTGAAGAAGAAGATAACACCAACTGCATTATTTCAGGGAAGACTTGAGAGGCATGATTCCATAAGGTTGGTTTTCTTATAATTTTTACATCTATTACATTCAACCTAACATACAGTTAGTCTCTCTGCAATACTACCACTTACTATTTCAATAGATGCTTTTCTTTCAGAGAAGTCAGTTCTCCATTTCAGATGTGTGGGATTTATTGATACTTTTCTTTTGCAATTCAGTTTTAATTGTTTCCTGAAATCCCAACAAATTCCACCCACTCATCCTTCAGATATAAAACAAGTTTTCTTTCCACAATCCAACCACCCAAGCTTACTTGGCTAGAGCTTCCCTCGTCTACAACACAAGCGTCGTATACTGCCACAGCAGTTTAAACCCTAACGGCGTCGTACAGCACGCAAGAGAGCTTCCCGTGAAGAATCGTTAGCAAAATCTTAACCTTCCATTTTTAAGTGATGCAACTGTCAGATTTATTCCAGTCACTGAGGAAGAGGTCATTTTCTTAAAAAGAATTTGGCATAGAAGGCAGCAAAGAGGTCCTTATAAGGAGTGTCTGACTGCGATCTTGTCTGTGGTATGTGGCAGAGCTGGCGAAATCCCGGGGAGCGCAGCAGCAGGTTCTGCAAGAGGCCTAGGAAGCTGGAGCAGAACCAGTATAGCGCAATGGACTGGAAAGAGAAACAGACATGAGCATCAGCACCAAGGACACCCAGAAGAGCAAGCACAGGTGGTGCCGCTCCCTCCTGGCGTATTGCTCTGCCGGCTGCGGAGCCGATGCTGCATTCCGCGTCCGCCCCACAAAAAATGCCTATGTCCGTCAGGCTGGATGACCGCCCAGCTGGGTGTATGTGCGCTCCATCCATCCCCAGACTTGCCCTTCTACGGCATTCTCCGAGGGAAGCCAGGACAAGCCACCAGGATGGCCCCTTTCTGGCCCGTTCAGGAAGCAGTGTGTACCAGCCACACGCAGCCATCTGGCACCAGCTGCCCTGTGGCTTGAGTCCTCATGGGTGTTTCTTATCCTTTTATGTGTCTCATCTCCAGGTATTATTTGAGCTCCCTGGGAGAAGGGACTATGCGGCTTTTTTCTATTTGTACTCCTTGTGCTTAGCACAGAGTAAGGCTTATTAATGGCTTTTTATTCATTCATTCCATCTGTTCTTTAATCTTGTATAAGGAATCACCACAAAACAATGACATGCAGAAACCAAGTATTTTTTGATGCATAGAACTACTGAAAAATGACCACAAAACATTCTTTAAGTATAATGTTAGCCATCAACATCATCTGATTTGTATTTTGGCCAAATATACGAATTAATTAATCAAAAAGCATTTACTGAATTCCTAATATTAGGAATGTTCAGCATTCTCTCAGGCACTAGAGGGATACAGAAGCATCCCGTTTTTGTCCTCAAAGAGCTTACAACTCAGTTGGAGAGACAAGATCAAAACTCAGGAAGCAACATCAAATATCAGAACATTACTTTCTGCATCATATGACGAAATACTAAACTGTATTATAGCTTTATTATTGAAAGGCAAGTGGCGTGTGGAGCCTACAAAGAGCTGGGCTGGTGTCAGGAAGGCGGGGTCCAGTCCTACCCCTGGACAAGAGTGCTGCCTGGGGCACTCACAGGGGACACTGGGTTCAGAAGAGATGATGACCTGGGCCAGCAGGCAGAGTTTTCTCACCAGGATCACCTTATGAAGAAGAAATCCTAATCCTCAAACTCTATGGTTTAGACTCCATCTGATTTGGTAGTTTAATGAACTAATCACACTGAGGGTAAGTAATTAGGATGGGCAATCCAACAAACATTTATTAAGCAACTACTATGTGTAAGGCACCGTACCGGTTGCTAGGGATGGGTACAAAGAGGGAGAAGTCGAGGTTCCCAGGAAACGAGGCACAAAGCCACACAGACAGGCTGAGGAGGAAGTGATAAGGTCAGGCTTCATGCAACAGGTCAGACTCGAGTCAGGCCTCTTGAGATTTAACAAACACCATTTCACCGAAACGTACAGCGCACTCACCGTTCTAGATTACTTACTGAGGGCACAGTTGCAGCAATGGGAATAATCAGCACAGATATTCCACGAGCAAAATGTGTGACATACTTGTGAAAGCGGGACATTTCAAGTTTTTGTAATGCAAAAATCTGAAGGGGAAGAAAACACAGACATAAGAGGCAAATCAAATTAGATAAATTTTGACTAAATTTTGCACTTCATAAGAAAGGTAAATAAATTTTTAAAACTTGAACTCAATCCTTCTGTCATTACAGAAAACATGTTCAATTAGCTATCTCTCTACTCAAAAAAAAACCTTATTAAACAGCCATCTGCAATCTCTAAACAGAGGATTTTGACTTGCTACCAATAAGAAACTATGCCACCTAAAAAGAGGTTTGTTTCAATATTTAAGTTTACAATAAGTTTCCTTTTCTTTTCTCGTTTCAGTCCAAAAGAAAAAAAAATAAAAATTAAAAAAATAAAATAAAATAAAAAGCACTAGCAACTAGGAAAAAAAAAAAGAAAAAAGAAAAAGAAGTTAGTAGTCTTTAGAGAATGAAGAGCCTCCACCCCTGCTGTTGCATCACTGAGGACACAGAGCTGGGAGGCAGTCCAAACATGTTTATGTAACCCGAAGAGTAAAATTATTAGCTTCCCTGACCTCCGGTCCTTTCTCCTGCTCACTCCTTACCCATCTGCGCTGCCATCCTTACTCTTAAATAACGGCAGGTGCTCAGTAAAAGCCCATCACTACGGGAATGCAGACAACCAGCCCTGACCATGGCCGTGTCATCTCTGTAGAAAAGATGGAAGGGTGACAGGGCTGTGCCAGGTACAGAAGCAAACGGCTGCTTAGCTGTGATCAGGGGCTGCGTGGCAAGGGGGGAATCAGGCCCGGAACCACTGGGTGATCTGTGCCAATGCTACCTTTGATGATCCTCCTTCTGGGCCGAAAGTAACGCTTTGTAGAGGGTCATCTCTGTCCATTTCTATCTCGTGTGTGGAGCTGCAAGAACATTTCAGAGATCTGCCACGATTTCATTTAGCTGAAATAATGAATGCGGGCTTAATTCTTTCCCCATGCCTAGACTCTAAGTGAATGATAGCCGTTATTTTTGTAGACCTTCATTTTTCCTCGAGTTGCTTTTCATTCAAGTGCTATAACTGACTGTGTTCCCTCAATGTACAAATGGACGCTCTGTGTACGTGGGTACACACTCCACAGTCTGAGTCCTATGTCCTAACAGTTGTGACATGAGCCCAGAAACATGACAACTGATCTAGTTAATCCATTGTAATTGGGGCTGAAATGAGGTGAATGATCTTTAAAGGCTGAAAAGGTTCTCAACACCCACAACAGCATCAAATTTTTATTATCTGAAGAACAGAGCTGAAAGTCTCTTATGCACAGATGTTTGTGTAATTGAAAGAAAAATATTTGCAGGTCACAGTTTCATTTTCATTTCTCCTTCCTGAAACATTTCTATATATGAAGATACAGCTAGATATATTAATATTTTCCTCAAAACTGTTCCATAACACAATGCCAACACATAGCTGAGATGACATTTTAAAATGTGTACTTTCTTATACATACATACACACACATATACATGCACACACACATACATACACACATCTTTATATCAGCATAGTCTGAATGTCTATAAATATGCTCAAATCTTCTGACTCTTTGGAAGTCTCCATTTCCTTACTACCCACCTTCCCTCTTCCCACCCTCTCAATCTCTGCAATATGGTTTCTGCCTCCCTTATTCTACTGAAACTGCTTTCTCCAAGGTCACTCGTGAAAGAACCCCTAAACCCAGCCGCCGCTTCTACTTCTCTGCAGACTCAAGCCGTTGGTCGCCCGCTCCTCCCAATGTGGACGTTTCTCTTCCTGGGCTTCTCACCTTATCCAATGGGGCTCCTCTCTCTCTCTGTCTCTCACCTACTTTTTCCTTTCCTGACTCTTTGATGTGGGTGTTTCTCTAGGCCTGCCCTTTGCCTTCTCTCTTCACACTCTCTGCCTCTGAGATTTCAATGGACTCCAATGGCTTCAATTTCAATTACCACCTTTACACAAGGCCAGTCCTGAACTCTGGTCTCCAGCAGCACACAGGACACATGGGACGACAGACCTAGCCCGAGGAGGGATCTCAGAGGCCTCTCATCCAACCCCCTCATTTTACAGGTAAGGAAACTAAAGCCAAAGAAGACTAAGTGGCTTGCCCAAGGTTACACAGGTTAACAAGCATCAGAGGCAGGATCTGAACCCAAACCCTGGGACTTTGGAGCCAGTACCCCACAATGCCACTCATACCTACCCAGATGCCTGACCACTGCCTCCGACTGAGCTGCACCACTGCACCCCAGACTTGAGTGCTTTCCAAATCCAACTCCCTCACTTTGCAGACATTTTATGAAGCAGACGCAGAGGGAGGGTCACACAGGTAAGATTGCACCTGGTCTTCTTCCTTATTCCAAGCTTCAATCCATGACCCCATGCTACTCTCAGTCTCACCCCTAAACCCGTCCCCCACACCCTGCTGCACCATCACAGTGTCTTGGAGACGACGGCTTCCCAGGAGGACGTTATTTCCCCTTTTTATTCTCCTGCTGTTTTCTTTAGGATATTATTTCCCTCTCTCACAATCTATTTTGAAGCCAAACTGGCCTACCCGGTGTTCCTCAATTTCGTATTTGCTCTCTTTCCTTTGCACAGGCCTCCGCTTCTGCCTGGGATGCAGGCCCTCCCCTCCTAACCAATCCGTCGATGCCTCCTCTCATCACTCAGTATTTATCTATCTGGGAGCATGCTGTATGCCCCCTTTCCCTAGTATAACGGAAGGGCCATGGCAGCCAGGCCTATTTCATATTGTCTCTGTATCCCCAATGCCTATGTACGCTTCAGACAAGGCACTCAAAGCGCCCTGTAAACTCTGAAATACTCCATATGTGTGAGCTATCAGTATTACCATGCATGTTACAAACATTCCTTTACCTGATTAGTGACCTACTGACACTCTTCATCTACATTAATCATTTTCTTGCCATTATAACTTTAAATGACTTCATTATCTGCAAACCAAGACTTTAAAGAAGTCTGTTGGCTGGTCTAACACACAAACACACATATAACACAAAGTTTTCAAGGACTACTTTTCTATTGTTCAACTCGTCCTCAATGTACATTTAACAACAACAAAAAAAATCCCTCCATCTAAACAATTTACCTCCACTATTAACAAATTCAGCATACCAACTGAGATTGGTAGAATCCATGTGGAATCAAGCAGGGTGAGGTCCGGAAACCACAGGACTCCACCTGTTGAAAATTGTTCCCGAATAGAAAAGCCTCCTGAAAAAGATATGTTATATTTTTACAAACTGAGAGATTATAATTCTTATGAAAAGTAGAAACAGAAAACGTGTGAACTGAGGTGACTCATGTGCTAGTAGAGTTTTTATTTTGGACTAAGATTATTATTAGCCCACAAGTTTTTTCTTTTTCTTTTACATTTTTTGCCTAATTTTTTCCCCAGGTTGTGGGATTATATGAACTTAAAGAGCTGTTTTACCTTACACTATTTTTTTTCCCTCCTTGTGTGTTAAAGGCAGAAAGTGGAAATTTTTCTTGCCTGGTATACTTTTAATAAAATTATTTTTCCATACTACTGTGTTATAAGAAATGATGAACAGGCTGACTTCAGAAAAGCCTGGAAAGACTTATATGGTCTGATGCTGAGTGAAGTGAGCAGAAAGAGGACTTTGTACACAATAGCAGCCACGTTACGCAATGACTAAGAGTGTTAAACTGAACCCTTCTCAACATTACAAGGATCTAAGACACTTCCAGAGGCCTCAGGATGGAAAATGCTGTCCACATACAAGGAAAGAACTATGGAAGTCGAATTATCATCACTTATTTTTACCTTCTGTTGAGTTTTGTTTCATCTTTCTGATGGTTCCTTCTATTGGTTTTAATTTTTACTTACAACTTCACTAATGTGAAAATATGTTTAATGGGTATGTAAATGTAAAGCCTATATCAGATTGTGTGCCATCTTGGGGGGGGAGGAAGGGGGAGAAAAATTTTCAACTCAAAAGCATATGGAAGTGATTGTTAATAAATCAAAATAAAAATAAAATTAAAAAAAAGAAAAAAAAGAAAATTATTTTTCCAGTTAGGAATCAGAATTAAAGAAGTGATATATCAATTCTACAGTGACTCAGCCTACAAAAGAATCACAGGACTGGAAAGGAGCTCAAATGCTACTTAGTCCAAAACTTACCTAACAGGTCAAACAATGACCAAGTGGGGCTTAGCCAGAGACCTACTGTTGGCCAATCAATGAGAGTCAGAGCGATCTGGGTTTAAGGCATGGTCTTTAAGAACAAAATCTAGCCAAAATCTAGGTATGTGAAGCCCAAAATGTCTTGGGAGGTTTCAGAGATCAAAATGTACATTCCTTGGCTCAGAGTAAAAGTAAACAGCAACTGTTTCTGTTTTGGCCAGAAACCCTGAGGGTCTTCCCCTCCCAGATGGATTTTTTTTTTTGACTAAGTAAAAGAGGCCATTCTCAGCCTCCAGTCTTACCTAGCCTTAATCACTGAATGGGCATTGCCTCAGTCGAACTGAGACCTGTTAAAAGAGCTTAGCTTGTTAAAAGGCCAAGGTCTCCTATTGCATCCAGGGCCATCTCCAGTTGCCCTAATCCATATCTTGCCACTGGACCCAGATGGCTGTGGAGGAGAAAGTGAAGTTGGTGACTTAGCACAGCCCTCCCTCACTTAAATCCAATTCACTTTCATGTCATGGCATCACCTCCCTTTAAGACAACAATCTAAACGGAAATGCCCTCTGCATCCCTGACAATGGCCATCCATTCACTGAGTCATGTGGCACATAGGAAATCCGACGCCCCTTGAAACAGTCCATTTCATTTGGGGAAGGTCCTGATTCTTAGGGGCCTCTTCCTTACCGTCTGCAAGTTTCCAGCCATTGCTACTTGAATGCTCTGGCCCGAGTCCATGCAGAGTCAGACTAGCTTCTCTTCCCCATGACATTGCTTCAAATATTTGGAGTCTAAAACGTTCATCATCATACTCATACAGCCACCTTACTTCACACGTCCCCTCTGAGTGCCCTCCTGCTTGCTAATTTTCTTCAGGAAATGTGGCACCGAATTAAGCATAGCTCCAAATAGATTCTGCCCTGATCAGATCACGATGGAATTATGATGTCCCCTGTGCTGGACACAAATCACTCATGCTTTGGCTGCCCTATCGCTGTTGCCTCTTAACGAGCTTGTAGGACCCTAAAACCTGCAGCGAGTTATCAGGTGAACTGCAATCTAGCCAAGCTACTTGCCAAGTAAAGTGCTTTACAAATATCCCAGCATTTGATCCCAATAGCAGCCTTATTGTCTACTATGATTATTCTCATTTTAGAGTGGAGGACACTGAGGCAGACAGAAGTGAAAAGACTTCCTCAGAGTCACACAGCTAGTAAATGTCTGAGGCCACATTTGAACTCAGATCCTCCTGACTCCAGGCCCAGAGCTCTATCCACCATGTTGCCAAGGTGCCTAATCCTCATTTCTAGGTGCCTTCAGGTAATTTCATGCAGTGGGTGAGATGAAATAAATGACTGGAAACAAAGGATCAAGCTTCTGAGCACACTGACTCATTAAGCAACGCATGGCAAGGCAAAGCCATTGCCAAAACAAATCAGGACTAGGAGCCTTCCTCAACTTTGGAACTGGACCCCAAATTCAGATTTTTATACGGTAAAAACAAGTAATCAAATAAGACTAACTAACTAAAAGAAAACAATTAAGCAGGACACAAAATTAGGGAATCTGATTTCTAATGGAAGGAAAGATTAGCAACTTTCCCAGTTGGGAGGAAGAGAGTGAACAGGTGCAGTTCCCTGAATTAATAAGAAGAGATGCCCTACTCCTCCCAAGCATCTGTAAACAATCAAGGGGACATGACAACAACAACAACTGATGGACCAGGACGGGGCCAGTTTTCAGAGAAGACGCATGGGCTGCTCGAGATGTACTGGGAGAGAACACCTTGCACCAATCTCCGCATGTGACTGGCTTTCTGGTCAGTATAACCTAGGCCTTAGTTAGGGGTCTCTAGGCAGCAGGCAGAGCTGGTCCAGCTTCCCAGCCTCGCAGACACAGGCTCAAAAATGCAATTAGGTTTTCTCCCAGTTCCCACAACTGAATAACGTTTTCTCTCAAGACAGAGTTGGGCTAGACCCATAACTGGATTGAAAGGGAACTGAGGTAGCTCCAGAAGCGAGTCACAAAATGGGAGTCAGCACAGTTCAGTCCATTCCCACAATTAATCACTTGCTGTCCTACTCCCCTCAATTACCTAAGCTGAGGAAGGGGCCTGGTTCTGATAAACTGAAATGCTCAGAAGCTTGCACCTTTGTTCCCTCAGTCATTTCATCTCCTACCTGCCACAATCACTTGTTACCTTGTATATTCCTAGGAATGAGAGGTGTTTCTTGGGCTTGATAAATCTCAGCTGTCATGACTTAGATAACATACCTTGGGATGACAGCAGACCTTTGTCTATGCTGGTTCAACAGGGAGATAGTCTCCAGGAGGGAATCACAATCATATCCTCTATTAAATAAACCCTCCCCAGCCACCATGACACCTGAGATCCACATCATCATTCCTTGAATCATAAGACAGAACTGCCTATTGGCTTTATCTGGATATCTTTATACCATTGCTCCCCTCTAGCCACTGAAAACAAAAACAAAAAAGCCCTGTATTATGCACACAAATGCTTTAGAAATTTAAAAGCATCTTATGTTACCAAAGGGACATGAGAATTAATATTTATAAATCACACAGTAAACAATGTTATTACTTTTTATCATAATATTAAAACAAGAAAATAATTTTTTGGTAAAAGCAAAGAGGGATAATGTTTTGAGAGAAACCGTGTTTTTTAAATGATCACCTTCTGAATCCGTTATCCCTAGACTGAAGTTCCGCAAGGCAACAGACATAAAGATCCACATTGGTATCTGAATCCATACCAGCAGAGTGGCTTTGAATGGGTGACAATTATCCCGAATATACAGCTCTGAAACAATCCTCCTCATGTTGTTCAGGTAAGTGAGCCTGAATGAAGAGAGATGAGAGGAAGAAAAAGTCATTTAAAATTCATTTTTAAAAAAACTCCTGTAATAAACAACAACCCAAGTTAGCATCTCATATCCAGAGCAAAAACTAAGTTGATGCTATATAGTTTTCTAGTCTTCTATTACCATACACTTCATAAGGGGTCATCTGAGCAAATGTCAACTAAGAAATTTCATTTTTAAATCTTTAATAATCCATTTAATTTACATCAAAGTTTATTAGTAACTTGTTATAATCGATGTGAATAACGTTGCTGTTAAAATTCTTACTTCACTAGATCTGATTTAAATTATAATAAAGATTATTTGCAAATGAAAAGATACATTAATGAAGCTATTAGTCTTCAAAAACACATTAAAATGTGTGAAAGGCTGAACGTTTTCCTGGTAAAAATGTGGAATGTCTAAGGATAGTTGCTAACATCATTCAGACATTGTGTTCAAAATTTGTCTTTTACAGTCTGCATTTAGTTACTAAATTATATTAAATTAATATTTAATAAGTGTCTCTTATGTGGAAATTATCTTACCTACTTAGTCTTTTTGACCATCCCAACTGTTTTGCTCGAAGTGCAATGTCATAATTAAGATTTTTTGCAATCATTTTTATTTCTGGTTGCAAATTTTCCACCTAGCTAAAAAGAAAGTAGACTTTGTTATGAACACATTTAAAATTTTTATCTACAGTCACTTGTGCTTCTTTTTCCCTATATCCTGTTTTATTTTCAAAAAAGTAAACATTGCACATGCATAACCTTAGGTCCCACTACAAGAAAGGTTAATCTAATTGAGAGGATAAAAAACAAGCACCTCACAGAATGACTAGACACAAAGAATAATGACTGATGGATGGATTTCAACACAAGAGATTTCTATTAGAAGATCGCAGGGTTCTGTCCTTGGCCTAATTCTGTCCATCATTTTTAACAATGCCTTTTTTCTATTATGGCATCAATAAACATGAACAGAAGAGAACTGCATATGAAACTATGAACTTTCACCAGGTTTTAAAAATCTATATTAACTGCAACATGACAGGGCCCAGACTGTCCTCTCATTATCTGTGCTTCTCCCCAACTCTGCTCTGCAATCGTTCTATTTTCTCATGTTTTCTTGATGTTCTTCATTCGGCGGCATTACTATCATGACCCACCTACGCTTCCCGAAATAAAATGAACGCGGGGGAGCATTCATCACTCCTCACACTGAAACAAATACCAGCCCTCTCATGTAACAAGTATTGCCAAACAGAACAAATCCACACATTGACTGCGGCTGAAAACACGTCCTTTCTATGTACTTCTAGTCCATTATCTCTGTGCCAAGAGGGGGGAAAACATGAAAATGACACCTAATAAGAGGGCTTTACGGTCTGCAATTTTAACCATTTGAAAAGGTTTATCATCAGTCTTCTGGAGTCATAATTGGTTAATGCACTGACAGAGTTGTAAATCCTTTCAAAGTTATGTTCTTTTACATTACTGTAGGGACTGTATAAATCGTTCTCTTGATTCTGCTCACTTCACTGCCTCAGTTCACATTCATCTTCTCAAGATTCCATGAAACCATGCTCCTGCAGAATGCTGACAGCACCAGCCTTTCATCACATCCACAAACCATAATTTGCTCAGTCACCATTTCCCAGCCGGTGGGCGACTGCTTTGCTTCCAGACCCTGATCACAACAGAAAGCACTGCTATGTTTCTGTACACATGGGTCCCTTCCCATTCTTTCTTTGATCTTTGGAAAGTCTATGCCTAATAGAGGTACTACCAAGCTGCTTTCCAGACTGGTTAGACAAATGCACAGCTCCACCAACGCATCAAGTCTGCCTGTTCTCCCAGGGCTCCTCTAACAATTTCTCTTTTCCATTTTTGTCATCTTTGCTAATCTAATATGCATGAAGCGGCATCTCAGAGCTGTTGCAAGTTATATTTCTCTTCTTATCTCTGATTTCGGGCATCTTTTTATATAGCTGTTGATAGTCAGACTTCCTTCCTTTGAAAACTGCCAGGAAGGGGACTCTAGTAGTATCAGATGTCACATAACACTACAAAGCAGTAACCACCAAAACAATGTGATAACTGACTAAAAAATAGAGAGGTGAATCTGCTGCACAGATCAGGTACGTAACATACAGGAAGAAATTAAGCCAGCAACCTTGTGTTCAGTTATCTCAAAGACCCTTGTTATTGGAGTAAAGAGGCCTCCCTATTTGACACAAACAGTGAGAAAAGTAGACAGCAGTCTGGCGGAAATCAGGTTTAGGCCAACCTCGGGCACCACCCACCAAGACAAACTCCAACATTCTTCATGCCCCATTGGTCATAGCCTAAAACAAATTAGAGGAAAATGGAAAATATTACAATTCGGATATAGGTACAGGTTTAGGGTTCACGACCAAACAAGGGACAGAGAGGATCACAAGAGATAAAATGGACAATGTTGATTACATACAATTAACAAGTTTTTGAACGAAGAAATCCAATGTAACTAACAGTGGAATGGAAAAAACTGGGAAAAAAATCTTCCGCAGCAAGCTTTTCCAATGCCCTCATTTCTGAGGAATAAGAAACTGATTATAATTTATGAGAGTAAGAGCTATTTTCCAGTGGATAAATGGTCAGGGGAGACAAACTGCAAGTTCTGAAGGGGTGAAATTCAACTACTTATAGTCATATTTTAAAAATGCTCCAAATCACTATTAGAGACCTTCCAATTGCATTCCACCTCACGCCCACGTGAACGGCAAAGCTGACAACAAAGGAAAAGAAGAAATGTTGGAGGGCTTGGGGAAAACTGGCACGCTGATGCACTGCTGACGGCTGGGGCTGTGAACTAGCACAGCCGTCCCAGAAAGCGCCGTGGAACGGCGCCCGAAGGTTACTACCACGCGTGTGCCCGTACGTACCTGCACACGTGAATACGTATGCACGCACGTACATCCCTACTTCTGCACAGCTGCGAGCTCAGCTCCCGCTGGGGGCGGGGCTCGAGCCCACACACAAGGACAGATGCCGCAGGGGGCGGGGCTCGAGCCTGCGCACGAGGGCGGATTTGTCGGGGCGCGGCTAGAGGCTGAGCTCGCAGAGGGCGGGGTTGTCTGGCTCTCCTCCCCGCCCCGCGCACGCGCGCTCACCTTGGCCAGGATGTAATGCTGGTAGGCGGCTAGGGGCAGCGTGACAGCGCTCCTCAAGGCCGTGGTGGTGACGATAATGCTGGCCCACCACGGCAGCCCGGTGGCGTCCTGCGCTCCCAATAGCACCGCCTCCGCCCAGTGTGCTGGGGCTGACGTGGCCAGGGTCTCGTACCAGCCCCCGGCCCCGGCCGGCCCCGCGGCCGCACCATAAGCACAGGCGGCCACAGGCAGGAGGGGGTTGGGGTTGCCCAGCGGCTCACCCCGCCCTGCCGGACAGCCTCTGCTCCCCAGGAGGGCGGGTAAGAGCCGCCTCCGCAGCTGCTGCCGGGCACCACACAGCATCGTAGCCAGCAAACAGAGCCGTGCCCCTTTGCGAGCCGAAGGCGTCCTCCCTACTTCGTCCGGGGCAGAGAGCGAGTAACGAATCCTGGGCCGCCGCAGGGCGGAAGTCCCTCCCTCCGCTTACGTGCGGGGTCAAGGAGCTCCACCGCGCACGCGCAGCATAGGGGAAGAGGCCGGATTGGGCCAGACTCAGAAGGCTTGAGCTTGGGGGCGGGCACGTGGGGTGAAGAGCTCAGCTCGATTTTGAGGGAGCTTCGGTTCCGACTGCGTGCGCGGGCTTCTGCTGTGGCAGGGGGAGGGGAAAGGCCCCAAGTTTGTACGCTCTGAGTATGGTCGAGGATCCCCTTGTTCGGCCGACGCCTTGGGGAATAAGGCATTTGCTAAGCGCTGCCTTAATTAAGCTGGGCGCAGCTCTGCTCGCGAGGGGCTCACGTTTGAAAAATAGAGAGCACGTTTTGATGAGCGTCTGCTGTTTCTTCCGTCGTTGTAGGTCCTTGTCCCCGGAGCCCGCGTCCTGCTGGAAGGGGAGGGAAGGATCCCGGGGCTGGAGCTGTAAACGCTTCCGTCTCCCGTAGTGCCTGCGTTTTGGGGGGTCACTGGAAGCTGTGTCTAAGGGGATTAGGAAGGGAGTCAGCTGGCAGGCGACTTCGCTGTGCCCCTCATGACCCCCGACCCCCAAGGCCTCCGCGTCCTGCTGCCCGCCTTCCCTCCGCACGATGCCCATTGTGCCCCCTGTTGGCGCCATTGTCTCCCCCGTTAGACCGCCGGCGCCTGAAGCGCTCTCTTGCTTTTCTTTGTGTCCCCGGCGCTTAGCATCGACCTGGTCGTGTACACAGTAGGCGCTTAATAAGTGTTTCTGTAGGCTCAGATTTGGAAGGGACCCCAACTGACCCAAACGCAGGACTGAGCACAGGGTAGGGGTCTGCGGATGAACTCGACGCTGCCATGTTTTTTTTCAACGTGTATTTAAAATTTGGTTTCCTACTGTGCGCAAGGGCGTTTTGCTGCAGGTGGAGGGAGCGGGGTTTTCTCCCCTGGATGAGGACGGCAGTGCGTTGGGGGTGGGGACTGTGGTCAGTACAGACTTTCTTCCCTCCCTTATTTTCACCAGCATCATAATTAAAAAGTTAGACGCTTATCCTTTTACCAGATTTTGAATACACTGGGGACAAATAAACGTCTTAGGCACAGGAGGTGCTTGATAGGTTTATTTTGTTGGATTCTTGGGATCACTTAAATTTTCATACCAAATAAGCTACTTCAGTCCGTTTTAGGCTTGCCTGAAGCAGCCCGGCTGAAGGAGTGATATGTTAAGGGCAGGAGTTTCTGGTTGACCTTGGATCTGAAAGGCGCTACAAAGACTTATTCCGGACATAATGGTGTCATTTGGATTTAAAACCACAGCCCCAAACATTGGCAGTCATTGCAATGTATTTTCTAGCAGAAAACATTAATTGCATTATGTTGAGTGCAGCCTTACACTTTCAAATTAATTTCAGTTATGGCATTACTGAAAAATCTGCACGCTCAATATTCGTTTATCTCGACGTAGGTAAGGGTTAGAAGCAGTAACTGGTATACGATAAGAGGAAACAGACATTGATTTTTTAGGAGTGTACTGTCTAGTATTCTTTCCACCTGGCACGATCAGGCTGTAATTTAAGATCCAAAATCATTGTACAAATGAGTCAATGTGGCAAAAAGGTGCTCGTGATTGCTGAGAATCTGCTAGGTTGTTAGAGCTGTTCTCTTGTGGGAAAATTACGGAGCAGAGTTACCGAAGCAGATGATCTGCATCTGGCTGCAGCTAGCAACACAAAGACCATCTACTTAGAAGAGCAGATCGGTCTCTGTTCACGCTGTCATACGGTGAAATGACGTCAGTCATAAATTTGGAGTGCAAGAACATAACGTGTGAACAAAACAATTGTATTACAATTCATTTAAATACCTGAACTCAGACATTTTGCATTGTAACTTTTAAGTGTTAACCTAAATGCTAAGTATTTTAATGTTTGTAATTGAACCTAGATTATAGTGGATGGGGAGCTGGCCTCCAAGTCAAGAGGACCTGGGACCTGGGGTCAGGTGTTGCCTCCGACACCCCTGCTTGTATGTTCCCAGAGTCAGTTAACTTTTCTGTAACCCAGGCTAAGCCTATTAAGCCGTGGAAAGTCGTGCTCATCTTTACAGGTAAAGGGAGTTTCCTACACTTTTGAAATCACAGGGCTGGTGAAAAAAATTAATTAACCACAATCTTTTATTGATGTTGTATGTCAGCACCTCCTATAAGTTTAACTGATGTTAACAGTTGTAACAATGAGAATGCCAAACGCCATAAAGAAGCAATCAACCCAACAATACATTCAGGAAAAATGGATGAAGAACCCTATTGCCCAGAATATCCCATGAAAAATGGACATGTAATCCAGGGTCCCTTAGAGTAATAACTACCTGTCTTGGGCACAAACAGCAAATGGCCAATTAGGTGGACTCAAAACTGAAGAGAAGGGAAGCAGGCAAGGGGCATTTGGGAAACTGCATGTACTTTGTAACAATGATGAGCTGCTGCCTGAAACAAAACGTAACAATATTCTCTCGGTGATGCTAGGTGGCCGGAACCATGGACCACCACAATTTTCAAAGAATCAAAACTAGACGACCCAAAGGTAAAACGTACCGTGGGCTTCAGCAGGCTGCAGCTTATTACCAGATATACTTTGCATTTATAAATTGGGTGAAAGATACCATAACAGGAAATATGAGAGTAAGAGAAGAGACAGAGATGAAGAGCCCAACTGCCGCATTGGTGCCCATAGGATACCTAGACAATCCCCTCTAACACGGATCCTCATGGAAGATTTATGAGTACATGGGCAAGAAAGGTACAGGATGGGAAGGTATTTAAGTTGTGGTCTGCACTAGGGAAAGGAGTATCTTCTGCCTCCATGCAATTTTCACTGGCCGTCTCATCCCTAGAATTTTATTTTTCCTCTCCTCTGCCTCCTGGCTTCAAGTCCCGGCAAAAAAAAAAAAAATCTCACCTGCAAGAAATCATTCCTCATCTTCCTTAATGTTAGCCTTTCCCATCTGGGATTTATCTCCAATTAATTCTGTACCTGTTGTTTGTTTATGATAATGTGTGTGCCTGTCTGCTCCCTTAGGCAATATCTCCTTGAAGGCAGGGGTTTTTACTTTTCTTCCCCATTGTGCCAAACAGCAGTGGGCACAGGGTCACTCACCACTTACTTATTTCCTTGCACATAAAGTCATCAATCAAGGTTGGGCCAATGGGTCAAATTTCTGCTTACCGAATCCAACAGTCATTGCAGTGCTCAATTTCTTATTGCTCCTAGCTTGGCAGGTACATTTTACTTATTCAGTTTAATCCAGTAAATGCTTAAGTATTTGCCATGTGCAAGGCACACAGTTCATTTGCTTTGAAATGTCATGGTCCAAAAATGGTCCAGTAGGTTAAGTCCCTAGACAAATTTTCATGAGTAATTTTTCTAAATTACTTCTTGGAGTCAGCATGGATTTAAGTAACTATAGGTGATTTGTAAGTCATGTAAAAAGCATGCCATGTTGTGCTCATCTCTCAAATAAAAAACATGGCTATGTTATGACCTATATGACCTTTTTATTTTGTACTTAGTTTTTTAAGGACATACTGAAACTCAAGAGAATCTCCTTTGATAAATGATCCAGCTTTCTTGGGTGCCCAAATAATCCCCAAATACTAAATTCACCTAATAGCCAAATTCCAAGTTTAATTCTGTAAGAGCAAATTTAACCAACTGGTTCTTAAAACTGAATCCCTTGGACAAACTGATTTCTATTCATTTCCTTATACAAAAACCATAGTGTTATGGATAAAGCTTCTAAGTTAGGTTGCTGATGCCAAAAGGTATTAGAAACAAATGGAAATAGAGTGAAATTCCATTTTAAGTCAGCTATTTCATAGGTTCAATCACTCCCTGAATGTTTTCTTGAACTGAATATTATTTTAAACCTACATTCACATTTGCCTCTAGGTACAATTACTTAAAATAGGAATAAAAGCCATTTACACCTTTAGTCTAGTTATAGTATTTATAGGCGTCTAAGCAGTATGGACTATTTTCTTATCTCAGCTGCTTACAAGTCCCTGGCATATAAGAAGTGCTTAGTGAAGGCTTTATTTGCACAATAACATCTACTTTCTTTAAAAAAAAAAAGTATTCATGAGTCTGCAAGGAATGAAATGTATGCAACAGAAAGCACATAGCATAGCTGGAAAACTTTCCCATGAAATCTCAGGCCACCAGTGTACACAGTGAGTGGGCTTCAGTTTTCTCAGATATAGAATGGTGGGTTTGGACTAGATCTTTGCCAAAGTTCTTTTTACTGTGAAAATTCTGTATGTATTGCTGATCTGTCCATATCTGTTCATGGAAGAGATGTTCAACAGAACATGGCTATATGGTGTCCAGACTTTTCAAATTAAAGTTTAAGAAAAAAGCTATGCCAGTTTTTAGAGAATTTGTATTTGAAGAAAATCATAAATTATATAAAAATTATTTCCTACAATACAGTTTTAAATTTGGAGTAAGAAAGGATTTTATGTTATAACATGGTTTCCTCATCTCATTCAAGATAAAATCTGAGGCCCTTGGTGTTTGAATCCAACGTCCATTGACAAATTTAATCCTGTAAAAACAATAAACTCAGCTGGCTTGGTTTCTTAAAGGTCAGAATTGGCTTAATAAACTTATTTTTCCCTTTCCTTTTTCCTAAAAGTAGCCATGCTACTTAGCTCTGTGTGAACGAACCAATGGAATTTTGCATTTCCACAGAAGAGTTAATTTCATGGCAAAACTAGGACAGAAAACAATTTTTGTGCAGAACAAAACTGAATTTAATTAATAGATTTTTCTAAGAAAAAAATGTCCATGAAATTGATAATAGTGATTTAGGAACCAAAAAAAATTCAGCTCATCATATAAACTTTAATGCAAAACAAGGAAAAAATGCTTTAGATTAAGCACCAAAATCCAATTTCTCAGCTGATATTTAAAAAAAAAAACAACATGAGAAACTAGACTTATTTGAAAAGATAAATAAATAGAATTTGCTAAGTGGTTGGTATAAACAGATTACGTATTACTGAGATATTGACTATGTAGTTTAAGTTGTGAACTAACTCAAGGACGTGAGTTAAGTCACTCCTTAAATGATTATGGGAGAAATAAATCACGTAATAGTCTGCATATACACATACCAATTCTTGAAGCTCTCTTTAAAAAGTGGGAACAAAAAAGAAAAGACCTACATGGTCTCAAAAGGTTATGTTCCTTCTTTTATTTGTCAAATAAAAGGCATTACATTTAAAATATAAAAAATGTACCTGAAAAATGTTCCTAGTACAGACTAAAAATCATGGTATAATATTTAACAAGCCTAATTGACAAACTAAACATGGGGCATTCCAACTCATATCCCCTTGTAAGAAGTTCTGACTTCAAGTTTAAAAAAAAAAATACAGATTTTTTTTTTTTGGTAAGAAATCACACATTCTCAGTAACTCAGTTTTGTTGGACCCCAGAGTACAATTTTTGTAATAAATAAATATTGGGTTGTACCTATATCTTAGGATTATTTAAGATAGAAAATAATCCTAGTTATAGTACAGGAAAGGCCATTTAGCATAAAATTGTTAAGATAGTGGCAAAGGACACAAAAACACTTCAAAATTGGCATTCGTTCCCCACTCACATTAAAGTGCTAAAATTTAAGTTAATTAATAGCTGTAGGGCATTTTGATTCATTTGTTCCTTAAATTTCTGATGTTATAATCACAAGACAGCTGGAAAAAAATATGTGCTTTAAGGCAATAACTGAAATGCAGAAAAAGAGAAAGATTATTATTCATCAACTACTGGACACATTATAATAATTAAAGGAATGAAGGCTCCCATTTATAAAATTATCTCTCCCCCCCCCCCCCCAACTCCCTTCTTGCTCTGGCTACCACAGTAGATAAATCACTTTGTTAACAGCAAGGAACTACATTAATTCATTTAAATTAGGATGACATGTCAGATTTGGTTAATCATTTTGTTCACCAGAGTGTAATTAATGTTACAGAAAATGGACAAATTGAGATATATATTATTAACTTTGTTCCTACCCATTTTGCCGCATTACTTTTCAGCAAGAAAGACCAACAATGTAAGACTCGTGTCCTTGTTAGGTACAAGACTACAGCTTGCTGTGACAAATGGATGGAGTTTAAACAGTATATAGTACATGTTTTAAAGTAGAATCTGAGGGTTTGTGTGCAACATAAGCTGGCTAAACCTCAAGTTCACAATGCCCTTTACATTCAGCATGAGCTGGCAAGTCCTAGCATCACAGAGAGTGCACTGGTGATGAGAACAAAGCATTTTTAATATAGTGTTTAACACTTTGCATTAAGTTTCAAAATTGAGATTTTCAGGATAAACTTGGGATAGATGAAACTGAAAGTTACCTAGAATAAGCAGTTCATACAGCTAGTTCTTAATACCAAACTTTCTATGAAGATCTACCAAGTAAGAAAAACTGCCTTGGTAGCCAATAGTGTCTTTTTCCACTCAGAAATGTAAAAGATTTTAAAATCGGAAGGAGCTAAATGTGATCTTTGAGGTAAGCCACTCTGTGGTAGCAACTACAAGGATGGAAATCATTGCAGGAATGATTGACTAACATCACACCAAGGCATCTTACTAGGACTGGAGGGGCCTAGAAGCATGGAAAAGAGATTGTGCCTATGGGTTCTGAAAGTGCCAAAAGATTAAGAAACATGGAAACTTTTGCAAGGTAAAAGTAATGAAATATACTCTAGTCTGTGCCTTGCTACAAACCTCTCCCATTCCCAAAATAAAACAAGTTTAGCTTTTTTGAAAGCTCATGTGGGGAAACACAAACTGGTGATACCCATTCATCCGTTCTTTTATACTGTACTTAAATTACACAAGTAGAAATGTTATGCTTATTAATAGTTTAATGTATGAAGGAAACATCCAGATTTCTGAATATGAAGGTACATATCTCACATTAATTTAAGTCTACATAAAGTAGAGCCTCTATACTGACATATTGAAATTTACTTTCTGCTTAGCCATTTCTGTTATGTAAACAATTGTACATTTATTTGCCATTCTAAAACTTCAGGATCAAGTTTACATAATTTTGCTAAATTTCCGTGTTTGCTCAGAAGCAGTTTACAGTACTAAAACCAACCAGCCAAAGAACAGCTTCAACAGAAAGTTATGTCCAGGGGCAGGGACAGGACTGGGGTGAAAGGAGAGAAGGAAAGAAAAAAAGAAAAGAAGAAAGAATGCTAACTAAGGTGAAATGTAGGGTGGTGGGGAATGGATGGTCACAAATGTTCACAGAAAAAAGGTCAGTTAGTAAGATCTTCTGCAAAAAGCCTACACACTTCAGTCAAGCACATCAGTAGAATGATTTGGGAACATAAAAATTATTTCGGCCACTTGTGATTTCCTCTGAATGAAAAGGAATCTGCAGGCTAACCAGTTGATCCCAATCAGCCAAGCTGGTTCATATGGACGCTGTTCAGATGAGGTGCCCAAGTTCCAGTCCACACCTGAGGAATTAAAGTATGTAACACTGAATCAGAAAACACCAAAGTATTACATATTCTCAGCATCTTGGGAAACAATAAATTGACTTGCCCCCACCTCCCAATTCACCATTTGGGGGGAATGAATGAGTAAATCAAACATACTCAACTTCCCAAACCTTCCTGTCTTCAAAACATCCTTATTTCTGTCAAAGGTACCACCATCCTGCTATGTCTTCCAGGTTCACGATCTTGGCATTCTCCCAGACTCATTCTCTTTCCACCTAAGTTCAGGCCCTCTTTGTATCGCCTAACGTCCCCTTGCCAGCCATCCACCATTCTACTGTCAGTCATTTTCCTTAAGGGCAGATTCAGCTACATCACTTCTCTACTCACTAACCTCCAGTGGTTCAGTTCCCTATTGCCTTTAAGAAAACAAACTCCTGTCTGGCCCTTTACAAGCTGACACTGACATTGATCGATCGATCTTCTTGGGCTCCTTAGACACTGGATACTATCTCACTCGGTGATCCTGCCAAAATGGCCCCCTCTGTGATTCATGCATAACCCTCCAGCTTCTAGCTCCATACTTTTGCAGGGGTCACCCCCCCAAGCCTGGAATGTTCTTTCTCTTCGTATTCATGTCAAAAAATCCCTCTCTTGCTTCATAATGCAGTTTATGCCCCACCATCTCCATGAAGCCTTTTTCCCTCATCCCCTGCAACTGCTAGTGGCCTTTCCCTACTGGGAACCTACACTGGGATCTACACATTTTTTACAGAAAGAGAACACAATTTCCCTTGTGGATATTGTGACCTAATACACATATTTATTTTTCATTCAGTGGGGGTTCGTTGCTTTGAATGTACTTAACACTTTCCTCCTTCCCTATCTTTCTGTCAAGTCCTACATGCACACATGAAGATGTCGTCAAGAATATTCACATGGTTAATCAATTTTGTTTTCTATTTTATTTCATCAATCTTACCGTTTGAGGGCCATTATTTTCTGTAGAGTTTGAAACCATCTTTATCAGTGAGTTCCAAGAGGGGTCAGCAGCATGAGGACCATTAAATATGGGCCCTCCAGCACTATCTGGGATAGGTGCTACTGGAGGGATCATTGCATTCCCATAGACAGAAAAGGGCATACCCTTGGGAGAAAGAAAAGGGAAAGCATAGTTAGATAACAGTCATGCCTATAAACAAACACCCAAGAGTCATTTTCAAATTGTAATATCAACTTGTTCAATCTGGTAAGTAAACTAGGTAATATGAATTTCACAGTCACATACTTTTATCACTTCAGTGCCAGATATGACAATACGTGACTGTCACAGTCACGATAAGCTCCAAGCTTATATATTACTTCATAATATGACACTGTCACATTGCTCAAAAGAATCAAATTTTTTATACAACTGATATAAAAATAAATTGTCAAATATGCATCACATAGGATCACTATCAGAAGTGTTAAAAGGTTAAATTTAACATTTAAAAATTAAGTGGCTATTCCCTCTCAAATGAAAATTACCCCAACTTTAGGAAAGTCCATGTATCCTGCGGGAACATGCTGATGGAATGTACCAGAAGGAGTTACAATTCCTGTACTATCTCGCTCCATTGCTTGATGCTGTGAAAACACTCCTGGATCAGACATTGGCCTATGAATCATATGGTTTCCCATTCCACTATGACACCAGTCTACTTTGTCTGAAGAAAATAAAAAAAGAGATAAAAAAAATAACTATACTTACAACAACATAAAAAGAATCTCAATGAAAAGACTGAATGTCTGATTTTAAAAAACAGGACAAAACTACGGGACACTTGTTGTTTCATGGTTTGCCATAGCCCAAGAAGTCACAACTCCCTTGTGGTGACCAACACTGGAGCTATATGGAGAAGCTGCATAAGGAGGAGACTCAGTGCACAGCGGAGACTATAGCCAAAAGTTTCCCAATTTTGTAGAACACTCCAGAGATAAAAATCTAGTAGCATACCCCCAAAAGCCCCATGCCATCTCCTTACCATTATGAGGCAGGTGGAGCTTACTTAAATAATGAAAAATTTCTATGCAGCTCTTTTTCTATGTTAAATTTTGACTTATCATGGTAAAAGCCTGCAGGACCCAGGTTAAATATACGTGCACGTTCTAGGCAGCCATGGATACAGTAGTTATGTATTAAATACATGGTAATCAGCAGTAGAAGTAAGAGACAGAGATCCAAGAGGGCTCATAGATTAGTTTGTACATGATGAAAACTATTCATATGCCTCCAGGATCTGATGGAATGAACACGTGGAATTCCTCAGTAGAACATGGTTCTCTTTAGACACAGCTATTTATAATACCCCGCCAACTACACTGCTTAGAACAATTCTTCAAGTAGTGTGTCAAGTAAATAATAAAGTCAGAAAAAAATATGATTTTTAAAAAACAGACCTTAGGAAAGGTAAAATACCATATGATTATCCTCATACAGAAGACATTTCATTTCACAAAGCTAGGACAGATAAAACTTCATACCTTGATTGCCACCTATCCCTTCAAAGGACCAGATGCCACTATGGCCTACGGGGGTGGCCAAGTTACTCCCAATAACAGATGGAGTGGAAGTTCCAGTTTGTCTAATACGGGCAGAGCGTTCTGTCCCAATTGGAACGGGAACTTTTCTGTCCTGACAGACACTGCTGGCTTTCTCTGCCCCCAAAGACACTGCTGATGGGGCAGGAGATGGTGCTCTTACTCCAGAGGATACAGACTGAGCAGGAGAATCTGCAGAAAAGTTAGTGAAAAAGTGATGTGTTCTTTTCTCCTAAAAACAGTAGTCATTTTAAAGCCACAAATTATGCATGCTAATACAAATAATGTTAAAATGGATATAATCAATTGCTAATATTTATATGAAGTTTTCAAATTTTTAATCCTATTTTATAGTTGAGTAATCAGAGGCAAAAAGGTAAGTGAAGACTCCACTGTAAATGGCAAGGGCAAGGCAAGCTCAAGTCTTTCTTATGACTGAAAAGCACAGCTTTCTTCTGTGTTTCTTTTTTGTGTAATTTATTATGATACCATTAAATATGTGAAAAAATTTTTTCACCTCAATGTCACTATCTAAAATGTTGTCCAAATCTCCACGGCACTCTTCATGTGTATGAAATAAAGAATAAGGACACAATCAAACAGTACAGAACTTGATGAACACTTTCATATTAAGAGGAAATTAAACAGCATCAACCTAGGACTGACTCATTGACAGGGCCTTGCCGGCCTGTGATTTCACCGGTACACGGAAGTCTCTCGGCCAGTGAAAATGAGGCACCTTCACTGAGAGGAGGGGAAAGTGAGTTAAGAGTTATATAGCCTACGTGTATGGCAGAGGTGTGACCCCCTGAGTCTAGGACTCTGGAGTTCTGAGGATAGCCCTCTTATGCCTCTCACTGCCCTTCGTGATTTACTTACTGTACAGAAATTTAGCAAGCTCAATTTCTGGCATAGTTAATTTCCGTATGACTATATATCCTAGAAGCAGTTTAGTTTTTTTTTAAGGGAACTTAGATTACAAAAGTAATCAGAATGTATGAAAAATTATGATTGATTAACTAGAAGCCCAACTGGTGGTTCTGGGAAATACATCACAAATTGCAGCCGTAACTAAAATAAATTATACAAGTAAAACACCTATACCGTAAAAAAGAATCAACAAAAATACCAAGTGAAAAGTGCCACACTGGTATTCTGGGCTATAAAAGGCCCCAAGTTGTTTTTAGCATTTTAGCAAGTAAGGGACATTTTTGGAATTTCTTCTAATTCTACAGTATTTCAGTATAATATAAAATAAAGTAATATCCTTAAAAATACTGCTGGCATTATGGGGCTTTAGAAATAACATTTTAAAAATCTAGGTTAAACTAATACTGGATGAAATTATGGTACCATTACACTAAAAATATAATTAGACTTAAGAGACATTCAAAGGAAATATATTCAGAATTTCCTTTCTTGTGGAATCCTATTGTTTCAGCTTCTCCTCTATCTTCTACAGTACAAACAACTCACCATTTGATGCTGATGAACATGGAGTCAACAAACTAAGTGGGGAAAAATGTTGTCTGTTAAAGTTAGCAGCTGTAGGCGGTCCTCCAAGGGGTGCCCCAGGCGCATACATCTGCCCTCCAGAAAGGCTTGAGGCAAAGTTACTCAAATGTGTAGAGGAAGGCGTTACAGAAGCGTAAGGGGAGTCTATATTGACAACACCTAAAGAAGACAATTACAAAATACCAAATCATTCTTGCATAAAGTGTGCAGTTATGATCAGACAATCTTTAAGCTGTAAAGACTACAAAATAAATTGAGGTGAGGACTCCAGATCATTTGACAATTCCTTATTTTCTTTAACACCTGGCTTTGTCCCTGTTCCTTTTATAGGGAAAAGGAAACAGTCATTAATTTAAGAAAAAATATTCTACATTTTATTTCAGTTGCACTGGATGTAAAATAAAATAGTTCAGTGTTCTAAAATATTTTTAAGGTCACATTCTCCTGACTATCTCCTCGTGCTCCTCTAATCCCCCCCCCCAAAAAAAAGAGAAGAGTTAAAGAATTAACTTAGTTTTCTAAAAATAAATGACCAGGTTACTTCCACAGGGCAATAAATAAATAATATTGAAGGCAGAAGTGAGACACTCAGGTAGTATGAAGCAAAGGTTGCAGGGAAGCAAAACAAATTGAAAAAATCATATAGAAATGTCAAAATAACCGTCCTAAAGGTGAAATCACTGGAGATGCTTCCAAAGCACTAAAAATTAAAATACTGAATTTGTAGTTATACCTTGAATTTTATTAGATTTTTCCCTTAGGTCTTTCCTCACCTTTTGGCTGAAATGTAATTTCTACGTGTTACCACAATCTCTCACTGATACTTTACATGCAGCTTTGAAGGAACACCTTCCTACTTTAACTGGTGTTTCTTCTCAACCTTCCCATCCCACGATATATAAATAAGCCTAATTGTCTTTCAAGACTTGCTCCTTCCTCCAAAATACAATCTTCTATTATCTTTTAAATACTGTTGCAATTGTCACCTTCTTATTAAAGTTGAATTGACTTCACAAAGTCCCAAAAAATTACAGTTATTGTGAAACTGAATTTTTTTAAAAGTTCCTATTACATGGGCAAAGGATAATTTTTAAAAATCCAGCATCTCACAATTTAAAAGTAACAATAAGATTTACCTGCTACATAGTTTCACATGTTTAAAAAATATTTTAGGCACAGTCAGACCTGCACTTATTTGAAGACAGACTGTGATAAAGGGAGAGACAGAAGGGGAATGGGGGTAGCCACCATCCTATATGATACATATTTTAATACAGTTTGCAGGGGCAGTTAGGTGGCACAGTGGATACAGCACTGGCCCTGGAATCAGGAGGACCTGAGTTCAAATCCGGTCTCAGACCAGACACTTGACACTTACTAGCTGCGCGACTCTGGCAAGTCACTTAATCCCAACTGCCTCAAAAAAATATAAAAAGAAAGAAAGAAAGAAAGAAAACGAGAATTACCAACTTGCTACTTAGCCGTTTTATGGATTAGTTTAAAAAGATGAAAATTTTGAATTCTGCCATTTTGGAGTTATGTATGTATGTATGTTATGTTCTAATGTAAATGAATTATTTGTGATGGCCAGTTTGTGAAAAGTCCTATATGCATACTTGTATTTAAAACACCTTGAGTCATTGGTTAAAAAAGCAATTAATATTATTAGCCTTATTTGTTTACTTTGTCTTATCTTAACATTTTGGAGAATGAATTAAATTTAATGTTTGCAATAATAAACAATTTACAAATACTAAAAAAATATTTTTTAAAATTCACTTCATAAGTAACAATACATGACCTCACTCAAGGCATTCTGCTCAAGCTTTGAAGAAAAGTACTCCCCCTCTTCAAAGTGCCACCACTGAGCAAAGGAGGGGAAAATGCCAGACAATTTTAGTCCAAAATGCATACATGCGTTGGTGCTGAATGACATCTATTTAATGGTGCAGATCAGCTTTTGTTGCTTCAAACATTCATCCTATGAGTCAATGGAACACAATTTTAAAAACAAAATTCATCAATCAAGAATAAATTGGTTTTCCTGAGAAGCAAATTATAATAAAAAAAACCTTTGTTAATTCTTTTGAATAAAAATAAAAGCAGAATTTGGGGCCATTAATTTGTTAACCACCACTAACAATTTTCTCCTTCGTTTGGAGAAAGGGTGGGTAAAAACCTGGCAAAGAAAATTAGTTTACCATGGATATTAGGAGAAATTGTCACTGGAGCATTAAGAAATGCAAAAGAGTTCTGAACAACCACCAAAACATATATGACTGACACAGGCATATGAAGGGGGTAAAATGCCACAGCAGCATACAACGCAGACCAGTTCCAATGACCTGAATTCAAAACCTCAATCCAAAAAGCTGTAAGTAAGCAACCATGAGATCAAAGGTTTCCCAAGAGACACAAAACATCACCCACCAGAAGGCATTCCATCATGGGAAGGTCGCGACAAGCTCACCTGAGGGACTTGGAGCAGGCCTTTGCAATGGTGGTCGGAAGCCTGGTGCTTTGGAAGTGTCAGACTGATGTAAGGAATCTGAATTTGGCAAATAGGAAGATTTTCCTGATAGCATGGATTCCGGTGTTGACTGAGATGAAACCACAGAGCCTCCCCAGAAGGCATGGGCAGAAGTGGGACTGTTTTCAAACAATGTGCTAAAGGGCCCAAATGGTAGGGGTGCACTAAAATTGGGGGCCATGGATTTACTTGCTGGATGTGCTGAATTCTGAGAAGCACTTTGTGTACTTAAGGTCGAAGGTAGCTGGACAGAAGAGGGGACACTGTGGGGTCTCTTAATATGATTGACACTGAGGACTGCAACAGATGAATTCTGCAATGGTACTGGATTTTTATGAGTCGGCGCTGTGGCATGAGGTGGAGGCCTGATCACAGGCAGTTCCATCTTGGGAGCAGGCTGTGAAGACCCCATCTGCGCCTGAGGAATGGGGTAGGTGCCTGGGGCAGTTGGCGGCAGTACCACCGGGGCAGAACTCGTTGTCGCTAACGGGGGTGCAGTCATTCTCACTTCGGGCGTGGGAACCTGAGACGGCGGTGGCGGTGGTGGCAGAGGCGGCCGTGGGTCTGGAGCAGCGGCCCCAGGAGGCGGCTGGGGAGCAGGATGCCCTGCAGAACTCCCCACGGAACTGGCGCCATTTGGCTGTCGACTGCTGGTCGCTTCTACTACTGGTGGACTGCCCGCTTCCTGCTCGCAGGAAGGGATCCCTTTGTTTGGAGAGGATGCTACACAGTCAGAAGGGCTGCTTCTGGAAACGCCTCCCGGCTGCGCTGGGGGGGATGGGGAGGACGGGGAGGACAGGGGGTAGTGTTCTTTGGCAGTAGGCAGAGGACAGGTGGCGTTGGTGGGCGCGGTGCTGCTGTTGCTGGCTGTGGTCGTGACTGTGGTCGTGGTGGCATTGGAGGTCTTCACCACGGTAACAAAGAGCTGCCTTCTGACCGAAGGGGAGCTCGGGCTGCCATTTGTGGAGGTGCTGGGCCCCGTCGACGTGGACGCACTGGTGGTCACTGCGGCGGCAGACGTGAAAGAACCTGCGGGGTTCACCTGAGGACCGCTGCTGTGTTGCTGACTGCTGTGGCGAGGCACCGCGTGAGGCTTGGGCGAGTTAGGAGCTCGGGCTGGGCTCAGAGGCCTGACGGGAAAGGGACCCCAAGTGGACTGCGCTGGTGGGAAAGTCCCTCCAAAGTGGGTCATTGGCAGCCTAGGTGGGCGGATTTGCTGGAAAGTCTGAGCGGCAAGCAGGGCGTGTGCAAACTGGGGTGGGGGGTAGGCAATGGGCAGCGAGACAGGGAAGCCCGGCCTCACGTTGCTGACGGGGTTCTTAATGGTTTTGTGAGCGGAGGCAGAGGAGAGCGCGGGCACGGCCAGGGCAGGCGCGGTCTGCGAGGCGGACGACAGGGCCACCGTGGTCATTTTAATCCCCATCAAGGAGCTGTTAGCAGCAGTCGTGGCAGGGGCTGAAGACCCGGTTTTGGAATTCGCCGAGGAGCTTTTCAAACGATTCTTTGGGATAAGCTCATCAATTTCTTTGTCTGGATCCTTGATCAGAGCATTGATCAACTGTGTTGCTTGCCTTGTTGATTCTGTGCCACCCCTATTACAAGGAAGTTGAGAGACAAAATTAGGTCCCACCTTTCCGATTAGCTTCATCTCTACAGAAAGACAGCCAGTGTTTAATACCGTTCTATAGAGCTATCAAAAAATAACCAGCCCCAAAAGATAATTCTATCACTGTAACATTCTACAAATAAACAAAATTGTAGTGGTGCTGTGTGCAGAATTACTAGGGTACAGAATTATCAATGGATAGTATTCTGCAAAAAATTTTATAAGTACTGGGTAGGTTCCCAATGAGGGCCACAAAGCCTTATATTAAGGCTGCTGGGATAGGAGGGGAGAAAAAAAATTGAAAACAAGCATGTAACCACCCTCTGACCCAGCAATAGCACTTCTAGGGCTATATCCCAAAGAGACTACACAAATGAGAAAAGGACCCACACGTACAAAATATTCATAGCAGCTCTTTTTGTGGTGGCAAAGAATTGGAAATTGAGAGGATACCCATCAACTGGAGAATGGCTGAGCAAGTTGTGGTATATGAATGTAATGGAATACTGTTGTGCTATAAGAAATGATGAACAGGCTGACTTCAGAAAAACCTGGAAAGACTTGTGTGGTCTGATGCTGAGTGAAGTGAGCAGAACCAAGAGAACATTATACACAGTGTAACAGCCATGTTGTGCGATGACTAATATTGATAGACTTAATTAACCCTTCTCAGCAATACAAGGATCTAAGACATCTCCAGAGGCCTCGTGATGGAAGGTGCTAGCCACATCCAGAGAAAGAACTATGGAAGCTGAATTGCTATTTTTTTCTCTTCTGTTGAGTTTTGTTTCCTCTTTCTGATGGTTCCTCCTACTGGTTTTAATTTTTACTTACAGCACCACTAACGTGAAAATATGTTCAATAGGAACATAAATGTATAGCCTATATCAGATTGTGTGCCGTCTTGGGGAGGGTGGTGGGGAGGAAGGGGGAGAAAAATTTTAAACTCAAAAGCATATGGAAGTAATTACTGATAAATAAAAAAAAATTAATAAAAAATTAAAAAGAAACAAACACACCTGTAACAACAAAAACTACAATAAAAGTGAATGTAGTTTTCTCCATCTACACCCTAATCCATACACTATTACTCAATAACCATGACCAGGAGTGTTTTTGGTTCACAAATGAAAGGAAAAGAAGAGAATGGTGGTTTTACAAGAGATTGTCCAAGGGTTAACTGGACAGGAGTTTGCTGAAAAGAGAATGGGGAAGATTCATGTCCACCTGAGAAAAACTGGCTAAAGTCATATTAACAGTGAGCACTACTATCTGTAAGAAGGAAAAAAAAAGAGAGAAAAGGCTCAGACAGCTCCCTGCACTGTTGGTCAAATCTGGGGAGGTCCACAGTGAGGAAGGACGATAACTCTAGGAGGGAGACAACACGTCCCTACACACAAGTCTTTAACCAAGTTGAGTTTTTCCCTAACTCAGGAAGTGACTGTGCTCAACCTGATTACATAAGTGTAATCATCTACTTGAAAGAAATAACTCTTGTTAATTATACTAAGAAACCAGATCAATAATCTCTTGATGTTGAGGATTATTTGCTGTGTTTCAGATCATAAAAGTTTCCATTTACTCTATATTTGAAGCCTCTCCAGCGTAGCTTAAAAGGAACACTTCTGATTTTGGTTTAAGTAAAGCATGGGGAAGGTAGCAGGGGGAATGATGGGAACCCTTCTGAAGGTACCTAGCAAAAAGGGAGGCTCTTCTCATTTCACATGTCACTGACATCTCCCAGGATCTTTTCCTTCACACCTATCCCACATGAAAAAGTGAACCTTCTTGACATAGTAAACTCCTCTATGTGCCCCTAAGATTCCCACCTTCCCATCTGTTCCAGAAGATTCACCCCAACTTTCTCTGATCTTCAGTTTCTCTTTCCCTGCTGCCCAGGTCTCCCTATTGTTCAAGAAACCCTCTGTGGCCGTACCATTCCTGCTCCTCTATTCTTCTCCCCTGTCCTTTCCTTTCAATCTGTTCTAAACTCTCTGATATCATTCAATAAAAACTCTCTCCAAAGTCACCAAAGATCTCTTAGCGGCCAAATCTAACGGCCCTTTTCTCCCCCGATCCTAATGACTTGATCAAGCCGCAGCAAGTGACATGCTAAGCAGCTTGCTGATTTGGACACTGCCCTGTGGGTTTTCAGGACGCAGCTCTCTCTCGGATCTCCTTTTAAGAATCTCAAGGGATCATATTCTCATCCTCCTTTATTGGCACTTCATCCATGTCAATAACTGGGGGTGTTCCTTGCTCTCTTCTCTCTCAACATCTCACTTGATGACATCATAGTTCCCCTGGGTTCAATTACCTTTAGACAGATGATCCTTGACACACCCACATACACCCCTCCCTAGTCTATCTCATCACCAACTATCTCTTGGACAGTTCATGTCCTGCAGGCATCTCAAATTCAACTAGCCAAAATAGGATGTACGTTTTCCAAAACACACTCCTTTTCTGAATGCTGCTGTTACTCTAAGGACACCAACATTCTTCCAGTTACCCACATTCCCAATCTCAGTGTTACCCTTGATACCTCATTCCCACTGACCCTACATATACAATCAGTGGCTAAAACTCTGTCCTTTTCGACCTTCATAGTATGCATCACCTTCTTTCTACTCACTACTGTAGTCCAAACTCTTACCACCTCTTGCTTGGACTACTGAAATAGCATTTTATTTCAACTATCTGCCTCAGGTCTCTCCCTACACTAAACCACCCTTCACACAAAGTGATTTTCTGCCTCTTAGAATCTTTGGCATCCTTTAAGACTATGCAAAACATATCACCTTTATGCAGGAAGTCTTTTTTCCAATAGCCCCAGATGGTAGAGATTTTATCCTCAATAAGGTTACCTTCTAATTATTCTGCATATACCATGTCATTTCCTGCCATATGCGAATGTAAATTCCAAGAGGGCAGGGAGCACGATTTCGCTTTACTTTGCGTTCTCAGTGCTTAGTAAAGTGTCCAGCACACAGTAGGGACTTAATCCATGCTTACTGATCAATAGATTGAATTCAGAAGTTCTGTGGTATCACAGTCAGAGCTCTATCAATCAAGAGGATACAGTCCATGATGACTCTAATCACTGAGAGAGAGATGGCCGAGGGGGGCCTGTTCTAAATGACTTACAGTGAACGTAGAAAAACACTAAGTACCAACAAGAGCACGTAGGTCCTTAATGAGTGAACGATCAACCACTACCTGAAAGTACTCAGAAGTGACGGAGATCAGAGAGATGCAGAGAAAAGCAACTCCGAGGGATGACCTTCCACTTAACCAAATTAGCAAAACCGGTAAGAGATGTGCTCATATATACACTTTGACGCGCCAATCGCACTACTAGGTTTATATCCTAAGCAGCTTATCGACATGAAGAAGATCCATTCACACAAAGATATTCAGAGCAGCACTACTTAAAATAGTAAAAATCTATGAACAAACTAGATGCCTAATGGCTACGGGCAGCTTAAAATTTAGCATACAGATGTTATGGAATGTTAGTGCTCCTTAAAGGAACAAAAAACACGAAAGAAAAAGTGGGAAGATTTATATGAAGTAATGCAGAGTGAACAAAGCAGATCCAAAAAATAAAGATTCATAATGACTACAACTATGTAAAGCAAGATAACATTAAAGGTTCAGGCCAAATACAATGGTAACCACTGGTACTACCTTATTAGAGCTAAAGCATGTGTTCCTTTCTCTTAAATGGTGAATCAGAAAGAAGGTACAGAAGCAATGTTTCTGTACATACTTAGTCAGATACTTCTGTGTTATTTTCAGGGAGTATATTTGGTTTTGGGATGTTCATGGGTTTTTTTGTTCCATTAAAACAAAATTTACCAAACATGAAAAACTTAGAAAATCCCTAATATTTTATACATAGAGTACAACCATTATTTTTAACAACACACCAAAGATCAATTTTATCAACAGTGACGCTGATGTTTCCAGTGGATTGGCCCGGCTGCCAATGCCTTATGGCTACCTTAAAGTAGAGTTTCTTAACTTTGCGCCATGGACCTCTTCGCAATTTGTTAAAGCCTAAAGATCTTTTCTCAAAATCACATTTTAAACAATTGAAGGAAATCCTGAGTTAGAGGTTAGGGAAAATAAAGCTGTAATTTTCTTCCCATCCAAGTTATGAACTCCACCAGTTCTTCAAAGGAAGAACTGACAGAAATAGAGAAAGGTAATGCCCAGCTGTTAATGTAAAAACCATCTCCCCGAGAGGCAGGTGGTCATATAAGCAATACAGGCAAACTGAACTATAAACGTTCGGAAGAGATCATTAAGGACTTACACATGCAGAAAAAGTAACCTGGAAAAAGTATGGTTCCCTCTGCATTTTGAATGATGTGGAGGATTCTGATAAGCAAAAAAGAGAGTATTCATCAAGGTGTTTTTTGTTTTTAGGTGGGTTTGCTGCTGTTCTTTTAAGGGGTAGGGTAAACATGGTGGTAGGAAGGGAGAAGCAGGCATGAGACAGGTGTACAGAAGGGACAGGCTAGCCTGTTTCAAGTAAAAGCTTCATGTCTTTGAAACAGAGTAGCACTGGAGAGTCAAATGGGATCCCACATTTTACAGATGAGGAAGAGTGGCCATGACTTTCCACAGGACACACCTCCGGCTATGGTACAGCTGACGGTGGTTGTCCTCATGATCTGGAGATCTTGTCACCAAACCATTTTGTCTTGGTGTTGGACAAGTCACAGACACCCTGGGTCTCAGCTTCCTTCCTCATCTGCAAAATTAGGGCCTGGGCATAAAGACACTTTATAATCCCTTTCTAGCTGCCCTGCAATTTCATCATCTACCTCTGAGACATTCAGGTTCCACTCAAACCCCTCTTGAACATTTCATCCGTTCCTGCCTTGGCTGACTGCATTGCAGTTTCCCCTGAGCTGACCCTCCCCAGGCAGCTGGATATGTCTTATTCCTTCTTTGTCTATCCAAATCTACCTTTTCTTTTTCAGACTGGATGAAATTCCATTGAAACCATTAGCTCTTTCCTAAACTCACCAGTTAATTAACCAGTTAATCTCCTCTGAAATGCACCTTTCTTCCCTGTGTCATTCATTAGGTATCACTCTATTACCTTCTAGATATAATAATGTCAATTCTTCATGTTTACACGCCTTAGTTCCCTATGAGGACTCACAGATATCTGTAACCCCCCACCCCATTCCTTGAACACAAAGCTATTCACGTGGCGATGGTTGGGGTCCAATGAATGCCTACCAAATTGAAACAAATTTAAAACATTAAAATATTATCTTCGCAAGCATTTTCTTTCAAAAGGGCACATATGATTATCAAAAGAATGTGGAAGCATCGGAAAGTTTTGAGTAAATGCTTCCTGGCATTCACTAGTTTCCTAGAATATGATTCCCACTTTAAAGGACACACAGCAGGGTTAAACACTTCCTCATGTTAAATGTATTACTGAGTATGATTAAATCTCATAGCATAAAAGTGTTCGGATCCCAAGGACAGGAAACTCTTGGCAAAAAGTATTTCAAATATTAACATCTGAGGAAGTATAATTTTTGCTAAAAGGCTCAGAATGTTCTAGGCCATGGGTTCTAAACTGTTTTGTGTCATAGACCCTGTGTCCATTGCCTGGTGAAGCCTATGGACCCCTTCTCAGAATCATGTTTTTAAATACATAACATAAAATAAACAGAGGCCTATTTTAAAAGGAAGATAATTACATTCAAATAAAAATACTAAAAAATAGCAGTTCATGGTCTCCAGATTAAGAACACCCTATCTAAACAATACTTTCATCATAAAATTAGGGAAGGTAAAGGACAAATAATTTCTACCTTTTAACACAATTATACAATATTCTCTAATTCTGAAGGAATGGCTAAGTGACACCTTTCCCAACTCTCTAAAATACTTTTCAGTGGCAATGCAGAACTAAAAGTAGCATTTTTTCCTATAATTTAATTTCCATGACAGACATCTAAGTATAGATGGAGCACTTCTTCAGCCTCCACCAGAAAAAACAAAATGATGAAAAAAATTTTAAATCATAAAGGAAAAAGAATTTTTCAAGAAATTAAGAGAAAATTAATCAGAATGAATAAGAGATTACTAATAAATTTCAAGTTCAACTAGAAATGCAAATAATCCTGACATTAAATTACAATACTACAAAAGAGGGAGAGAGAAAGCACAAAAGAAAAGTCTATTTTGCCTTATTGTTATTATCCGGTCCCCCGTCTTGTCCTTCTGCTTATCGATATCTATATGTGCTCCAGTGAACTCCCGAATAGCATTGATATTACAGCCCCCCCTTCCAATCACTCTGGAAATAACTGTTGATGGAACAGAAACTTTCTTTGATCTATTTTCAAAAAAAGGGAGAAAAAGAAAAATAGTGTTAATGAGTAGCAAAATAATGGGGGGAAAAATCACTAAACATTTCTACGCTAAACAGAATTGAATGTTATTGCTTATATGGCTAAACATTATGCCATTTCATCTTCAATCTCTTATCCTCCAATACATGAATGGAGAAAATGTAACCAGGTAGGGGACCAGGAAGAGATAAACATCTCCTGTCCCAAATGCCTGTTCTTATCACCATATTTCTTTCCTCTTCTGTGGGCATTTGTTTTGAGTTAAAATTCGTCTTCATTTATTCTCTAACACACGAAGTGTTATAGTGTGACTGTAAATCCACATAACCTACAGGCATAAAACACAGCCTTAAACCTAGAAATCCAATGACTTTTTGAACCATCATTTTAAGTATAGTAGAACTTCATTTTTCCATTAACTGGTGATAGAGGGAAATCTGAGTTGATGAAAACCTGGAATTAAAAAGGTAAGAAAGATACATCAGGTTCAAGAATAGATAGGATCGTATACATGTACATGTATACATATATGCGTGTATATGTATATATGTGCGTTTGTATGTATGTATACGGAGAGACACTGACAGACTCTTAATACACAATATTCATTTGAAATAGATATTCACACAAACTTAATCATGAACTCTTTAACATTTTTATTTTCTTATAAGGATTCAACATGGTCACTGTAACTTTAACCACACTACAAATTGCTTAGTAACCATTTCTTCATAAACACAATCTGAATGATCTGAGTGTTTAACTGTCTACAGAGCTATGTTTTCATTTTGATGCCATTTTCAGGCACAGGCTGTTTTCTTTCCAGGGATGACTCCTTAACACTAGGTATATAACTGTAATAACAAGAGAGACTCAAGTGAAACACTTACTTTGGTTTTAATTCCATTTGGAAGATCCTTTGATATTCTAAGTTAATAGCTTCAGAAAGAAGTAAATTTCAAACTGTTCTGAACTTGAACATTATGAATTAAATGAAAAGAAAACTAGGGTTTAGTATCTTGGACTTATTAATAATTATCTAGGGAACAGATAAGTGTAGTTTTTTACTGTTCTTGTTTTTTGTTCATGGGTTATTTTAAGTTCCTATAAAGATTTTTTTTTGGAAATGTGATGTGCTCACAGACAGCTCAGAGATATATGGGAAGCAAAAACAATTGGGAATATACAAAGATGTGTACTATGAAATCAAAAAGTCACTACACCAATCATTCCAATGCTTTCTGGATCACTGACATTTGTTATCATTTGATTTGGGGCAAAATGTTCTCCACACCACTCTGGCATATACTTAATTTTGATTTCAAATTTGGAGGGAGAAAACTTTCTAGAAGTCCTTGTGAGAAATGGAGATATCATTTGGATGTCACAAAACTTGAATGCTTAAAATACAAAAACAAAACTGGTACATCAAGGAAGAACATTTTACCTGGAAAGATGTGATGAAAAGCTGCAGAGGGAGGTGAGCAAAACCAAGAGAGCAATTATATGGTAATAACAATACTGGAAAGACCAGCCCTTGGAAAAACTTAAAACCTCTAGTCAACACAACAACCAACTACAATTCCAAAGGACTCATGATGAAAACATGCTACAATGCCCTCCAGACAGAAAGGTAATGGACAGACTGAAACACACTAGAGCTCTCTAGGAATGGCTAATTGAGAAATTTATTATTTTTATTTTTAAGAGTAGAACAGTTTAGGATAGGAGGAAGGGAGAGAATTCAGAGCTGAAAGGAAATAAAAAATGAATTTTAAGAAAAGAACATTTAACTGACCTTCTTACAACTTCCTTCCAGCCATCTTCCCTCTTTTGCCCACGTTTAGGACTAGCTACTGTCAACTTCCCATTTGGTGAAGAAAGTGGAGAGGGAGCAGATTTTGTGCAGGTGGACAATGAATTCCCGGATACCTCATTGATAGTTTCAGACAATCTTAAAGAGAAAAGGGAGGAAACCTATTAAATGTATTTAAAGGCTGAAAAAAGCTAAACAAAACAAAGGGTAAAAGTGTTGGAGAAGTAATTTCATCTGCCATCCCACCATGTTTTATCAGTGAGGTTAAACTTGGTGAAAAAGCATCAAGCGTGTAGCACTTCACACAAATAGAGGGGCTATTAAGCTCTAATAATCGTAAGTTAGTGTACTATTTGAAAACAGGCCAATAATGACTTTCTACTTTCCTGGGAAAGCAGTAATTTCAAATTTATCTAAAATACTTGAAATACTTGAAATGTGTTTATTCACAGAAGTCTACATTTTTAACTTAAGAAGAAAAAACACACATAAGGACAAAATTAACACCATTTAACAAAACATTCAAATTTTCTAACTCCTAGATGTTCTAATTTCAAAATAGGTCATGAATCATAAATCTAGGGCTAGAAGGGAGCTTATTTACAGATGAGGAAACTGGGCCCCAGAGAGCAGAACTGACTTGTGGTTCAGCCTTGTTCCCACTGCAGCCAAAAGAAGATGGAAAGACCACAAAGCATAAAATAAATCACAGGACAATGAAAAGAACACTAGACCAGGGGTCAGAAAAGCTGGGTTTAGGTCTTTGCTCTGTTCATTTACAAGATGTGTGATCTCAGGCCAGTCAAGAAATACGAATCTTAGTTTATCTATAAAATGGTGATACTACTCATTTTTCTATTTACTTTGAAGGGTTTTTTTAAGGCCAAATCTTTGTATATTGTAAATTTCTATATAAATGTGAGCTGATGGGGCAGCTAGGTGGTGGCGTGATGAATAGAGCTTGGAGTCAGGAGGACCTGAGTTCAAATCCAGCCTCAGACACTTTACACTTACTAGCTGTGTGACCCTGGGCAAGTCACTTAACCCCGACTGCCTCACCAAAAAAAAAAATATAAATGTGAGCTGCTATTACCTAATGACCCATCAATTCTACTTGAGAAAAATAATGTCATTTAGAAAGAAAAAAAAACCCTTACAATATTTAACAAGCTCAGCATTAAGAACTAACTCAATCAGACTTACTAGCAGAGTTAAAAGAGAAATTTAAATGGAACTGACTTGAGAGAAGTCTTGGTAGAAACGGCTTTCCTCTCCTCTTTGGGAAAGGTGACGAGCACAGAAGGCTGCTTCTTGCTGCTCGGAGCCGGCGGCGGGGCAGCAGTGGAGGACTGGCTGTCACTCTTCCGGCTGCTGTTGCTGTTGCTGCTTTCGTCACTGCAGCTGGAGATCCTCATGTTGTCACTGTCGCCACTCTCGCTCGTACTACTACTTTTTGACTCTCCATTCACCTTTTCTGGTTGGTTATATGAGATGGGCAGCTGATCATCAAATATAATCTGGACATTTTCTGGAGTGATTTTATTTTTTCTGTTTTTCCTTTTTGAACTGGAGGTGGTCATGGTATTGTTTCTTTTACCGTGGGAACCTGCCAAAGTCGTCCAGGTTGCAGATATACCTATGGTAGTGGTGGTGGTGGCACTGGGAGGCTCCATTGGAACTTCAGGCTCCTCTGGTGGGATGGAAAAGGGATGGGAAAGATCATCAAAATTACAAGGGAAGGAGTTCAAATACATCACAAGGCTTCAACAACATATGAAGCTGGGACCTACTGTTCCTACAAGAGACTCAGGGAATTTCAAATTAAAAAAATAATCATAATTATAATAACACTACAGCTTCTGCATTTACAAATACAAGGTTCCTTACATGCTGTTCAGACTTACTGTTTCTAGTACAAAAAAGAATTTTCTTTTAATGACTAATTTTTGAGGAATAATTCATATTTCCTAAATGTTTCTAAATTTTCTAGAAGTTCCTGATTTTAAAAGCAGTCCTAAGATCATAAATTAACAGCTGGAAGGGGCCTTATTTTATAGATGAGAAAACTGAGGCCCAGAAAGCTGAGCTGACTAGCCTAAGATGACCCAAGTACAGGGGAACGTGGGGGATTCAATAACCAGTCCTGTGACTGGGTTCAGTTATATTTCCACTGCATCACAAGATTGCTCTAACAGTTTTCCCTAACCTTGTCCCTCAGAAATGGTGAACAAAGGTTAAATGTAAAACACTACATGGCACTGGATACTGTTTTGGGGTCAGCAAGGAAATGCTAAATTCCCTTCTTCCTCCCAAACAAACACCATTAACTCTTTTCTCCCAATCTGATTCACACATAATTTCCCAGGGCTAAAATAAACGCATGCAAAGGGAAAGGGAGAAGGGAAGAAACTTAGAATGAAGGGGGAGAAAGGCAAATTAAGTCCCAATAGTGCCAAGAGGAGACAGTAAGACAGAAGTAACTTCTTGATCCTTCTTCCTTTGAGATAAACAGATTCTAAAAGTAAATGCTGCATTCCAACAGATTAAAAGGCATACCCCTTTTCATTCAAAGGAAAGAAGAAATATTACTGGGCTTAAATTACTGTTAATGTTGTCATTATGTAACTATGTCAAAGTTGATTATTAATTTGTAACTTACCAATTTAAGAATAAGAATATAATTAAAAATAAATATCTTTAAAAAGTAAAACATAGACTTTAAGAGCTTTGGAATATCTAAAAGCTTTTGAACAGTTCAAATGACCGATAGGAAAGAATGAAATATGACTTTTGATAGAAATGTATTACATAGATAAGAAAATGAAAAGAGCATGTGTATTTCAAGAATACCTTCAACTTTAAGTTTTTCTTTCTCTTGAGCAGCTTGTAGTTCAAAGTTTTCTTTATTTTTTGCTTCAATTTCTTCTAGTTTTCTTCTTTGTTCTTCTTTTTTCTTTCTTCTCTTTTCCTTTCTCTTTTCTCTTTTGGCAGCCAGAGCCAACCTCCTACTTTCTTCCCTTAGCTTTTGAGGGAAATATTAAAAAGAGATTTTAACACCTTAATTCTAACCAAAAACAATTCTCATTTCATACCAGAAGTGATAACTTCTGAACTCAAAGTGTAAAGTACCGAAACAAATCTGATTCTTTTAAAAATCCCAAACATTACTGTCTTTATGGGTAAGCCACACTGACATCATCCAAAATTACAAGAGAATGTATCTGAACTTGAAAGACACTCAGGAAACAGTTAAGTAATCAATGTCCTGAGAGAACAGAAATAGGCCTCTGAGATCCCTTAGCTAGTATGATAACTCGATTGTTTTCTATTATTAAAGAATGTCATCTCTTAATGCCTTATCTCTTGATCTATAACCTTTAACCCCAAATTTTCAACTATCAGCAAGATATTTATACTTATATATCAGAGAATCACAGAATTTCAGAGCTGGAAGAGACCCCAAGGGACATTTCATGTGACCCCAAATCTGCAAAAAAAAATACCATCTAGTATTCAATTGTACCAAAATAAAATTTATGATCTTCACTACCCAGATGATAGATTATTCCATTTCTTCCCAGTTTTTATAAGAAATTAACATTCTCCAACTCAACTAGAGTTAAAACCTTTGAGTGCTCACTGAAGCCTCAACTTCCTCCAAGCTGAAATAATTCTGTTTATTTCCTCTTTCACAATTTCAGACTTGGAATCCTCTATTTCAACAATCCCTATCCACAACTCATTCCTCCTCCAATCCATCTCATATACTTCATCAACTAGGTTATGTTTGCCTTTTTCTTAAGACCCCACAAAACCTCCTACATTGTCTTGCCAAACTAGTCCAAGTATCTGTCCTCAAATTAAAAACTTTCATAATCTTATTCCACTTTATTCATCTACCACTGATTCTCATGACTACACACACACACACACACACATATCCTCTATCGTCATGTTAAATATTTATGAAGTTTTGCCTTTTTCCAAACAACAAAATTTTCTAGAACATGGGTTCAAATATACCCTAAGCCAACTAAGGTCCCCTGCAAACAATGAGAAAGCTAGTCTTTATTAGGTGAAGATGTGTCATTCTTAGCTGAAAATATCTGTCCTTCCCCAAAGGGTTTCTGGGTAAGGGAAGGCATCAAGAAAGAGTCTTTTGCAAAATTCGCTACATAGGAGGGCAACATCAAAACTAGAGGATGATGCAGTCTGTATATTCTCCACCTGGCGAGAATACGCAGGAAAAGGGAAACAACTGCCAACCTTGTGGAGCAGGCAATAGTGCTAGAATTCCAAGCTCAAAAATTGTCTTCCTGTGCATTCCAGAAATTTAAGGTGTGTTTGGGTTAACAAGTTCCTTCTTGAGGGAAAAATATTTCAATGAGAAGACTTTCTGCAATTTTTGATGTATGTTATTTTCCAATGAGACATCACACATTAGCTGATATCTTTTTGTGAAGGAGTTCTAGTTTGAGCACATTATGTAAGAGCAGCTTCGGCTAGGGAGGAGGAGGATCGAGAAGGTGACACAAGAGAGAACTGTGCCTGGAGCCTTGGTGTGCCACTAAAAACACTAGTGCTTTATTACAGCAGCATGTTGCCAATTGGTATGATTTGTCTAGAAAATTCCAGACCCACAGGACCTTTAGTCCAACTGAACCCATCTCTAGCAGAGCTGCTCCAGTTAATTTACCATTCATCACCCTCCTATCTTGCTCTTGGCCCCATTTCCCTCGGAAAGAAAGAAGAGCTATGCAATAGCTGTCTGACCCAAGAGAAAGAGGTCAAAGGCCTTCCTCAAGTGACCCTCCAATTCTTTCCCTTCCTGCCTGCCCCACACCAACATTTTAAGTAATCAAAACCTCTAAAACTGATGTGTTTATACATTTCCTTTCTGTAGTCACAGGCTAATGGAACACAGGCACGGTCCCAGATGACACAGAGCATAAGGCGTGCTGCTGTGCTATAAAATGGCTTTAGAATTCCACTTAGTTCTCCTTGGAATCATAATAGATTGTTTATGCTGAGGGTAAGACCACGCTTGCCCCTGGCACCAGTGGGGAATGAAATGCCACTGTGTTCACTGAAGAATAGGTTCTTAAATGATCACACAGAGAGTTGTAGAAGGACACTTCATCTGTAAGAAGAAATCACTCCATCAGAACTTTAAAAATAGCACTGGTACAATCAAGGACACTCTCTGTAGGTCCACGATATTTGGAAGCCATACCAAATAACTTCAGAACAACTACGTTAATAATTAACTAGAATACATAATGACAATAGCCACAAATTGAATTTCAAAGTTGTATTGCTTATATCACCCTCTATGGTGACTATGTTAGTTATGTCTTGCCTTAAGACATTTTTTTTTGTTCTTACACTACATCGTTCATATCTAGGGCCTGTTGTACATGTATGTACACCTAATCATAGGTGTGTGCACGCACGCACGCACACATACATGTACGTGTCACCTCCCCTTACTGAAAGCTAAGTTCCTCAAAACAAGGTATTACTTACTGAATTTTTCTGTCTTTCTCTCCCCAGTGTACAGTAGATGCCCTGGAATTTAGTGGTGTCTAAATAAATGCTGGCTGAGTGATTGAGTACTTAAGGTATCCTCTGATTTTCTGTACTTTTTATTGCTAAATGGTGAACTAACACTTTGATGACTTAAGAAAATCAGCTGGGGCAGCTAGGTGGCACAGTGCATAGAGTCAGGAGGACCTGAGTTCAAATCTGACTGCAGACACATAACACTCACTAGCTATGTGACTCTGGGCAAGTCACTTAACCCCAACTGCCTCCCCAAAAAACAAACAAACAAACAAACAAAAAATTAGCTAATAGAAATAAACAGAACACCATTTAATCTGCTGGTAAAGAAGGGGATTACCTTTTCCAAGTCTAACTCCTCCAGAAGGATGCTTGCGTTTTTGTTTGCTTCAGCAGCCTGTCTATCTTTGGCTTGTACTATTGACTCCATACACAGGTGGCACTTTTTCAGCATCTCCTAAAAGGAAAAAGGAAATAAATCTCCAATCTAAAAAAGGATGGCTATAGGACTTGAAATTCATGGCATAAATTCCTAAGATACGGTTTTCATACTACACGGGAAAGAAAGTTGGCCTCAGCTGGCAGGGAGACATTGGTTCCAGTCCCACCACAGCTATGTACTGGCCATGTGACCCTGGCCAAGTCTCTTCCCTCTCCCTGTCCCAGGCAACTCCCAAGACCATCGGGGCAGAGATGGTACTGACCTGCACTGAGTGATATGCACTTACACTGATGAAATCACAGGTCCAGTCTCTCTTCCTTATTTAAGCCCCACACTCCCAAATCATAATAAAATAAAATATAGAAATGGGAGGCTGACAGTCTATAAATGTTGGCTTAAATAAATAAGACACACACACACACACACACACACACACACACACACACACACCCTCTGTGATCTAAGAAATAAGGTATTTCATGAAGACACCTCTGAAAGAGCCCTTTAATTGATCTGGACACTGGAGATGTTACAAAGAAAAACGAATTACTTATAATTTCAGCTACAACACCCAAATAATAAAGGCAGATGAAACAGCAAAGCGCTAAATTCAATAAACATTTAGTAAGCACTAACTAATGTGCCTAGCATCATTCTAAGCACTAAAGATATGAAGAAAAAGCAAAAGACAGTGCCAGCCCACCAGGAGCTCCCAGTCATAATGGAGAAGACAGCATGCAAACAAGATATAGGAAGGATAAATTGGCAGGAGTCTCAGAGAGAAGTCAATAAGGCCAAAAGCCTAGAAAAGGCTTTCTTGCAGAAGGTGGGGCTTTTGCTAAGAAAAGGAAGCTAGAAAGCAGAGATGAAGAGAAAATTCAAAGCATAGGGGAGAGGCCAGTGAAAATCCAGAGTTAGGAGATGACAGTCTCATAGAACCACAAAATACAGAGAGGTTTAAGAAGACTATAAAGATAGCAAGGGATGTTGAAAGCCAGATGATTTTATTTGATCCTGGAGGTAACAGGAAGTCACTGGAGTAATCGGAGGGTCAGATATGGTCAGACCTGTGCTTTGGGAAGACTACTGACAGGTAAATGAAGGACAGATGGGAGAACAGGCTCTTGTAATCTCAGAGGCATGTGGTGATGAGGGTCTCTGTATCAGGCTGCTTACAGAATTAGAGGAGACATGTTACCAAGGCAAAAATTACAGAACTTGACAAGTGACTAGATATGGAGGTTGAGAGTGATTTTACTTACCAGATGCAGGAAAAAAGCCTTGACAAAGCACAGGCATGGAAGGGCTACATTCAGGATAAATATAATAAAATGTGTCTCTCAAAAACCAAAAGCTACCATTGTTTGAAATGGGAAAATAGAAATTTTCCAAATAAATATGACAGTAATGTAAATATGGTCCCTTTCCCCATTGTTATGTGATATAGTTCTGGAAATGCCAATAAAATGTAGAAGAAAATAATAAAAAAGCAAGTTATTATATACCCCAAAGAAGCCACTGATAAGAAGAAAGTCTTCATATACATCAGAACAGTTATAGCATCACTTTTTGTGATAGCAAAGAACTGAAAACAAAGCAGACTACCAGAAATTGGGTGCACAGCTAAACAAACTGTGGTTGGTGGGTGGGTGGGTATGTGAGAGAGAGAGAGAGAGAGAGAGAGAGAGAGTGTGTGTGTGTGTGTATGTGTGTGTGTGTGTGTGTGTATGTGTGTGTGTGTGTGAGAGAGAGAGAGAAAGAGACAGAGACAGAGACTGAATATTTTCATACTATAAGAAACAATGCATGTGATGAACACAGTAGTGTTCTAGTAGAGGAACCCCACATATAAATAGGTAAAATATAAGATAACTGAAGGAAGAATTGAGGAGAAAAAAGCAAAAGGATGAGGCAAGACTTACCCAGGGGAAGTATACCTGAGATAAGTCTCGAAAAATTCTAAGGGTTCAGAGGCCAAGATGAGGAAGGACTGTATTCCAGAGATGGGTTTGTCCTAACCATGCCAAGGCAAAGAAGAGATGGAACATTGTGTTTAGGGAATCAGAAAGCAGCTTATATGAGAGAGCACATGAAGGAAAAAGACAAGTCACAAAAGGCTTGAAATTCTAAGCTGAGCAGCTTTTATTTTCTGCTAGAGAAAAAGAGAGCCACTGAAAATTACTGTAAAGGGGAAAGATACCATCAAAATGGGAAAGATACCATCAAAATGGTGCTGTTGCAGAATGAATTCAAGCAGGAAGAACCTGAGCCTGAGAGAGACCACATAAAGAAGTCCAAGCCACAAGGAAGATGATGAAGGCCACTCTGTGGCAATGGCAGAGGAGACAAAAACAAATGGGAGGGATGTAGTGGAAGCAGAATTGTGTGCATTCATCAGTGGTCTGACTCTTCACCTTATTTGTGCTTACTAGGTATGCTTACACTGCCTTTTAATAATAAGAAATTTTGATTCTTCATAGATGACAGTATTCTATGACTGGCAGCCATATAAGAGAATAAGAAGGAAAACAAGTACAGGGCCTGGACCTGTGATTTCATTGATCTACCAATGCAGATAAGCACGTCCTCTGCCACTAAGTCTTAGACAACGGCCTAAGAAAACAAAAGTCTTGTCTACGTAGCATCCCAGAGCACGTATATATATCAGAGGTGGGACCTGCACCTGGTGGGCTCTTTCTGGGTTTGAGGCTCTCTACTATACAACAGCACCTAACAAAGTGAACAAATATGTGGAAAAACAGGATTTTGTTTCAGGGCAAAGTTTTAAGTCATTGAAAAATGCAACATTTCCCAAACGTAGCCCAGCACAGTCTCTGCTTCTAATCAGACTTTAAGCCCAGTTTACTGTGGGCTCAAAATATATCTATTTATGGGCAAGCCTACGGCTCATCCACCTGCAAATTCATTCTGAATAATAGCTCTTGTCTAGCCACACGTTTTTGTCCTATGCAGGTAACAAGGTTTACCTCTTTTTGAGCAACTATGGATCTCACTGAGACGTTTTATGTCATACTGGAGCTCAATTTAATTAACCCAGTGTCATCTGTAAACAGGAGCCAAACGACAGGATTTCACTGTCTTCACTTCTCCGACGAGAAATCCATATAGGTCGCCCTCCACAAAAAAAGCAAACAAACAACTCTGGAGAGCAGCTCACCACAGGTTTTGTTTTGCTTGACATGAATGATCAGAGGCTGATTAAACAAACTTTCTCTGTTGTTGTATCTATTAAGCAGTCTAATATGATCTTAACATATTAGAACTCAAGACCCAAGTTTGAATCTTACCTGAAATGCACATGAGCTGTACAACCCGGGACAAGTCACTCACCCTGCCTGTGCCTCAGTTTCCTCTTCTGTAACACGGGGATAATAACAGCACCTACCTCCCAGGGTTGTCTACAGTGGTGATCAAATAAGTTAACATATGTAAAGTGCTCTGAGAATGCTAAAGCACTATGGAAGTGCTAGCTGTAATTATTAGCTCTTTTATGCATGAGAAACATCTTGTTGGAGGAGACCTTTTAACGCTAGATTGTGTTCTAAAAGATCAAAGCTCTTTTTCATAGTTAGCAGTCAGGATGTAGACAGCAGGACCTTCCCGAGATGCTCAGCCACAAACCTTTATCATCTTGATGGCTATAAAGATTTGATCTGTCATAGAATACAGTTGGTCAAAGTGTTCTGTTGCTTCCCTTTTCATAATTTCACCAAGTATACACTTTGTAATTTGTATAAATTACCCTCAAAAATTTTATAGAGATGAGAAAGCAGTATGCTAATAAGGGTGTCTACAATTTTCTGCCAACATTTAGGTCTTTCCCTCTCTCATGTATTATGAAAACAGTTCCCTAACCTCTTCAAATAACATTTGCCTCCAGCTCAGGATTGTCCTTCACATATCTGGGGCCAGCTTAACACCTGTTCCTCATCTCTTTTTCTAAACTCACGTCCTTAAAAAGCACAACAGAGACTGCGATGTTGGGCTCCCATGGGGCAGTTCCACTGACCTGATGGACAAAACAGTTTGTTGCAGAATACTGAACAGAATAAGATCTTTCCTCTTTTTCTTTTACAGTCAGTACAGTTCCATCTTTAAATGTTTTGGGGATGATGAAACTATTTTTGTGAGGGAATTATGCTGAAAAGAATAAGCTTCAATCATTTAGAAAGTTCAGCCAGTTTAGAACACCTCACTGGCTGATAATGCAGATAAATAAAATATTACCGTAATATTCAATTGTGATGTTCACATGAAAAATGATTACTACTAATACTAGAATGATGGACACGTACACAGATATAGCTATATGTAGATCTATATTTGGGACTTTGACACATATAGATCGTCTACTCAGCACTGTCATATTTACAAAGTATTCAAAAAGAGCTATGAATCTCTGAGAATTATTTTAGCCACATGGTTCTGGCAGCATACAGCTGATGCAAAAGAGTAAACTTACCTTATCTGTGATAGTTGCTATATATCTCATGCACTCAGAATCGGAGGGAAACTGATTAACTTCTTTCACCAAGTAACGTACCACTTTCACATGACCCTGAAAATAAATTTCAATTTTACTTTGAGAGTGCTACAGAAATCATTTAAAACGCAGTCAGATATTCTGCCTGAATTGAAGTAGTTTATCATTCACATACAGGTAAAATTAATTGATGATATGGTTACAAAGAATTCTGTAACAAAGAATTCCTCAGGAAATGAGCTCTTCCCCCAATACTTGTCACTGTACTGTTCCATAAAGAAATAACATGGCTAAGTAATGTTTAGATTATTAGTAAAAAGATGAGTAGCGAGGAATTTTTTTTCTCTAGCATCAGACAACGTCATATCCATCTGTACCCCAATATCCCAAACATCTCAACCACCACAGGTAAATACAATAAAAAATCCAAACCTCTCTAGATAACAAACCCTTTATTAGGTCAAAAAGGATTCTCAGAGTAGGAATGACTAAAGGATCAAAGACCTTTTCAGTTGCTAATTAAGAGAAAGTCTTGATAATGTTTCTACTCCTAAGTCCTGAATATTACAAATGTGTTTCAATCATCAAAAACTTATTAATAGCTCTGTTCAGAATACCATGTTGGATACTTTGACGGACAGCAATGATCTTGAAATGCCTAAATAATGTACTAATACTCAGAAACTGCTGACTGCTCCTTACTATTCATCAAATGAATTTCATGTTCGAGATGATGGCATTCAAAGAGGTCTACAATCTGGTTCCAAACTAATCTGACAATTTTACAGCATAAATTCTATGCATTAGCCAACCTCAACCATGTAATAATATGCCACACACAAATGACCTTTCATACCTCACAACTTTTGCTCCCGCATTTTACTCTGCCTATAATTTCCCCCTTTTACATTTTCACCAGTTAATATTCACCCATTATAAAAAGTCAAGCTATAATGCCTACTGCTCTATGATGCTTTCTCTAGCAATCACAACTGGCTCTGGTCAATCCCTGTTTTATAACATACCACTAATAGGGCATTTACACATAATATTTTCTAGGTGGTTTTATTATCTCCCTCCTAAGTTTTGTACAATTTTGTTTCTTGAACACCATCTTAAAAAAATATAAGTACGTAGAGGAAACACACTCAATTCCTACTCTCACAGTCTACTGAATGTCTAAGACAAATCCACAAGACACGTGTAGATAGTACAACAAGACAGTATAAGACAAGAGGTCAAAATGAACAATAACTACTTGAAGAGTTCAAGAAGGAGAGCCTTCAATGGCAAACAAATGAGATAATGGTAATAATTAAGATAACAGAGATAACTAAACCGACATTACTTTCTAACCTGCAAACCCATGTTGGCTCATTGAAAACTCTAGATGGACAGAGTTGGTGATGCCAGAACGGGTGGGGACAGAAGGCCCTTTCTCCTTGCTTCTAGAAATGTGGGCCCCTCCAGCAATGCCATACATTATGGTCCTAGTTTTCTGGGGCTCACAGGATTCAGATCCAGGTCCTCCACGAGCAAGAAATGAACAATTCTTCTTTTACCTTAGAGTCTTTGTCTCGGAATTTGTTTACTTATTATCAATAGCTAAATCATAAAAGTCTTTAAAGGTTAGCATGTCAACAGCATTTCCCAAAGAAAGCTACAAGCCTTGCATATTACCTTTCTAAATGCTGCCATAAGAGGAGTTATCTTTCGATTATCAGCTGCATCCACATCTGCCCCTGCTTGTACCAGTAACTGGACAACATCAAGATGCCCACCATTGGCTGCCAGCCACAAGGGAGTATTCCCCTTCTTATTGCGAACATCAATATGAGCTCCCCTAGAAAAATAAATTATATATTAAGTGAAAATAACATCATTTCTATGAAATTAAAAAATTAGTAGCCATTGAAAGTATTAGTGCAAGAAAAACATATTTAAAACCTATCTGGAAAATACACATACTTTTCTAAATGTCATTTTGTTTTTAATCACGTCTTAAGAAAAAAAATTCAAAGACATAGAAACCTCAGCAGTTTAAAAAAAATGAGTTTGATTTGTTTTTTTTTTTTAAGTCCTAACCTTCCTATATAATCCCCATCAAGACTTAAGGAAATTATATATAGAAAATTATGCCTGAGTGAAAATTATGAATATTTTAATATCTAATACTGTGCCCTTTGTACTAACATGCTAGATACCCAGATAAAAAAGGTGACTTTAGTCTTCAAATTTCACATAACTTTATATTGCTATCTGTTCTTTGAAAAAACAAAAACAAAAAACAACACATAAGTTTACACACGGGAATTTTTAACAGTAGTTGAGTCTCACCACAGGTGAAAAGAATGAAATGAGTAACTATTTGTTATTGAATTCTACTCCTTAGGCAGGACAATATCCAATGTTCAATCAAAAATAGGATAAAAACCTAAACGAAAGTTCAAGTCTGACCTTTAGGAGACATAATACAGAATTAAATTCCAGTAAAACTGCATCAATCTGTCAACAAGTGCTTCATAAGCACCAACTATGAACCAGGCATTGTAAAAACAGAATACTGTCTCCAAGCTGACTGAGACCAATTACCCATTTCTGACCCTTTAAAACAGTGCCATCACCTCTGCTGCAAGCCCAAATTAACTTTAAATGATAAACCAGGAGCAACGATGAGATCTTGCATTTCAGCTGATCCCAGAGAATCAAACTGATGATTACTCAAATACAATTACAAGAAAGGACAGACGTGAAGATAAGCATTTCACTTGAGGAATCGATGTTTGTATAGTGATCTAATGGGAGTGGGCAGCATCCACAACAGAGTCCTGAAGAAACATATTTATCAAGTAGTTAAGAAATAAAAACTAGACAGGATGTACCAATGCTACTACGGAACAGCCTCAAAAAACAGTAACAGAAAAAAGGACGGGTTTGATTCATGCCAATGTGCTGAGAACAACCCATGTTCCAGGCACTGCTGTGCTCACATTCTCCAATCTGAAGAGCAGTCATACCTTACCTGCTAATGAGCAGTTCACAGAACTTGTAATGCCCTTTATCTGCTGCTATGGTTAAAGCGGTATCTCTTGAGGAGGGCACTGGAGGGGCATTAACGTCAGCACCTTTATCTAGAAGGACTCTGCCTACCTCTGCATAGCCACCAGAAGCAGCTTCCATTAGTGGTGTTAAGCCAGTCTAGAAATAAAGGGAAACCAAAATATGTAACTATATAACTTATTTTAGAAATAACCACAAACAAGATAGTAAATATTTTCTGATTGACCCATTATCACATTACTTCCTGTTAAAGTCAGTTATTAAAATATGCATGAAACTTTGACATTTGAGGGCGACTATTTTCGGATAAAACCTGAAAAAAAAAAAATGAAGATACCATTCTTAACTACAAAGAATAGCATTGTCACGTGATGTATAAAAATGAATCGCCTGAAAACAACCCCAGAACAGCACACAGACAATTTTTCTTACCTTTGCTCTATGTTCAACATTGGCTTTTCTGTCCAGGAGAAGACTGACCACTTCGGTTCTTCCTTGGAAGCATGCTAAGGTAAGGGCTGTATTACGATTAGTCTCTATTTGAGCATTAATGTCAGAACCCATGTCCAAAAGAAGTTTAACAGCAGCTGTATGACCATTCATAGCTGCCAACATCAAAGGAGAAATGCCCAATTTGCTACCAGTTCTGAAACGGGAAAAACACATATTTTAAACATAAGCTAGGACTAAATATGTTAGTATTTATTATTTACTAATATTTGCTTACGAACATAAAGAGGCTAGTCTAGCTAGATTCTTAAGAGTGTTATTCAATCTGTTAACAAATTTATTAAGGTGCCAACTGTGTGCCTGACACTGTGCTAAGCGCTGGGGAAGCCCAGAAAGGCAAAAGACAATGCCTGCTCTCAGGGAGCCATGTGCTCACCAAAGAGACAAACTTACAAACGAGAGCAGGTCTAGTGACTACGTCAGAGTACGAAGGGTATATCTTAGATCTAGACTTCTTTGGGGTATATGCACACAGTCAGTCACTGAGACATTCACGAAGCATCTATCGTGTGCTAAGAGTCACATTCTAACTGGGGTGATGACATACAAACAACTATGTACAACAAAGACAGAGCCAGGATAAGGTGGAGATAACCAAATGAAGGAAGGCACTAGCATGGAATCAGATCAGGAAATACATCTTGCAGAAGGGAAGGCTTTAGGTGTCACCTGAAGGAAGCCAGGAAAGGCAGAGGACAAAGATGAGGAAGGAGAGAATTCCAGGCATGGGGGAAAGGTGGAGAAAATGTTGAGTCAGAAGTGTCTTCTGTGAGAAACAGCAAAGGCAACTGTGTCACTAGATGACAGAGTACTGAGAGAGGTAAAGGAGAAAGGTGCCAAAAAGACTGGAAAGATAGTAGAAGGGGCCAGGTTCTGAATGCCAAACAGAGGGTTTTATGTTTCATCCTGGAGGTAATGGGAAATCACTGGGGGTGACTGAGCAGGTAGGTGACACAGTCAGACCTATACTGTTGGGAAAGGCCTTGGAGAGCTGAGTAGCAGATGGGTGGAATGGGAAGAGAACTGAGGCTCAGAGACTTCGCCTGAGGAGATGAGGCCTGTACCAGTGGAACTGCAATGTCAAAGGAGAGAAGGGGGCGTAATCAAGTGATATCACAAAGGTTAAAAGATCAACAGGACACGGCAACAGACTGGAAATGAAGGGTAAAAGAGAGAGGACTGAAAGGATGATACAAATACAACAGGCAAAGGTAGAAGAAGAAAGGGTTGGGGGAAGAATGTGTTCTGTCAATGATCTAACCAGTTCAAGAAGTCCAAGAGGCAGCTGGAGGTATGAGAGTAGAGGTCAGCAAAGTGGTTAGGGCTGGATAAGCAGATTTCAGAACTCTCAGATATGAGAAAAGGGGAAAGGACAGAAATGCATAAAGAGGCCACAAATAAAAGATGAGGCTAGACTGAGTTTGTACGAGGCTTTAAGAGCTAACAAGAGTTTACAAGGTATTCTAGAAGCCAAAGGGAGCTTTGCTGAGTAGGGTCAAGACATGGTCAACACCTTTTTGGTATATCAACTCCACAACTACGGGGAGGAAGAACTGGATTGGGGACAGGCTTGCGATAAGGAGAACAGTAGTCTAGCAGAGAGGTGAAAAGGGCCTGAAACAGAGTCAGTGAGTTAAATTTAGTTTGGAGGGCCCAAGTGCTAAGGCAGAATCTAAGTCCAAGTTTTCAATTCCCTGAGCCTACGTTTTCTTGATTTTAACATGATAAAAAAAATTTACCATGCTTTATTTCTATCAAAATTTAACAATTCATCCCCATAAAACCACGGAAGGCCAGCACTATTACTGTTCAAACCATTTTACAAACAAGGAAACTGAAGGCAGAGAGATGTTGAGTGCCACGCCCAGGGACACACATCGAGCTCCTTAAGGGTCTGAGGCCAGATTCGAGCTCATGTCTTCTGGCTCCAGGTCTAGCAGCACTCTCCCCACTGGGCCTCAGAGCTGCCTCTTTGTACACTTCCCGTTTCAAACCTGAGATAAGTTCTAGGAACTAAGTTAGAAAAGAGGTCACAGGAATAAGAGAAAAAAAAAAAAGAATAAATCTTACCGGGAATTGATCTCTGCTCCCGCATTTAATAATATTTTGATGATGTTCACATAACCCCCAGAAGCAGCTAGGCTCAGAGGCGTGTAGTCAGAAACATTCCTGTGTTCTTTATTTGCCCCTCGAGCTAAAAGCAGCTCCACCACCTAGAAACATCATAGGAAAAACAATGGTTTTTTTTTCTTTTTAGCACATTTTGATACGTTCATTTTTTGTCTTCATAGAGCATAAATAGAAGAAATGTGGTTCAGTGAATGGGAAACAATCATCCAAGCTGGGAAGACATGGGCTAAGTCGTTTTCCTGACACAAAATATTTGTGACACTGAGCCAGACGCTTAATACCTTAGAATCATATGAATGCAATGGAATATTACTGGGCTCCAAAGATGAAATGAAGAATTGAGAGAGACATGGGAAGATTTCCATGAATGAATATGAAAAGAAGAAAGGAGAACCAAAAGAACAATACATATTATAACTAAAAATAATAAAAATGAATACTACACTAAAAAGATACGAATTTCAGGTTAAATATAATAACTCATTTCAGTTCCAGTCGACTGAGGTTAACATACTTAAAAAATAGTAAACCAGGAACACAGCTAAGATAGCCAAGCACAGTCCCAGACCGACTTAACTCTCTCTCCATTTCCCCCACAAATAACTTTAAAGTACCACCTAAAATCTAATTTTGAACTGGTAGGGCCAATGAAAGGAAGAGGGAGACACTTCTCCAGTCTCAGACAATATAGGAAGTCCACAGGAAAGGTCTGCAACACAGGATGTAGAGCCCCAGAGAGCAGCCTCTGTGGTGGGCTTGGGAGGCGGCAGCAGCAGCAACAGCAAAAGCAGCAAGAGTTTCGGGAGCTCTCTGCCCAGAGACAGGAAGGGGGTCACAGAACTGGTCAGAGAAAGATTAGAGGATCCTGTGCTGGCACCGACTGGCAATTCTATTGCCCATAAGTGGTTCTAGGGTGGAGAAACGTCTGTGATCAGCCACAAGGGACTGTTAGCACTTGTGACTACAGGGAGCAGGGGCCCTTCCTGGGTAAGGACCAGAGCTCAGACCAGGACAGCAGTGACCACATCTCTCTCAGGATCACATTATTTTGGAAGCACCAAAAAACTTGTACACCCCAGAACTAGCTCTGAAAATAGCAGCACAAAAAAGCCTAAAGCTTGGTACAGTGCCTCCCCACCCCCAGGGGAGCAGAGCCCAAATTTAATATGTCAGGCAATAGGCTAGAAAAATGAACAAACAACAAAAAAAGAACCTCATCAGAAAAATCTACTCCAGTGGTAGAGATATATGCTCAGAAAATAGCTGCAAACAAACCCTCAAAGAAAAATGCACCCAAGCCAAACAAGAATTCCTGGAAGAGTGGGAAAAATGGGAAAAGAAATGAGAGAGACAGTGGCTTCCATGTAAAAGAAACATAAGGCTTAGAATATGATATTCTGGAGGGCAAAGAAGCTAGGATCACAACCAAAAATAACCTATCCATTAAAACCGAGTATAAACACTTCAGACAGAAAAATGGACACTTAATGAAATAGAGGACTTTCAAGAATTCATGATGAAAAGAACAGAGCTAAAGAGAACATCTGACATTCAAACAGAAGATTCAAGAGAAGAACAGAAAAGTAAACATGAAGGAATAATCACAAGGGTCTCAAAGGAGTTAAACTGTTTATATTCCATAGGCAAAGGTGATGCATGTAACTCCTAAGAATTTTAGTATTATTAGCGAAGTCAGAAGGACACAGAGGGATGCAGCAGGAGAAAGGGGTAGGGAGAGGTAGAATGGAGAAAATTTTCTTACATAACAAAGGTACAAATGGAAGAGCTTTTACAACGGAGGTGAAAATGGAAGACTGAGTTGAAGGGGTGTCAAGCAATGCCTGAATGTCTCTCAATGGTACTGGTTCAAAGAGGGAAGAACACACACACACACACACGCACACACACACACACACACACACACACACACACACACACACACACATACACATACATACATACTACTCAGGTGGGTATCTATTTTACCCAAAAGGGAGATAGAAAGAGAGGGAGAAGGGTTAGGGGGGTAGGGCTGGCATAAAGAGGAGCGCAAATTGGGGGGGGAAGGCAGTGGTCAGAAGCATGACAGACTTTTGAGGAGGAGACGGGAGAATGAAACAAAAGATAATGGGATGGAGGGAAATACACAGTGAACATTAGGATGAACTAACTCATAGAAGGGGAAGTGGAGAGCAGAATGGATTGGAAACTAGAATCCAACAATATGCTGTGTTCAAGAGGCACCCTTGAAACAGAACGACACACACAAAGCTGAAATGAAAAGCTGGGGCAGTCTATTATGCTTCAGCTAAAGTGAAGAGGGCAGGGGTAGACATCATGATCTCAGACAAAGCAAAAGCAAAAATACATGTAACTGAAAGAGATAATCAGGAAGACCACATTTTCCTAAAAAATTTCACAGCAAATTTCTCTAATAAAGACCTCATTTGTCAAATATGTAGAAACCTTAGTCAAATTTATAAAAGAGCCATTTCCCAACTGATAAATGGTCAAAGGATATGAAGATGCAATTTTCAGAAGAAGAAATCAAAGTTATCTGTGGTCATATGAAAAATGCTCTAGATCCCTCGTGAAGGGAAATTAAAACAACCCTGAATTACCACCTCACACCTATCAGAAATGACGAATGCTGAAGTGAAAGGGGAAAAATAGGTGATGAACTGATCCAACAATTTGGAACTATGCCTAAAAGGCTATAAAACTGTGCATACCCTTTGACCCAGCAATACCACTACTAGGTGAGTAACCCAAATACAGCAAAGAAAAGTAAAAGGACCTGTATGCGCAAAATATTTACAGCAGCTCTTTTTGTGGTGGCAAAGAACTGGAAATTGAACGGATACTTATCAACAGGGGAATGGCTGAACAAGCTGTGGCATAGGACTGTGACGGAATATTATTGTGCTATAAGAAATGTATGGGAAATGGTTGTAGAAAAAACACGCCAAGACGCATATGAACTGATGCAAAGTGAAGTGAGAAAGACCCGAAGATCATTGTGGACTGTAACAGCAATGTTGTAATGATGATCAGTTGTGAAAGCTGTGAAAGAAAAATCTTATCACTATAGCGATCCAAGACAATGCCAAAGAACGCATGATGGAAAATGATGTCCACCTCCAGAGAAAGAACTAATGAAATCTGAGTGCAAATTGTAGCATAATTTTCTCATTTTATTTTTTATTTTTACTTTCTGTCCACCCTCAGAGATGAAACTGATGAATTCTGAAGGCAACTGAAATATAATTTTCTTGATTTTATTTTTGCACCTTTTTTTTTTTTTGGCAATATAGCCGCAATGACATCAAAGCTGCTCTGGCTTTTTTCAAAGAAAAGTCTAACAAATAATGCCTGAATAACTTGTCTCATCACTGCCTGATTACGCCTTCGTGCCAGGCTGTGGCCTGTTTTTTATGCTTCTCTCCTGGCCTCAGGGAAGACTTCAACATTCATATCAAAAGTCTCTCAAATACCTTAACTGCCCAGGTCCTCAACAGACTCATTTCCCATATCCTATTCCTCTATATCCGCTTCCACCTTCATGAACTGTAAAAGTCCTTTACCTCCTCCTCATCTGCTGTCATTCCATCTTTCCTTCTGCATCCTACAAACTCTGACCCTGCTCTTTATCCTATGACCTGCAATACGTTGCCAGGCCATTGCTCCTACACTGGCCATACTCTCCATTCCTTGCCTAACTAGAGAACCAGCTGAACTCTACAATTCCCTCTTCTCTTGAGTCCTTAGCCCAATTCTACTGCTCATCTTTCCCTGCCAAGCTGAATCTTAGATTACTCCCACCAATTGCTGCCTTCATTCCTATTCATGTGTTGATGAATGAAGATAAAAAAAAAATCAGAAGTATGCAGAATGAGTCCTCTACAAATGTATTACATAATCTCATCCGGACTCTGAAGGTGGCAAGAGGATATTTTGACACCTGATTAATCTCACTTAGCACAGCAGCCTTTGGAAACTTTCATATATCCTCAAACTTCCACAGGCTCGCTGCTTCCTAAATGCTGAGAACCTTACTTCACATTTAATGAAAAAGGAAGGAAGGGAGGAAGGCAGGCAGGCAGGAAGGAAGGCCATTTACCAAGAGCTCCCTCTTTCTCATGTCATATCACTCAAAGGCCTTCTGCAATTATTCCCTTCTTCATTCCACAAAAAGGTGGCCTGTCTCCCTGCAAGGAGGAATCCCTTTCCAATCCATCCCCTTTAGAAGATTCCTCCAAATGTCACCTCAATTCTCTATCTGCTTCCTTATTTCCTATAAATACGCTCATGCTGCCCCATCCTCAAAAAACCCTCAGCTGAAATTGGTCTATTCTCCCTTCTGTGTATAAAATTCCTTGCCAAGACTGTCTACAAGGTGCCTAGACTTCCTTTCCTGTCACTCTCTCCTCAATTCTCTGTACCCCGGTTTTAAACTTCTCCCTCCATTCAACTGATACTGCTCTCTTCAAAGTTACACATGATCTCTTCACTGCCAAATCTAATGGCCCTTCCTCAATCCTTAGCCTTCTTGATCTCTCTGCAGTCTTTGACACTGACCATACCCCCTCTTCTCTTTGATACGCTCTTTTCTTGAGATTTTCAGGACACTTCATTCTCCTGCTTACCCTCTGACCTGTCTGATCAGTGCTCTTAAGACACTACCAACTTGGAGCAGGCCCTCATCAATTCACGCCTGGACCACTGCAACAGCCAATTGATCTCCTTGCCTCAAGTCTTTCCACTCCATCCATCCTCCACTTAGCGGTACAAGTGATCTTCCTCAAGACGCATGTCACCCTCCCTTTTTTTTAATAAACACTAGTACTTCCCTATTACTCTCAAATCCTCTGCTGAGATTTAAAAGCCCTTCCTAACTTGGCCCATTACTATGTTTCCAGTCTTCTTTACTCCCTACGCCACATACTGCATTATATGGTGACACTGTCCTCCTTGCTGTTCCTCACCCACCGCCTGACTCTGGACATCTGTAGCGGCTCTACCCCTGGCCTGAAATGTTTTCCCTCCCATCTCCCAATAACTGCCAAGCTTCCCTTCTTGGTTCTCCTTAAGCCAGTGTCTTCCCTAGCCGATGATCTCTGAGCTATCCTGCACGCACCTTTTTTGTACGTGGCTGTTTATACGTTTTCATCCTCTATTAGATTAGGTATTAGATAAAAAGATGCGCCCTTTTTTGCATCCCAGCACTTAGGACATAAAGCAAACTCTTAAAAATGCTTGTTAACCTCCTTTACTGATGCTTCATCTTTCTGTCTGAATCGTTCTGTAGTATTCTCTAACGACAACACTGATGCTATTACAGCTTCCTTTGATCTTTACCAAAATATTCTCCCCGCGTTGTTCCCTCTCTGGGCCCTGGACTCCCTTATAACATACAACACTACGACCTAGTCATAGTCCACCACACCTTCACCCCTCTATATATCCTGTTCCTTTGGAACAAGGACCTTCTCTCCCTACCCTGTCTCAAGGATAAATGCATCCCTTTGAATTAAGATTTCTGGCTTACCTCATTTATTGCCCACATATCTTACATTTGTGGACAGATACTACAGTCTATAGACAACCATGCTGACTCTTTTTTTGGACTTCTGGATGTCTCTACTGCTATCCTTTATATATATTTCACCACTATTCTCGATAATATTGGTATCCAGTTTTACAAACATATGTATGTCTTTCTTTCTCGTCCTCTTCTGTTTAAAGTCCTTTTGATTACATCATCAAAAGTCAAGAAAAATATCTTTTATGGGCCCCCTTAATTCCACCTCTGACATCCTGGCTGTGCCAACTAGGGTGAATCCTTTAACCCCAGTGCTGATGGACCTTGCAGAGAAGGTGTCTCCTGGATGTGGGGACAGTTCTTTATACCAATGCACTCCCTGATCCAGTCTCTTTGCTAGTCCATCCTTGCAAAAATAACCATCATCATACTCCTGTCCTACACCACGATCCAACAGTCTGCAGGCTGTCCTCAAAGGCAGCAGCAACCAAATACCTCTGGTGCTCCAGGGTTCTGAAGTGTCTCAACCCCATACTTCCTCATCCTTTACAATGATTTCTAGATTTTGGCCACAATTACCCTTTGTAACCAAATGAATTATCCTAAAGAAACAGTAGTCATCACATTGGAGTAGGCTTGGGAGGTTCAGATTTTAAATGACCATACAATCAAGCATTTCAAAGTAATTTAAAGGTGATAGTGCATTTGAGTAGCTCTGTCTCATTCCAGTGAGATGCTCTTTTCCAAAAATAAACTAAATGTACACTTAGACACACACACACACACACACACACACACACACACACACACACACACACACCCTCTGCTTATAAGGACTCAGGGGCTCTAAAATAAAATGGGAAAAGATAAACTTTTTAACTGACTAAAATATCAAGAACTTAAGATTACCCATTTATCTACATAAGATTTCACATGAATGTCTATTATTTTGAATAGTCTCTTTCGAAACTTAAATTTTTTCCTATTGACTCTGCTTTTAAAGGAAGGAAATTAGCCCTAATTACTATTTGCTTTAATACTTTAAACAGGCTATTTCCCACAACAAATGTCATTTCAATAAAGACAAAAAAGCTGTAAATTTTAGTAAGATACAGAGTTAATTTTGCACACAACACTCTGCCATGGGGTTCATCTATCACTATGTTTAAAATTACACTGCTATTTCTTCAGGTGCACTGGAAGAGATTTATTACACTAATAACTTTATTTTAAGGTATAATAGCTGAATTATAAATCATTATTTTTATTAGCAACTCCCAAAATACTACATCGTCCCATGCAATGTAATAATAAAGCACCTTCCTTTTAGTGAATTTTAAAGGTTTAACATACAGGATGCCTTAAAGGCCATAATAAGATGGAGCTCAAACAGCAGGGAACAGTCAACTTTGAAACTTCAATAATTGCCTCTTAGAAACATCTAGACACAGACAGCATTTGACTATGCGGGGTCTAGTGCTAGAGCAAGCATATAAAAGACAAGCTAGAGAAGCATGTGAAACAAGTCCTGATCAGATCTTAACTCCTAGACATTACTAGGTTTTATTTCTTCTTCTAAGGTATTAAAATATTAAGAAAATGCTGGTCATTTTCCCCTTGTAATTGTTTATTAAGGTCCCAGAAGTAGATACAGGCCAGTTCTGATCATTAAGAAGATCAGTACAGACTGTCCAAATGAACAAAAGAAAGGTACAACTTAACTAAACTAAATCTCAGAAACAGCACACAGACAGGCCGTAACTGAAGTAACACAAAAGCTCACCCAACTGTTACTTGTCCAGCAATTTGTGTCAATGGGAATTTCACAGGATCCTAGATCTAGATGCCTTCAAGGGACATCAAGGCCACCACGGTTGTGTCAGAGGTAGCATATGAATCTAGATTCTCGGGATGTAGGGCCACCGTGCTTTCCACGGCACTACCAGGCTCAAGGTGAATCAACAGTGTCAAAAAGGGGGGTCATCTTAATATGCAGTAACAGAAACAGAGCGCGCCCAAAGGTCCTTCTCAATAGCTTATGTGTCTGGGGACGTGTCTCACATAGTCGGACCAGTTTTGAGTCCCACATTTTAGCAGAAGTAACTGTTAATTAACCTGGAACTGCTCAACATAGTGGGAAGCATTCATCTGGAAAGACCTGAAGAGCGACACACTTTTCACTTCTAAGCCTGCATGGCCATGGTGAAATGGTTTGTTTACAGACCAGCAGAAACATGAAAGGCTGGGTGGGACAGCTATCAAGCAGCTGGACAAGTGGCAAAGGTGAGATATGCTCCAGGGCCAATGTGGCCTCTGTGCTGCTCCTCCAACTCAGCACTCAATTATCCACTTTGGTGTTTTTGCACAGATGGTCCTCACTCCCCCTTCACTTTCGTATCTTATCATTCCTAACTTGCTTCAAAGGGAAGCCTTTCCTAATTCTCCTAGCTACTAGTATGTATTTATGGTTTTCTATGTTATTTCTTCAGAAAACCTAGGTAAGATTCCCTAGAATTTGGTCCTTCACTTTCCTCTTCCATAAAATGGGGCTATAATTTTTGCACTACTTATGATACAGGGTTGTTGTGGAAAAGAAACTTTGTAAACTAGTGCTTACATCAAAAAAGAGGTGAAACACTGAGAATATACTCTTAATTCTTTTAGTTTGCCTTTTCCCAGTGCTTACTACAAATACCTCAAAAGATTCCTGAGCCTAAGTGGGAAAGAATTCGCAGAAACAGGAAAATACTTATAAAAAACCAATGGTCAAGCAAACTTTGGCATGACAAAAGTAACTCAGGTCCTATTCTGATGGACCACCGATACATGAGAGCAGCTAGCTTACTATTTTCCTGAAGATGAGGCTACAGAATTATGGATAGCACTCACTCTTCTGACAAAGTTTTTGTTTTGTTTTTCCTGGCTAACATGGTAGAAACATTCCCTCTACTTCAAACCCTGTTAAGATGGCCAAAGTTTTAAAAATTCTAAAAAGTAGACTCATCCAACAAAGTTGGAAGGGAAAATATTCAGGAGAATGAAGCCCTACCTCTTGCCTTCCACCAGAACAAGCCAATGATAGCGGTGTGTCCTTAGTTCTCTCAGACTGGGCTTCAATGTCTGCACCATTGTCCAGCAATATTTCAACAACACCCACATGTCCAGCTGTAGCAGCTAAGATGAGTGGAGTAAAACCTGAAAAACATTTACTGTCAGAACATTCCAGGAGAATTAAAACTCATTATTATAGCTAGGCACTATGACTTAAAGGCATATGAGACAGAGCACTCTTCCCCTATTAAAAACAATTTCCAGAACAAAAATAGTTCCTACCTTTTTTGTCACGGTGTTCAATACTAGCTCCTCTCTCAAGCAGTGTTTGTACCAGTTCCTCATGTCCACCAGCACAGGCCAGTGTAAGTGCTGTATCATGATTGCTTTCAGTCTGTTTAAAAAAATTAAAAAAAAAATTTTCCATTGAGATGCTAAATTAGAAACATATATATTTATACTCACTCCTTTGTCTTCTCCAATCTTGGATTAGGATCATAGGCTTAGAACTGAAAGGGGCCTTTAGAGATCATCTCACCCAACCCCTAATTTTACAGGCAAGGAAACTGAGGCGAAATGCCTCACTCAAAGTTACATACACAGGCAATACCAGGATTTGAACTTAGGTCCTCTGATTCTACTCCACTGTTCTTTCCACTGAAACCCACTGCTTCCCACCAATACTAAATAAAAATTTATAGGTTTCATTTAAATGGTCAAAAACTTAAGTGGCCTTTGTGAAATTCCATAGCTAGGCTTTTGAAGCAAACTTGAAGGAAAAAAAAAGATTGCTACTAAGAATTATACATGTATGTATACGTATGCCAAAAATATATGTTCACCAAAGTCTAAAACTATATAATAATTTAGTAGCTTGACAGATGGAGCGCAAGAGAATTCTCAATACAATTTATTAAAGTACTTTTGTACGCACCACTGCTACATTTTGGCTTCTACTCGTCATCAGATGGGCACACAATGAACAAATGTATTCCAGTGTAGATCTATTGAAATCCATCATCCAGTAGCTACCGAAAGCCAAGGCAGTTTTCAATTTTTCCTTTGTGTCCCTAGCACCTAGCACATTACCTGGCCTTTACTGTTAAACTGAAGTGTAATCGAAATAATCTAAAATAGCCAAACCTCTCAAACCCAAAGAGCAACAAAAGAACAAGGCAGAGTTTGAGAGAAAAATAATTTACAAAAGGACAAAAAGGGGCTTGAACTGGTTGGTAAATAATTACGGGGGGTGGGGATCACAGTAGAGAAGGAAGAAGAAATGCAAATATGAATGAGAGATGAGAGTCAATCACAGCTGGAAGTTAAGTAGCTCTGGACATTAGATCTACCAATCTTACACACAAACGAGAGCAGAGAATAAATGGACTCAAAGGAGAAACTAAATCACAGAAACATCACCACAGTCCAAGGACATTAAGTTCAAGGACACGTTTAGTTCAATAAAACTCTCAAACATCCAAGAAGATATTACTCTAGGACCAAGCCAAGAGAGAAGCAAATTGTGGCTTATATAAAGGTATGTATGTGTGCAGGCATGTGTATTCATGCAGAATGATAGAAGCAGTTTTATAGCATGAGGACTCCAAACTTCCACCATGTAACAAAGAGAAGAAACGCAGTAACACTACTATAATGCTGAAAATAATACATCAAGATTTGTACAAAGCTCGAAAAGAGTGAGAATAAATTTCGATGGATCCAAACAATGCTGATTCAATTAGGTCACCTTATTTCCCATCTCAGAAAAGATCACATTCTCTATAGGGTTGGAGGAAAGCTGCCATGTACTCTTGCACCGCGTATGTGTAGCTACACAAACACACTGTATGTTCGTGAGTGAAGAGAATGAAGAGAAACACGCTGTACTACACATGAGGAAGTAGGGAAACAGACCTTGTACAAGCCTGGCCCATGGGCATAACAGAGTAATGATATGGTCAACCATTATGATATCTGGCCCTAGCTCTCCTTCTTCTGACAGCATAACAATTAATAACTTTTTTTGACTCATTTAGTCATAATTTTATGCTTCAAAAATAGAGGAAACAATATGGAGACATCCCATCATCAATATGATTTCAGTTTAACAGGGAATAACTGGTTTCTGGGTTGGCGGGAGAGAACTACTTCCTCCTTGTATCTCTGACAGAGGAGGAAAGGAAACCTCAGCCACCTGACACATGCCCTAGATTTAGAGAAGACAGATTTCAAATAGTTCCAAGGAAATTTCCAAAGCAATGAAAAAATAAGCTGTGAGACTGATAAGCTATTAAAGCTTAAATCTGCACTAAAACATCTGGGACATCCTGTATATGCTCAAAGACCTCACCACCAACTTATGTTTTTTAAAAGATATGTATAGGAGACAGAAGTACAGGCAGAAAACAGATTGGATTTAAGATCCTAAACAAGAATGATAGGAGTGTCAAAGGTCAGATGAAGCTGAGACTGACTAGAACTATAGGGTTTTCATTTTAAAAAAATTTAAATGGAGACTGAATAGATTCAAAGAATGTATAGAATTGCTGCTAGGGGTCAATGTGAAAATGATTAACAAGATAGCTGCTCAACTTAAAGAAAATGAAAGAACTGAACAACAATGGCCAACAGGATAAGGCTATGTGAGGAAACGTAAGAGAACACCTACGTCTTCCCTGACTCCCTGACCTCTTCTCCAGCCGTCTCTATTGGCAATACAAGCATCATTCCATCTACGCTTCACCACAGCCTCCAATTCCCTTCCTGGGTCCTCTGCCTCTAAGAGAAGAGCTTTCACCTTCTCTTAATGTGAATCAGGCTTCCATGCCATTCACATGACTCCCTCACTCTTCCCACTTTGCCTTTACGTGCTGTCTTTCTCTATTCACAGACAAGCTCCCTGAGGGCAGGAACTGTCTTGCTAGTTTTCTTCATACAGTACCGGGCACATATTAAGCACTTAATAAATTATATATCAAGCTATCTTAGACATCTCATTCACACTCCCACATTTGTCTTAGACTTCTTTGATCACCCCCCCACGGCGGCAGGTTTACTTCCCCCTCTCCTTACATTTTCAGCTTCATTTCATATGTTGTCTTCCCTCAGTAAGCTCTTTGAGGGGAGGAACTGTCTTTTTTGTATCTGTATCCCCAGTGTTCAGCACAGTTCCTGACATGTAGCAGGCAATTTATGTTTACTGACTTATCTGCATGATTTCAAGTCATGTGGCTCAAATGAACTACATCCTTGGATGCACAACAGGCAGATATGGCTAAGTCATTGTCAGTATTATCAGAGGGACTGAAGAGGTGTCACAGAACTGAAAAGGGGGAAATGTACTGATTTTCAGAAAGGAATAGAAGCAAATTATAAGCAAGTGAACTTGACTTTGTTTCCTCAGAAAATTAGAAAACTGATCATTACAGAGATGATTAATGAGGAAAGGAAAAGGAAGTGTTGATTATAAAGAGCAAGCATGGTTTCATCAAAATTGATCACACCAGGCTTATTCCCTTTTATAAAAAGGTTACCAATCTAGCAAATCAGGGACCTGTTGTAAACACATTCACCTAAATTTGAGCGAAGTATCTGATAAAAGACCCCTTTTTCCCTTGTGGAAAGGATACAGAGGTATGGATTAAACAATACCACGAGTTTCACAGGGTCGCAGACACTACAGCTGGAAGGGACCTCAGAGGCTATACAGTTCAATTCTCTCATTTTACAGGTAAGGAAACTGAGTCCAAGAGGCTGACTCGAGCAAAGTAAGTGCCAGAGGCAGACTCAAACCCAAGTGGTGACCTCAGAGCAACTACAACTGAAACTAGTGGAAGGGCTTGGCACAGACGTGTACCAAAGCTGTACGGCACAGACAGAACAGAGGCACTCAGGGAGACACCGGCCCATGCACGTGAACATCTCAGCCACAATCTGGGGCCAAATGAAACCATCGCCAGGCAACTGCTTGGCCTAGAAGCCTCGCATGCACGCAGGCTAAAGCAGCCATGAAGCAGAGGGTGGTCTACAAGCAGTGAGGGACCACTATTAGCTTGAGAGATGGTAATGGGCATTACTTTCTTCTGCCAACATTTAAATTCCATGACTGTATCATCCAAGATCATTTTTAAACCACCCAGGAAAGGGAAGTTGGAAAATGTATCCTCTGCCCAGTTACATGGCATGAGATCTGGTATCCTTCTTTTACTAAGTAGAGCCTGTTGGAAATCATAAATACTTACAGGCAGATTGTAATGATGAATTGAAGAAATGACTAATTTCTTTAAATTTGACATTATACACCGAGTGCAAACACTGAATAGACAGCGCCAGGTATTTCCAAATGGAGGTCCTGCAGGCATCTCAAAACTTAACAAGTCCAAAAGGAAATGCATGATTTCCTCCCCTAACCTCTCCCCTGATCACCCTGCTGAACTTTCCTTCTATTGGAGACACAGCGATCCTTCCAACAACTCAGGTGGTATGTCTGACTTCTCATTCATTCTCATTAATTATCTAATTAATTGCCAAATATTGGTTGCATCCTACTTTTCCCCTTACTCATTTGGTCATTGCCCTAATTTAGGATTTCATCTTGCACCTGGGTTTTGCCACATGTTTCTAATGGGACTCCATGACTCTAGTCTCTCCTTTCATGGCTGTCTCTTAGAATATCTTCATTCCTTTTAAGCTTTGCTCATTGACACCTTATATGTAACATTACTTCTGATCCCCCAGTGCTATTGGTGCTCCCCTTCTGCCCCCAAAATTTTACCTTGTATTTATTTTCTATCTATTGATTCAAGTACATGTCTCCCCCTATTGGTAAGATGTTTTGAGGGCACGGGCTCTTTCACTGTTATCTTTGTACCCAGAACTCCTAACACAGCTCATGGTACATAATATGTTCTCAAATAAATGTTGGTTAGATCGACTCATGTATTTTTTTCTTTCGTATACTATAAAATAATGGACGTACAAATTTCTTTCATCAGACCATGCAGCTATTTGGTCAATGTTTTTGATACCTTCTAGTACCCAAGAATATAACAATAAACACTGTGATATGGCTGAAAAAGTAGTAGTATGAATTTTTAAGATAGGTTTTATTAAGTATATCATATGCATTACTTTATAGGACTAGATATCATCATCTATGGCTTAAGAAAATACATTAATAAAGACAGTGCCATAAACATTTAGGCTTTTTGCGAGCTTTAATTTCTAAGTGCACAGTAAGAATTATCTAACCCATGGTATGCTTAAAAAAGAATGACATTAAACTTTTATAGATCAACTAATAAAAGGTAAGATCTATTTTAACACTATTTAATTGATTCCACTGATTCCCTTTATGATCTGAGGTGCCTCACCTGTGCATCAATATCAATGGCAGGGTAGATAGGCAGCATGGCCGAAGGAGAGATGATCGGGCTTGGAGTCGGCGTCTGAGGTTGGGAAACAGAAGCTGAGATACTGTGGGTGGGAGTGTTGGACACTGCAGATGCTCTTCCACTCACTGCTGTTGAACAAAACAACATCACTTAGTAATGGTAAATGTTGTCAGTATAACGTAAGTAAAAATTAGCAGAAAACTTGGACTAATTTTAAGAAAAATTTCTACATTCAGATCCCACTTATTATTTCCTAGATTCTGGGGAGCAATTTAAAATTATAAAGTGAACATTCATGGAAATGTCTCCTCCTTTATGTTACCTAAAGCACACCTAGGACTGACTTAGTCTAGCATTCAGTGACATGAAAAGTCTAATGGAGCATATGAATTTGTTAAGTGGCTAAAATTAAAATTGCGACACATAAAGACTGAATTTTTTTTCATATCAAAAAACAGCAAAGTCATTATGTCTTTTTGGTACTTTTAAGTCAAACTGGGAAGAGTAAAAGAGCAAAACAATTGATTCTTTGTCATTGCTAATATTTCTATTACAAGACTACCAATATTTTGCCAGGATAAATTCTGCTCAGGAGAAGTCCTCTATAGCCAAGCAATCTTTAAGTCATTGGTTCCCTCATAAAATGAGATCTTCCCCTTAGATAAAGACTGGTAATGGAATAGTCTGCATTTTGGCATTCAGTATCTGTTTATGTTCTTAGATAAATATTAGTCTTTGAGACAGGTTTGTGTTTTCTCATGCAAGAGATAATTTAGAACATTTTTTATGTAGTAATTTCAGAAATTCCACCATGTACAAGAATAGCAATGCAGAAAATAATCATATAGTTAACAAATTTGGATTATACTCAGTATATTTTGGTTCTGATATATCCATGCCCTTTTCTTCACACCCAACTTGAGTACTTAGCTGGGAAAACTCAAAGGGTGATACAGTCTAGGCTCTCATGATCATACTATTACTCTCATCAATTCACTGTTGGACCTGGTGTGTGAAGATCAGTCCCAGATCTTCCCTCCTTTCATGCCCCACTTCCCCCAATTAAAAATTCCATTGTGTTAAAGTATGGGAACCAACTTTTCACTGCTAAAAAGCACTGCGGATGCTCCTCAGAGAAGCAGCTATCACCTGCATTCCAACAGACAACATTAACTTAAATGAGAAGTGCCACTGGTTTCTCCTTCTTCAAACTAGCTTGATGACTAATCAAAGGAATTAGATAAAAAGTCAAACTTATTTCTAAGACTGCCACGACATCTTGTGCTCAACATACACAAATTATACATCATAATGTTGATATTTTAAACATTTTTATTTTTCTGAATGAGTAATTCAACATCACCACCACCATTAAAAATAACATGACCACATATGATAAAACTATAGGATTTTAAATTTGAAAGACACTTTAGAAATTATCTTGTCTAACCTTATTTTAACAGAAAGAACAACTTAAGCCCATTAAAGGGGCTACCATCTTGGCTAAACTCACAATGCTATTTAGTAGAAGAGCAAGAACTAAAACCCAGGTCCAAAATGCACTTTAACACCATAATTGTTTATTTAATTTTAAAAGTCTATGACTGCATAATATTTTAATGAATAGCCAATTTATTTCTTCTAACAAAAATTGAAATATTTCCTTAAAAATGGATCTGAAACCAAAGGGAAAAATGTTTGACCCTGTCAAGTACAAAGAATAAAACTGATCTCCTTAAAAGATTTTCTTTACATAAAAATCTCAGCCTATTAAAATACCTAGCACCATATCAGTACCAATACACATTATGTAAATATACAGTTTTAAGCCTACTTAAAGGACAATGGAAAAATTATCTGAATAAGAATAAAGAGATTCTCAGGGATCCAAATGAGCTGATCTGGGAACATGAAGAGAAAAAATTACATGTCTACCTTGACATTTTTACTTCTAGGTTAGAAAAATGTGATTATCTAATATTTAAAAAAAAAAGTATGGCAAATAAGATCTAGACTAATAATGAACTTTCCCCAAAAAGTTCAAAACAAAAAGCGTGCTTCCAAACTAATAAAGTGCTTAGTACTGTTTCTAGCAATAAACAATGATGGAATACAATAAGCAACTCAAATAGATCAAATACAATTTTATTCAGTGATATAAGCATCCTAATATAATTCAACATCTAAATTTCAATTTTTAAAAGGAAATTACTAAAAAAAAAAATTCCTAGTTTTTAAAATATATTTTGCTAAATAAAGCTTTTGCATCATTTGAGTAAACAGAGCAGGAGGATCTCTGACCTGTAGGCCAAGTCCCTATAGCTAATGTTATTTGGTCTAGTTTATGAAAGAAGGCTTCTAAACTGGCCACCTTCATCCCCCCATAGTTAACAACTACAAGTACAACCAAGGCAGGCTACAGGAGATAGCTAGCACCCGCGCGCACATGCACACATACACATCCACGGTCTGTGCCACTCATGCAGAACTGTAAAGGATTTGGAGAGAATGAACAGTAGGTGAACTACGCAAAGATAAATTCCATCAATAAGGGAGACAAATAGGTGGAATGGAGGGTAGAGGGAGAGATGAGTTAGAAGGTTTTTGTGGGGATGCTAGGTATTAATAACCAAAAGCTGGATGAGAGGGTTTGGCTAGCCAGCAATCGGAAGTGGGATGGAACCTCACTAGCTGAAAGCAAGGGGTAAGTGTTTAAGAAGACAAGAGGCTGAGCTATAGATGTGGCTGATGGTGAAGGACATAGCTTCCTTCAGTGAAATGAGGGCAGGCAGGAACCTTTTATTCAAACTCTTACTAAAAAAGTACCAAGTCTAAAGTGTATGTGAGGCGTGAATAATCTTTACATATCTTTCCTTCCAGTTCTATGCCTCATTCCCTCTTTTTTCAAGTGGACACAGTGAGAAATTTAAGTGTACGTGTTGTATAACGACTTAGAGGAGAAAATTACATGTCTCATTTTAAAATTCAAAAGTGGATAAAATGCTCTCTCTCACAGAAAAAACCCAAAACACTGTAAAGTTCATCTTAAGTTCCTTTTAAAATTTATGTATCTCATCTATTTTTATTTTCAGACTAAATCAGTGGCCTACTGAATTATCCCAATTTTACTGTAAAGGCTTTTGTTTCTATTGTGATTCTGGCTAGAATTTAAAATGCACAAGTTCCAGGCCATTGCTGGCACCTGTAAACTTAATGAGCAACGTATGATTATATGGGCAAAAAAAAAAATCAAATATAATTTTTAAAAAACATTTATAGTTTTAACTTATCTACAACTTTATCCTTTCTTGACCTGGATATGTGAAAACTAATTATGAATACTTTGGACAAGTTTCTTTAGGTTCTAATACAAATCCTGAGTATAATTAGCATCCTTAGATGAACTTTTAAAGAATTTGAGTTATATTTTTAAAAACTAAATTCCATGATAAAATTATATTTATATATTACATATTTACACTAATAAATATATATTGATTTATTTAAACTGGATCTCCTCTCTTGTCCAGGCCTAAAGAACAGGAGCCCTTCAAAGCCCACTGCCATTCCGTAAGCAATCTGGTGGTCTCCCTGGTTCTACGGGCTCATTATATTAATGCATAGCTCACGACATCCAAAAGACATAGCAGAGCTCCTCAGCACTGAGGACTATAGGTGTGCACCACCACATCTGGCTAAATTCCCCACTCAATCTAACTTAAAAAACGTTGGGACATCACTCCAATTTCTAACACACACTAATATGCAAGTGTAGCTACAAGTTAGTATGTCATTCTCAGGACTATGCAATTTCTTTTTCCTAACATTATAGAATATAGATTTATTGAAACCTATAACATGCAAAATAATTAAAAGATTTATACTCTATACATTACTAGTTGAACTGAGGGGTGAAATACCAAAGTAACATTTGTAGATTATTTTCACTTTGTGAATTTTTGTTCAAAATTACAAAAATATTCAAACTACTTTGTATTTTAAATCCTGACATTCACAGTTCAGAGTGACTAAGGAGGTAATACAGGTTTACACTGACATTTAAAGCATATTTCATATTTTGCAACTGGACAGGAAACAAATCCTTCTTACTATAGATCATATTTTTAAAAAAAATTATTCTGTGGACTTTCACTAAAAAGCTTAGTGTATATTTCTGCTATGAATTTACAGGACTAGTTAAATGATGTTTTACTAACAACAAATTACTCTGGCAAGACATACCAATTTAGCCATAGAAACTTATATACATTTTACCTTAAGGAAAAAATATTACGTGAAAGTGTTTCTAAAAATTATTCAACTATTTGAATGGTCCCTTAAATGGTGCCTTATTTTTTATAATCATTCTTTAAAAGCTTAATTATTCTTCTAAAGAGGATAGAACTTGACTCTTTTATGTCCCTAGCACTCAAGAATGCTATTTTGCTTTCCTGATGCTGAACTTTTTCGAAATTTCGGTCTTAAGCAGTGAGTCAGCAAAGGTACAGTGCTTTAAGGTTTGCAAAGTGCTTTACACATGTTAACTCATTTAAAACTTAAGAGAATTGAGACAATCCTCTGAAAAGGTTTTATTTACAAATGGTATATATTCCAGGAGTGACTAAAATACAAGAGTTATATTAAATTGTCAATGAATCATTTTTTCACTATGAAAAACAGTAAAATTCCATTACTGATGCTGTGGGGACACAAATTTCTGTGTTGTGGTGAGAGAGGTACCCTATAATTGTGTACACAGGATGTGGTACACATCACCCATTTTGAAATAGATCAAGGTAAAAGGTTTTTCTCTTCTGAAGCCTAGAACTCTATACCAAAATATTCCTGCTCACAAATAAGCTTAAGTCTACATAGCATCCAACCAATTGGGAAGCTGTGCTTGGAATATCTTAAAAGATTTCCTAGTTTGTTGATGCAAATGCAAACGTAAAAGACAACACCTTGTCTCTAATAATTAAGGAAAGAGCACTTAAAACAGTCAAAAAAACAAAAACAAAACCCTGCCTGCCTGCCCACCCAGTCACACAAACAAGCAGGAGTCCTTTGTATTCCAACTTACTTTCTTTAAAACAGAGCTAAAGCAGCAATGGGCCTATACTATACTTTGGCCTATTACCATCTGAGTTTCTTTCTGAGGACTTCTGACACAGTGCCACTACGTCTACTGAGGTACAAGGGTCAAAAGTCCAGAGACAGCCTTCAAGTCTGGTAATTGGAACAATTCTGGCATACCCTTACTTTGTGCCTTACGCAAACCATACTGTATACCTGCTCATAACAATATAAACCCACCTGCCATGATGTCATCCAGCGTGTCATTGAGGGTCTGAGCAGGGCTGGCTACCATTAACCCTTGTTGGGTTTCTGTCAGAATTCCTTGACCCAGCCCTGTCAACTGTGCTTGGCCCAGTACGGGCTGTCCAACTATAACTCCTTGCAGTTCTGTAAGATTTGTGATGGACCCTGGAGGTAGGGAACCTGTTGCCAGAGGCAAAGCTTGGGGCATCGCCAAAGGTTGGATTGGTGTAAAGCCCATCTGAGCAGCACTCTGCTGGGGGTCATCTTTAAACAAGATGGGATCCACTGGCTGTAACCGGGCATAGTCTCCCTCTGAAAGCTGTTCTCCAACTCCAACCGGAGTCAGGAGTCCCAGGTGTTGACAAGATTGCTGCTGCTGCTGCTGCTGCTGGAGCTGAATTCTTTGAGCTTTCACCTCTAGGTACTGCTTTTTTAGCTGCTGTTGTGTTTTCAGTTGTAACTCTCGTTCCACTTTCTGCAGCTCCTCCAAAATCTTTTGTTTCTTCTGAATTTGCTCCTCTCTTGTCTTGTTCAGCTCCTCGATCTTCTCCTTGGTAAGTTGGTCGGCATGAGCCAGCTCCAAGGACTGCAGCTGGGCATTCTTTTCTATGGCTTCTTTTATCCTCTGTTCCAGTTCTGTTAACTTGCCCTGAGCCTCTTCTACAATGCTCTCGGGAGACTGATTGGTGATGTGACCCTGTACATCCTGGCTGTTAGCTGGCAAATGGCTGCTGGACTTTTGTTTAGAAGCAGCTGTGTGAAAAAGAAACCCCCTCAGAAGTGCACATGAATGGCATCCTCATTACAGAGTTACTGTTGGGAGGCTTAGTGCCAACAGTTATGCACCAAGTTAGCAAATCCATACTTCAAGGATCCATGATTTCATTGGTGTGGGTACACCCTCCACCGATGCAGATCGCAACCCTCTCTACCTCTTAGAAGATTTTCATGAGTTGTTGTGGCCAAAAAACAATCCATCACCTCATGGCCAACTATCTGGTGATGAGTCTTTCCAAACTTAACTAGGCTGGTCCTCGGGTGACAGATAAACAATCTATCCCCAGACCATCCTTGAAGGCTTTCCAGCTTGGTAGGACCTGACAGAGCTTGTGCTCCACTGGCACAGCCTTCGAGAGCCCGGGGTGGCCTCAATGCCACGAGGAGGCATCGGGGAGGACTTTAGTGGCGGATCAAACCCACAGAAGGTGGAGAGGTACTGTATGTGATTATAAGCAAATAGCACCTTCTACTGTATCATCAATTCAAGAGATATATGGATTATATACATACTTTAGAAATTCACTTCAAGATTACTGAAGGATTATATAAGTGAAAAACCAAGAAAACCCGTATCTAGTTTTGTGGTATCTAACTGGTGCAAAACAAGCCATAATTTGAAAGTGTGTAAATCATATGATCACAGGACTGTGAGCTAGAAGGGACTTTAGAAACCATCTAGTTCAACCCCCCTCATTTTAGAGATGAGAAAATAGGCCCAGAGAAACTACTGAATATGGTAACAAAGGAAAGTAAAATTCCACTGCAAACAAGAAAATACTGCTCAAGAGTATAGGAAAAAAATTATTTTTGAAATTATCATTATAAGGATCTTTAATTTAAGGTATTATTTTTTCCCTCTCTCCACATTTAAGAATCTGGTTCTTTTTAAACACAAAACAGTTCCAGAATCACTAAAGTCATGGGAAATTAAATCCAACTGAAATGTCTTTGTTGGAGTTTCAGGACTGATAAAATCAGGAGATGTATTTAAATATGTTCACACCAGTAGAGAATAGGATGTGGCCACCCTGGAAGAAACAATGACGGATGGCCTATGTCATCTACCCATCCACAGTCAGGCCAATAAAGTGACCTGGCTGTAGGTGTGGCATCAATGGCCTGCAACACCCACCAATAGAAAAAAGTACTGTAGAATAGTAGTCAGGACTGAAAATATCAGGTGGAAGGAATATGTAATAGTCATATTGGTAAGAGGAAAAAAAAAAGAACACAACCATCCTCGCACTTAAAAAAAAAGCCCACAACACTTGTTTAGGTAAAACTTTTTAAAAATAAAAGCAATTTCAAACTAATAGTTGAAATATTGGGGAGAGGAGAGGAGAACGGGACTTAGAAACATATGTACAAGATCCTAACTTTAAGTCAGATGATGGATCTAAGGGAAAATTCTAGTGAATACAAGTGAGTCTGAAATAATTGATCCAAATATGAAATTTGCATCAAAAACAGCATTTTGAAAATTTCTATCTGATGCAGATTTTTAAATCGAATACCTTGCAGAATTTGAAGACACTGCTTTAAGCAACCATACCCAGCCTAGCACCTTATAGATAACTATAAACGACTAATTATTTGGGGGAAATCATGGTTAATCAAAATAGCATGAAGGATGAGCTATCCCATAAGTACAGAGCAACCAAATCCTCAAGCTGGAATTTTAGCACAAATTCACTATTTTTTAAAATTCTCTCTCTCCCTCTCACTTTCTTTTGGCCTCAAGAAGGAGTATTTCTTGTTATTAAAAAAAAAAAAGCCCTCCCAAATCACCTTAGTTTTTCCAACTGCCATTTGGCATGAAAAATCATTTTAAAAAATAAGCATTCTACTTTTTCATTCCTGTGGTTTCAACCTATAAAGCATTTTAAAAGAGTTGACAGAAAAAGAACTGACCTTTGCTCCTGATGGGAAGTGTAGCAGCCACAGTGGCGGGGGGCTTATCAGGCTCCTGCGGCGGGACCACCATGGGCAGTGCTTGCACAGGGACACGAGGAGCCTACAATGGTATACATCAATTAAGCACACGCCTTTTATTCCTACACCTGTATCTAGATAACATGAAGAGTATGACAGGGTATCAGATGAAATGACACAGATAACAGCTGACACGTTAGCGCATTTTAAGCTGTACAGGTGTTACATACACATTAGCTCACTGAGAGATCAATGAGCTACCCAAGGTTTCATGGCTCATATCTGTCATAGGGTGAAGCTCAAATCTAAGTCTTTACGACTCCAAGTTGAGCAAAAACACACTATAAGATCTCTGTGCTTTTCAATAAATTTTATGGGCTACAAATTCATTAGAAGAGTTAATGAAGTTATTATTTTGACAACAGTAGAACTAAAAAAACAGCAAAATATAACAATTACTAAATTGTAAATGTTTTTTGAAAAGCAAATGGAAAATTAGTCTGGAGAAAGAATATATATAAATAAAAATTAAACTAATTTAGGTTAAAATAGCCATCAATTGTAGAATATCAAATAACACACAATGCATTAGCTCTGACTCTTACCCGATTTAAATCATGGGATGGAGGGGTCAACTGGGTGACGTCAGGTGGAGGAGCAGAGAGCAAATTATTGGGATAATCCAAAAGATAGCAAACAACACTTGTATGGCCACCTTTAGCTGCTTCTATCAACATTGTTGAACCATCCTAAAAGGAGAGACGGATGGGCACAATGGAGGAAAAGGAAGTATGTAAAATGTTACTTCACAGGCACATGTGAGACATGGGACATCATGATAAATCTGGTTGTGAAGAGCACAAACTGAGACACAGTTCTATCTCATCTAAAACTTTTTATAAAAAAAGAGTCACTGCTTTGCGACACCGCAAATTTAAATATTAACAACCCATACATTTCATTATATCCATTTTTGTGATCATATTCATTCTTATGAGTTGTCAACAACTAAACTTAATTTTATTTTCTCACTCTCTATTAGAATGTGCATTCTCATACTCTCATATTTAAAAATGAAATAAAACCGCAAGAAAATGGTAACAATGCTTTTGATTTCAATGTATTCAAGATACATTTAGGTTAATTGTACTTACAAACCTATGTACTAAAACCGACTAATTCTAATTACTGATTTATTTTGGCTGTTGATGGCTCCAAAAATAACAAAAATCAAGGAAGCATATTCACCTCTCTCTATCAAAATGAAATCATTTTAAACCTGGAGCTCTTGACCTATAAACTTTTTCTTAAAAAACACATTTTGATAACTGTATTTAAAAATAATTAGTTGCCATCCTTTGTATTTTATCTTATGCCTTTAAAATTCTCCTGGTAAGGTGTATAAAGGCTTCAGAAGGGGGTAGATTCACAAAACCAAGAAGATGCCATTTCATTAAGAACAATAAAGGATCTCGAACACTCTGTGAAACACCCAAGTTACATACTTTGAGTCTGTGCGTGGGATCGGCCCCATGAGCCAGGAGTAACTCCACCACCGCCAGGTGGCCACCTGCACAAGCCAGGGACAACACGGTATGATCATTGTTTGCTGTGGTCCTGTTCACATTGGCTCCTGAGAGACACAAGTTTGAACACATCATTCAACTAAGAAAGGATTTAATTTCCAATTACTATCCAAAATCTCTGTGGGCAAATGAAGCTTGATTTATACTCAGAATGCTTTATTAGTAGATCAAACAGTAACCGACATTTACAGAGTCCTGTGAGGCCGGGGAAGCACTCGACAGACATGACCTCATTTGATTCTCAGTCAGACTATGAAGAGGGTTGCACAGGTGTTACTGGGCTCAGTGAGGGTAGGGAACTTGCCCATTATCAGCTTTCAGCTACTCAGCCACAGTAGTTTGATTTTTGATCAAGGTCTTTCCTGATTCCAAATCCAGAATTAGAGAAGTATAATTAAGAAATAAAAAGGATATTCAGCTAAAGATTAAAAATCAAAGGAATCTGAATAAAAAAGTGAAGACGGGAGTTCATGGAGTCACAGAAATGGGAGAAGATGTTCCAAAAATCAATTAAAACAACGAACTAACGAAAAATAAGGAAACTGAAATACAGACAACTGGAATATTCAGGAGCACACAGCAAGATCATTTCAATGCTAAAAGTACATCAAAGGCTTCCTAACTCTCAATTCCCATGGGTTTACCCCTATATAACAGATACATAATTTAGTGGTAGCACCAGCAGCACACGTGAGAATATGGGATCATAAGATCTTACAAATAAAGAGCTGAAAAGGAAGCTTAGAGAACATATGAGTCAATCCTGTCATTATACAAAGAAGGAAACTGATCGGCAGAGAGAAGTCACTTGTCACCAGGTATAAGGAGTGTAATGAAGAGTGTCCAGAATGAATTAAACAATTTTTAAAAGAATTTGTGATTTTATCAGTGAGGAGAATTCCCAGTGTGTAAACTCCTTTCTCTTAGTGATTACAACTAGTTTTTGGATTTGTAGTAAATTCTCAGTCACCAAAGACTTAGTCAAGTGAATTACACAAGGACACAGATGCCCAAACACAGATCTCACTGACTCCAAGCCCAGGACATGCTTTTTATTATTCCAAAATACCTTTATTTGGAAATCCATGCATTACCTCACATTAATCAAACATTTATTACCTGCAAACTGCAATGGATACTTAAGTCTTAAAACTCTTGACATATGCATTAACCCCTTTGGGACCCAATTTTCTCATCTGTCAAAGGATGAAACTGGAACTGATAATTACTAAATCTACTTTCAGCTATAAAATTCAAAGATTACATGGGATAAATTGATGAAAATAGCAGGTTTTTTAAAATAATGCTATTATTACAAGTACTGATTAGGAGGAGATCATGGACATGTACCAACTATGAGAGAAAAAGTTCATCAGCAACTATAAAAAGTGATAAATACAGGCAGTCTCCAACTTAAAAACCAAGCGATAAGTATTTATATATAACATGACTGACATAATTTCTCCTAATAAAAATGGTGGGAAAAGGAAATGCACCTTTTCATACTTGCCAAGCCTTAGCGACAACAACATGAATTCAAAGGGGAGAAATTGGGACAAGAAAAAAAGTTGTTTAAAAAAAAAAGCCCATGGCCAAATTGAGACCAGGCTAGGTGACGCAGTGGGTAAGGTGTTGGACTTAGAATCAGGACAACCTCATCTTCTTAAATTGGAAAAAAAAAAAAGCCCTCCCTGAGAAGACCATGGAGGCCCTTCTCACTCCTGACTCAGACTTACCCCCTTTTTCATTCTGGGGGTTCAGAGGGCCCACCACCATCCACTTGGTTGTCATGCCAACAACCTCACCTTCTCGTTTTTTCTCTTTAGAGGCAATGTTACCTTGGGGACTGAAGCACATGTGCTTCAAAAGAAAAACAAAAAAGGCTGCCCTGAATACTGTGCTTTCTTCTGGAGAGATTAAGGCAAAGGAGGGAAGAACACAAGGGTGACAACACAGAAACTGAGAAGCATCCCAACAGGGGAAGAAACGGGTGCATTCTGATACAGTAGGACAGGGGAGAAGAAGAGAAAAGGCCAACACTTGTGCCAGGCCAGAGCTGGCCACAGGGCAAGTCAACAAGGAGAGGTGGAAAAGGGGTTTAAAAGCCAACACCAATCCAGAGGGAGTGCCAGGCAAGGGACTCCCTGTAATCTCTAGAGGGGTAACAGGGCTGCATGTCTCATTTATACCATCAGACCCTCACCACAACCTGCTGATATGGATCCAGCTGTCAACCCCATTCGCCCACACCACACTCCCTCTACTATGCCACCTAGCTTCCTAGATATATGCCACTTTTTCAATTTGAAGACTACCCAGAACTGCCAGGAGGAACAGACACTACTGCAAGGAAGTTCAAAAGCCAGGAACTAAATACACATTTATATAAGCTCCTTGCTTTGTTTTAATTTAAATAACCATCACACCCCATTACCACTCTCAGCGAATATGGAAGCAAGTGTGTCCCATGTATTTAAATACATTTATTAAACAGATTTCCACCAGCACAAAAACCCACCTTTGCTAATCAAAAACTGAACAGTACACACATGACCAGCTCTTGCAGCTTTCATTAATGGAGTTCTTCCACCTTCAGATTCATGTTCCTGTTTTAAAAAGAATATTAAGAAAATATCAAATGCACCTAATTGCCTGTGATTACACAGTCATTTTTAATAAGAATCACAACCAAAATATAAGCACAGGATTATTCCTATACATTTAATATTAAATTCAAGGCTCGATATAAAGGTTAAACACTGAACAATGCTTTAATTAAAAGCCTCTCCCGATTTTCTCCTATCCATCTGTTTCTAGTTACTTGGGCTCAAAAACCTGATGTCATTTTTTAACTCCAGTTTCTCTTCAAAAGGAATCCTATAGCTTGTGGTGGGAACAACAATCAATGCATTTACACAATTAGCTTTTCACACCATGATATTCTTCTGTCTCTCATCTTGGTTCTCTTTATCTCTTTCCCCATTTCTTTATTCCAACTTTACCCACTGTGGTGCCCTCACCCTCAGATGGACAGAATATAAACCAAGTAATAATAATCTCATAATTTCTAAAACAGAAAAATACTAAAAAGGTATTAAAACAGCTTTCCCTAACATCAAAAATTTGAAAAATAAATCTGGATTTTGTTCTTAAATGGAATTGGGGGTGGGGGGGGATGAAGAGAAAAGAGAAAGAAGGAATTATGGATACATTCATCTTATTCCTTAGTACTACACAATTCTTTTTTATGTATAAGCTTCTTCCTTAATTCCATGTTTCCCATTTCCTAAAACCTCTCCCTGCCAAGTTCATTCAGGAGGCAATTCATTCATTCATTCAGCCAGCACTTACACTGTACTGGGCCCTCCTAATACAAAGAAAAATTGTTCCCACCTTCAAGGAGTTTACATTCTTGGGCAAGAAAATGCATCATTCACACAGATAAAGACAAAACATTCATTCAACAAGTATTGATTGAACTTGGTGGCTGGGAAACAAAACAAAAAATTTCCTAGTCCCTACCGGCAAAGAGCTTATTTATAGGAGGGAAACAACATGTGCAAAGAATAGGGTGATAGCAAAGAGGGGGGGATCTGGGAGAGGTGAAAAACTAGGCTAGGTTTTCCAACAGGAAGTAACACTTAAGCTGAACTCTGAAGGAAGACAAGAGATTCAGAAAGTCATTCGAGGAGGGAATCTATTTCAAGAAATAACTTGCAAAAAGGCACACAGGAATATGAAAGCAATTCTCATGTATGCCAGTGTGGCTGGAAGACAGTGTAAATGAAGTAAGAAATACAGAATGTCTGGAAAGATAGGTAAGAGGCAGATAGTGCAAGGCTCTCCCTAAGTGCCTAAACAAGGAGTTTACATTTATCTGAAAGGCAACAGAAAATCAAATCTGCAAGAGCAAAGAAGTGACATGTGCTTTTAAAATGCTGATTTCACAGAGAGATGGAAGCTGTAATGAAAAGGAGAAACAGGGCAGGCTGGGAGCCTAATCAGAAGGCTATATCCAAAGAAGTAGTAATGACACAGTGAACAATGATGATGAGGCCATCTGAGCACAGAGAGAAGGTGGCTGAAAAAGTTAAGTGATTATGTTTCTGAACCTGGAAGAATGGTGGTATACTCGACAGAATTAGAAATAAGTTAAAAAGGTGTATCTGGGGGAAATGGTAGGGATTAGAGAAAGACATGAGCTCTACTTCAGACATAGTGAATACACATGGCTACAGAACAAGCAATTTCAGATGTTAAAAAGGTAGTTGTTGGTATAAGACTTGAGCTCAGGAGAGAAGACAGAGCTGCATACAAAGATCTAAGACTAAGGGGCAATAGGGTAAAAACTAAAGCTGAATATTTTGAGTTAATTACTATAAAGTACTAGGAGGTAAGTATGCACTCATAGAGATCATACAAGCCTAATCTCATGGGCCAAGACAGCAGAGTACAGGCCAGGACTCACAATACTCCCCTCCAAGAAACTTTAAAAGAATACCTCAAATCAAATTTTGGAGCGAGAAAGCCAACAAAAGCTCACAGGTAGACATTCTTCCAGCCTAAGACAATTAGAAGGTCCACAGGAAAGGTCTGCAGCACCAGTAGTGGGCCTCAGAGGCAGCCACAGCAGCAGTACCATATTGGGGAGCTGACAGCCCAGAAACAGTAAAAGGGTCAGATAACTGGTCAGAAAGAGATTACAAAGGACCCCTTACCGGCACTGAGTCTGGCTAGTACTGATTGGCAACTCTACTGCCCACAAGCAGTTCTGGGACGCAGTTCCAGGGCAGAGATGAGTGCTTGTGATCAGTCACAAAGGACCAGGGGCCCTGGTCACAATTTAAGGGTCTTTAAGGGTCAAGAGGAGCCTTAGCACCTACAGCTACAGGGGAACAATGTAAGGACCAGAGCTTAGAAATGGAGATCAGTGACCACACCTCCTCTAGGATCACACCCCCTTGGAAGCACCAAAAACTTGCAGATCCCAGAAATGGCTCTGAAAGCGGCAGCAGAAAAAAGCCTAAAGTTTGACACAGCGCCTGTCCACACCCAGGTAAGCTGAGCCCAACTTTAACGAAGTGCAAAGTCAAGAAGCAGGCTGGAAAAATGAGCAAACAACAAAAAAAGAATATGACCATAAAAAGGTACCCTAGTGTCAGAGAAGACCAAGAGACAAATCAGCTCCAAAGAAGACAATATTAAAACAGCCACAAACAAAGCCTAAAAGAAAGATGCTAATTGGACATAAGCCCCCCCAAAATTCCAGCAAGCATTAAAGAAAGAGGTAGGGGTGGAAGAGGAAAAATTGGGAAAAGAAATGAGAGTGATGCAAGAAAATTACGAAAAGAGAATTAACAGTCTGACAAAAGAGGTACAAAAATTCACTGAAGAAAATCATTCCTTAAAAATCAGAATTTGGCAGGTCACCTTAAGACATCCAAAGAAAAAAAAAAGAACAAAATCAAAAGAATGAAAATAGAGATGTGAAACACCTCAGTGGAAAAATAACTGACCTGGAAAATAGATCATGGAGAGATAATTTTAAAATTATTGGACTACCTGAAAGTCATGATTTAAAAAAGAGCCTGGGGCAGCTAGATGGCACAGTGGATAGAGCACTGGTCTTGGAGTTAGGAGGACCTGAGTTCAAATACGGTCCACATAACACTCACTAGCTGTGTGACTCTGGGCAAGTCACTTAACTCCAACTGCCCTAACAACAAAAAAAAAAGAGCCTAAACACCATATTTCAAGAAAGTTTAAAGAAAACTGCCTTGATATCTTAGATTCAGAAGGTAAAACAGAAACTGAAAGAATCCATCAGGAACCTCCTAAGAGATTCAAAAATGAAAACTCCCAAGAATATTATAGCAAAATTTCAGAGCTTCCAGGTCAAGGAGAAAATACTGCAAGCAGCCAGAAACAAACGATTCAAATATCATGGATCCAGAGTCAGGATCATACAAAACTTAGTGACTTCCACATAAAAGGAACACAGGGCTTAGAATATAATATTCTGGAGAAGGGAGCTAGGAGCTAAGATTACAGCCAAGAATAACCTATCCAGCAAAACTGAGTAAAAATGCTTCAAATGGGAAAATGGACACCTAATGAAAAACATAGGACTTCCAAGCATTCCTGATGAAAAGACCAGAACCGAATAGAAAATATGACATTTAAACAGAAGAGTCAAGAGAAGCATAGGAAGGTAAACATGAAAGAGTAATCACAAGGGACTCAAAAGAGGCAGGTAGGTGGTGAAGTAGACAGAGCACCAGTACTAGAGTCAGGAGGACCCGAGGTCGAGGTCAATTCTGACTTCAAACACTTGACATTTACTAGCTGTGTGACCCTAGGCAAATCACTTAATTCAGATTGCCTCGGCAAAAAAAAAGGAAGACTCAAAAAGAGTTAATTTACATTCCTATATGCAAAGATGATGCATGTAACTCCTAAGAACTTTATCTTGCTGGGATGACCTCCAAAAAAAAGTAATGTAGGAGTGAGAGGGATGCACTGGGAAAAGGGGATAGGGAAAGGTAGAATGAGGAAATTTTTCTCACATAAGGAAGGTGTAAATTGCAGAACTTTTGCAATGGGGATGAAAACGGGGTGGGGGAGCACCACAACAACCAATGCTTGAACCTCCCTCTAATCTTAATTGGTTTAAAGAGGAAAGAATAAGTGGCTCTGTGTGTGCGCGTGTGTGTGTGTGTGTGTGTGTGTGTGTGTGTGTGTGTGTGTGTGTGCGTGCGCGTTGTATGCACACATGCTCAGTTGTGTATAGAAACCTATCTTACCCAGTAGAGAGACAAGAGAGGAAGAGGAGAAGAAAGGGGGGGGCATAAGGAGGAGGGAAAAAGAGGCACAGATGGCTATAGAACAATCAATTTCTTGGTAAAAAAGGCATAAAAAAATACTGAAGAAATAACATCTGAAAAAACACAATTCACCTAATGGTAAAACATGTACAAAAATTCAATGAAGAAGAGAACTCCTTCAAAAGAAGAACAAACCAAATGGGAATGTACAAAAGTTCACAGTGATCAGAAGCATGACAGACTCAGTGGGGTAGATGGGTGGGTGGGGGTGTAAGGAGAGGGAGAGAGGGAGAGAGAAAAGAGAGGAAGAGAGGAAGAGAGGAAAAGAGGAAGGAAGGAAGGAAGGAAGGAAGGAAGGAAGGAAGGAAGGAAGGAAGGAAGGAAGAGGAAGAAGGAAGGAGGGAAGGAAGGAAGGAAGGAAGGAAGGAAGGAAGGAAGGAAGGAAGGAAGGGAGGAAGGAAGAAGGGAAGGAGGGAAGGAAGGAAGGAAGGAAGGAAGAAAGAAGAAGAAAGAAAGAAAGAAAGAAGAAAGAAAGAAAGAAAGAAAGAAAGAAAGAAAGAAAGAAAGAAAGAAAGAAAGAAAGAAAGAAAGAAAGAAAGAAAGAAAGAAAGAAAGAAAGAAAGAGGAGGGAAGGAGGGATAAAGGGAACCTGTAGAAGTGAAGTGGATAGCAGAATGGAAACTAGAATCCAACAATATGCTGTGTTAAAGAGACACACTTGAAACAGAAAGAGCTGAAATGAAAAGCTGGGGCAGTCTATTATGCTTCAGGTGAAGTGAAGACAGCTGGGGTGGACATCATGATCTCAGACAAAGCAAGAGCAGAAATACACATAACTGAAAGAGATAATCAGAAAGACTACATTTTCCTAATTTCTTTTTACGAGTTTCTCTAATAATGTCCTCATCTGTCAAATACATAGAAAGCTGAGTCAAATTTATAAAAGAGCTAGCCATTCCCAAACTGATAAATGGTCAAAGAACATGAACAAGCAGCTTTCAAAAGATGAAATTAAAGTCATCAATATATAGAAGAAAGAAGGGAGGACAGAAGGAAGCAAGGAAGAAGTAACAAATTGGTCCAACCATTCTGGGGAACAATTCGCAACTTCGCCCAAAGGGCTACAAAACTGTAGATACTCTTCAAACCAGCAATACTACTTCTAGGTCTATATACCAAAGACATCAACGAAAAGAACCTATTTGTACAAAAATGTTTGTAGCAGCTCTTTTTGTAGTGAAAAAGAACTGAATATTGAGAAGATGCTCAACAATTAGGGAATGGCTGCACAAGTTGTGGCACAGGGCTGTGATGAAGTTATTCTGTGCTACAAGAAATGATGAGGGAGATGGTTTTAGAAAACAGTTCCAAGATCTATATGAACTGATGCAAAGTGAAGTGAGAAGAAGCTGAAGATCACTGCTCACAGTAACAGCAATACTACAGTGGTGATCAACTGTGAAGACTTGGCTGCTCTGATCAACACGATGATCCAAGACAAATCCAGAAGACTCATGATGAAACAATGCTATCTACCTCCAGAGAGCGAACTTGCAGAATCCTCAAGTGTGAACTGAAGTATAAGTTTGTCACTCTCTTTTTTCGCTTGTCTTTTGTTATATGGCTAATATGGAAATCAGCTTTGCATATGTAAAACTGATATCCCATTATTTGCCTTTTTAATGGGCAGAGAGAAAATCCTGAACTCAAATTTCTAAAAGAAAGTTAAGGGAAAAAATGAAGTTAAAGAGAGACTAATTTCATTTGCTCTTTCAAAAAAAATTTCTTAAACAGGATTACTAGACTAAATCAGAGAAACGACACAGATAAAATACATCTAAACTTCACTAAGGGTTACTGGATGCCTTTGGAGTTCTTGCCCCTACACGTTATTTAATATTTTTTAAATAACTGCATTAGATAAAGACATAAATGGCATGTTTATCAAATCTGCAAATGACAAAAAGCCAGGAATGATGATGATATAAGAATAATGGTAACAGTAGCTAGCATTTCTGTAGTATGTACTAAGTGCCAAGGACTGTGCTAAGTCATCGTAAATATTATCTCATTTGATCCTTAAAACAAGTCTGTGAAGCAGATGCTACTATTACTCCTGTTTTGCAGTTGATGAAATTTGGACAGAGGTTAAGTGCCTTGCCCAAGGTCACACAGCTAGTAGGTATCTTCGGGTTGGATTTGAATTCAGGTCTTCCTGACACCAAGACTAGCACTGTATATCCATGCTGTGACCTAGTTGCCTCACTAGCAGTTAACATTATAGATTATCTATGATTTTCTGACATTTAGGATTTATAAAGCTATTGACAAGCTAATAGAATTGGTCTGACTCTGAAAAAGTAAGATTTACTCAGCCCCTGACAGGAATGACGTTCACATATATGCACCTAAGACATGGAACTGCTTCAGCTGAGAGGTTCTCTCCTGCCTCTCGTGGTCTGCCAGACAAACCTCTGAGCCTGCCTGAAGTGCCAGGGCCTGTTTTGCACACAAAATACCATGAAAAGACGGAAGTTAACCCAAACCTTAGCCCCTTGAGCCAATCACACACATAGTGTAAGAATCAACACTCCTCAAGGAAAAACTAAGGCCTACTTGCATTATGAAAGGGCTGTCTGTTCCCACTACCCTGGATCAAAAAGGAATTTTCCTAAAAAATCCGAGAATATATAAAACCAACAACGTAGTAAGACCACTCAAAAAACTAATGAAGTCTTAGAATGTATATTAATTTTAAAAAAGCATCCACAATTTAGGAGATTTTCATGCCCTACCCATATCAAACCACATCAAGAGAACTATGATCAGTTCTGGGTACCTCATTTTATGAAGGACAATGATCATCTGGAGGGCAACCTAGATGGTGAAAGGTCTAAAATTCCATCATTCGGGAACAAACAGGGATTGTTTAATATGCAAAAGAAAAAAATCAGGACATGACAGCCACCTGCAAGGGATGCCACATCAAAGAAAAAATTTCCTCTGCCTGGTTTCAGGTGAAAAAAGTGGGAACAACAAACAGGCAGAATGTGCACAAAGGAAATTCATAGTCAATGAGAGGGAAAACATCCTAATGATCAGAGGTATCCCAAAGTGGAACTGGCAGGTTTCCCTCCCTGGCACTTTTCAAGAATGCTGCAGAAGGGATTACTGGTGGAAGTGCTGTTTGGACTACAGGGAGGTTTCTTCCCCCCATCAAAAGATAAGCTCGTGGAGAGCAGCCTCTACTCTGCGTGCTTGTGTCTGTAACCCCAGCACTTCGTTCAGTGCCCAGCACATACTTAAAGTACACCGTAAATGCTTGTTTCTTTATTTTGTGACTTAAATCCATTTTCTAATTAGTTTATTTTTTCTCTTTCTCAAATTAGGATTGAAATAAGGTAACAGAGCTTACCAAATCTGCTCCTGCCTGAAGTAACACATCTGCTACATCAGTATGCCCATTTTCACAAGCATATGTCAATGCTGTGTCTCCTGTTGCTGTTGTTGCATGTACATTTGCTCCTGAAGCAACAATAAACAACAGATTTTACTACCATCTAAAATAAAGTAAATATATAAAATACAGTCAAATTTTCTATAGACAAGCCCCATTCTCATAGATGAAAGGGCAAATGATTTGATTATTTAAAAGTTTTTACAGCTTCCTTTTTCTGAAAATAAAGCTTGCTAAAAACCACAATTATTTGTTCTATGATTTCTGATACTACAGTAGTCACCACTTAATCTATAATACACATAAATATGGAGAAAATAATTTATGTAATATATGCTTAGTATACAAGGATGTTGTAAAATTTTGAGTAAGATAACCTATTACAAGATTTTCCCTGAAATAAACCATATACATGCATACACCCATCCATACACACATACATACATACAATACCATAATTTTTTTTAAATTCCTACCTGCTGCTAGTAAGTATTTGACTAACTCCAAATGGCCCTCTTGAGCAGCTTCCATCAAAGGCGTAGAACAGCCCAATTCGATGTCAGCTCCTGCCTTAATTAGAAAGTCTGCTACTTCAAGGAAACCTCCACAGCAAGCCAACGTCAAGGCAGTTTCTTGGGTTTCTTCCGTCTGTGCATTGATATTAGCTCCTTTAATAAACAAACACAATATCCCAATTAATTGAAAGCTATATTTGTTCAAGAGATGACTTTTCCTTTAAAAAACCAACAACACTTTAACTGATTTAAATACTGCAAAATATTAAGTTAAATATAGCGAGCATATAATTACAGATATCTCCTCTTAGTGAACTTACTAAAGGTAACGAAAAATATTACAATAATATTCTATATAGATAAAATAATCCTACATATTGCATCTTATGTGAAAACTCTGCTTAGCCATTGGAAATATAAATTAGGATGGCCAACTACTAAAGGAATAAGTAGAAAAAAAATCAGGAAAATGGCTCATAACCAATTTTTTCAAAACAAAAAATATCATGAAACAGTCATACAATATACAGTATGACACAAAAATGTTTTGTACAATTATTTTTCACAAAAATAACAATTTCAATTATATAAGCATCTCATTTATCCATCTAAATATACAATGGAAGATTATATGTTGAACGGATTAAACAGCAGCATTCAAAATTCCAATTTTGAAATCAGATCAAATTCATGTAGATAGAGGCCATAAATCAAATTCAAGACACTTTATTAAAGAATACATTTCTGTTTTCTAAATAAATTAAATATAGGTAATATTTTAAACTGGACAAGAATGCAAATTTTTTTTAATTTTTACATTTAAATTCTTGCATTTTTAAAGACACTGAAAATATGTTCTTAACACAGCCTTTATTTCAAGAGTGAACTTCAAAAGAGCTTACATTTAGCCACAGTGACAAAAGAAAACTGTATCAGCGTGGAAATAAAGATTTTTCAATCTTTTTTATATTTTTCAATATATTTAAACCTCAAGTTACTTTTTTTCTTTTGTCAAAATGAAGTATTATCAAAAATGTCAATAATGCAAGGGGGAAGGGAGGAAATAACAACATGAATATATCAAGCCTTCAGATGGTTTAAGTGAATTACACTGCGTCATAGGGTAACAGGATCTTAGATTTCAAGGTCAGAAGGGACCAGAGAAATCATCTAGTTCAAGACTCTCAAGGAACAAAGATTAACTGATTTTTCCAAGGTGAGACAGGAAGTAAATGGCAGAGCCAGGATTTGAACTTCCATCTTCTGACTCCAAATTCAAAACTTTTCCCATGTGCATTAAACTCCCTTTCAGGGAGTTTCTTAAGTATGTTATAAACTACTTACTGAGTTAACTCTTATAGAGAAAGCAACAGAAATCTGCTATGTTCACAGTCTTAAAATATCCCATTAACTTCTAGTTTATATTTTTTCACAATTCGCCTGTTTATGAGATTATACCTACCTTGACCCAGAAGCAAGGCCACCATCTCTTCATGCCCTTCTCTAGCTGCTTCCATGAGTGGTGTATAACCCTCATCATTGACCTCTTCCAAGTTGGCTCCTCGCTCGATGAGCAGCGCTGCCAGCTCCACATGGCCCCCGCAAGCAGCCAACGTCAGTGGGGACTCAAATGAATCAGCAGGCATATTGACTTGTGCTCCACTATCAAGAAGTAACCTGGCCACTTCAACATGGCCATCCTGGGCACAAAAGTAGGGGGGAAGTTAGAAGAGCATTAGATATAGTTAATATGAAGAATAAAAGTTCTGAGTTAAATAGTTTTCTATAATTGTATTATCTTAACCCAATAACACTTCAAGTAAAGAGCAGGGATCAATATTAGATCATATGATTTAATATGACATTTAAGTCCACAAGACTTATATTAAATATATATTCTTGGTACTATATGGCATGAGGAAGAGGAAAAGGAGGCAGTGGACCAAAGAAATAGAAGACATGATGTGCATGCCCTTTGATAACAGCACTTCTAGGGCTGTATCCCACAGAGATCATAAAAATGGCAAAAGGCCCCACATGTACAAAAATATTTATAGCAGCTCCTTCTGTGGTGACAAAGAACTGGAAACTGAAGGGATGCCCATCTACTGGGGAATGGCTGACTAAGTTGTGGTACATGAATGTAATGGAATACTATTGTGCTATAAGAAATGATGACCAGGCTGACTTCAGAAAAACCTGGAAAGACTTGTATGGACTGATCCTGAGTGATGTGAGCAGAACCAGGAGGACGCTGCACACAGTATTAGCCATGTTGTGCGATTGCTAACGTTGATAAACGTAGCCTTTCTCATCAATGCAAGGATGTAAGACAATTCCAAAGGACTCATGATGGAAAATGCTACCCACATCCAAGAGAACTATGGAGTGTGAATGCAGATCGAAGAATACCACATGCTATTTTTTTTCTTCTGTTTTATTTTGTTTCCTCTTTCTTTTGGTTCCTTCTGTTGGTTCTAATTCTTTCTTACAATGTGACTAATGTGAAAATGTTTAATAGGAATGCATATGTACAGCCTATATCAGACTGTATACTGTCTTGGGGTGGGAGAGGGAGAAAAATTTAAAACTCAAAAGCTTATGGAAGTGATTGTTGAAAATAAAAAATAAATTCATAAAATTTTTTAAATAAAGAAATAAAGAATTAGAAGATATGGCTTAACACTAAAGAAGAATACAATCTGACCAGGCAGACAACAGTGGAATAAGAAACAACCAAAGGCTAGGTGGTATATTACCAAACGCAAAAATCTGTGACAGTGCTTAAATGCTATAGGAATTTTTTAAATGAAATGAAAAGTCAGTGAGTTACACAGAGCACCTCTCTTCCTATGGAATACAGCTCTACCAGCTAAAGCCCTCTCTCTCCAACTGTCATGTACTTAACTTTGAATATTCACTTCATATTTATTCCATACTTATTTTTATATGCACTGGTCTTCCCAATTAGATTGTTCACTGCAAGCAGGGATTGTTTTCAGCCTTTCTCTTCATATGCCCAATGCTCTGAAGTGTAATTTAACTGACTGGAATATGATTAAAATCCCAGGAAGATCCTAGGATAAAACATTAACAAGATAATTGGTAAATACATTGAAAAGGAAGCAATGGTTACAAAGTGTGTGCCTTCATCAAGAACAAGCTACATCATACTAACCTGATTTCCTTTCCTGAACTGGCAAATGAAAGGAGACAATGTCCACATACTCTACATTTTTTGAAAAGCTATTCTTATGGAGAAGATGATGAAGTATAGACCAGGTTTGGCAGTAGTATCCAGGGATTTGTGCTTGGCCCTGTGCTGTTTAACATTTGGAGCAATGACATGGATAAAGACACGCATAGATGAAATGCTCATTAAATTTGGATGTGACATAATAAAGCTGGACGCCAGAGTTAGAATCCAAAAAGATCCTGACAGGTAAAAGCATTGGGCTGAATCAAATAAAATGAAATTCAATGGGTACAAAGGTAAAGTTTTACACTTGAGTTCAAATCAACTCTCTAAGTACAAGATGGAGCAGGCAGGGCTTGATAACTTTTGACTGAAAAAGCATTAGGGGGTTTTAATATTCTGCAGTCTCACTGTGAGATGACACCTGAACCAAATCCATGGGATCTTGGGCTCCACTAAGAAAGACATCGCCCTCATGCCTACAGAAGTGATGGCGCCTTGGTACTCTGCCCAACTCAGACTTCACCTGGAGTACCGAGCCGAATGCCAGATACTGCAATTTAAGCTGAAAAACCTCCAAAACATCAAGATGCTGCAGGACCTTAAGTCCAAGACTTGGAGAATGATAACCTTCTTAAATAACCAAGCAGGTATCAAACAGAAGCAGGAAGTAGAAACTACAAAGAAGCAAATGTGGATTTAATGTCAGGAAAAACTTCCCACCTACAGCTATTCCAAAGTGCAGAGGGCTGCTTTGACACCTGGTGAGGATGCACAGAGCAGACCTGGCAGGCGGTATCCAGGGATCTGTGCTGCTTCGCACTTTTAGCAATGACAAGGACAAAGGTACAGATGAAATGCTTATCAATTTTGGATATGATATAAAGCTGGAAGAAACAGCTAACAAACTGGAGGACAGACTTAGGACCCAAGGATCACCATGCCCTGAAGGTTTTTCAACAGCTATCCTTTTCAGATAAAGGTTGGATTAGATAACCACAGAGGTCCTTCCAACTCTCAAAATCTTGTGATTTATTATGAACACTGAAAATGTGGAAGGATCTGGATACGTGAAGAAGACGAAGAACATTCCAAGTAAAGGGGTAAGCATAAACGGACAGCACCAAAGGAAGTAAACAGAATAAGAACATAAAGAAGACTCAGAATTGCAGCAGAAAATTCCTTTTCTGAAACACTGGGAGATGTAGCCTGAAATGATAGATGGCCTTGAATACTGAACTAAACAGTATAAGTCCTTGTAGGTTCTTCAGGAAAGAAAGGAAATGTCTGAAGAAAATCATGCTTGATTAAAATTGAAGATGTCTATGGTAGTATTCTCAAAGACAATATCCATCAAAAGGTAAGAACTCAGTCAGCAGAAGAATTCCTGTCTCACTTCCTGGAATTCCAGTCAGAAACTATTTTTCCCCACTGGGATATCGCAAGCAAAGCACTCTGTCCAAGGTTTTGCCTAAATAAATCTTTTTGTAAATTGCTGAATGACCTCTGGGTATCTCATTACCTGCCTGAGTCAGGCCCAGTTCAGAATAACTAAGACATGCAGATTGGAAAAGAATGATCTCATTGAAGCAGGGAACTGCAGTTCAGAGGATAGTAAGCCTGGATCAGCCCCAAGGGTTCAGGAAGAGTTTTTGGTGACGCCTCTCAAGAGAATGGTTCCTTAACACTAATCCCTCCCTCTTCCCCAAGGAAATTAGGGAGTAAACTGTGGTCATTCAGCAAAAATAAATCAATATCAACATACCAAGTCTTTAAGAACAGGGATTTTATGTTTGTTCAATCATTTCAGTAGTATCCAACTCTTCATGACCCCTTTTTGGGGGTTTTCTTGGCAGAGATACTGGAGTGGTTTGCCATTTCCCTCTCCAGCTCATTTTACAGATTAGGAAATCAAGGCCAACAGGGTTAAGTGAATTACCCCAGGCCACATAGCCCTTAAGTATCTGAGGCTGGATTTGAACTCAGGAAGATGCGTCTTTGTGATTCCAAGCCCAGCACTCTGTGCACCATGGTGCCACCTAGCAACCCATAAGAACAATGCGTTCCCATGTACCAAAATAAAATCCAAATGGGTTCATGATTTAGATATAAAGGCTGATACTGTAAGCAAACTGAGAGAACAAGGAATAGTTTACCTATCAGATTTAGGAAGAACAGAATTCATGACCAAACAGGAGATAGAGAACATTATGAAAGGCAAAATGGATAACTCTGATCACATTAAATTGAAAAGTTTTTGCACAAACAAAGCTAATGCAACCAAGATTAGAAGGAAAGAAGAAAACTGGGAAAGAATTTTTACAACCAGTCTCTCTGATAAGGGCCTCATTTCTAAAATACATAGTGAATTAGGTCAAATTTATACGAATATGAGTCATTCTCCAATTGATAAATGGTCAAAGGATATGAACAGGCAAAGTTATCAGATGAAGAAATTCAAGCCATCTATACTCATATGAAAAAATGCTCTAAATCGTTATTGATTAGAGAAATGCAAATCAAAACAACTCTGAGGTACCACATCACACCTATCAGATTGGCCAAGATGACAAAAAAAGAAAATGGTAAGTGTTGGAGAAGATGTGGGAAAATTGGAACACTAATGCATTGTTGGAGTTGTGAAATGATCCAACCATTTTGGAGAGCAATTTGGAACTATGCCCAAAGGGCTATAAAAATGTGCATACCCTTTGACCCAGCAACAGCACTCCTAGGGCTATGTCCCCAAGAGATCATACAAATGGGAAAAGGAACCACATGTACCAAAATATTTACAGCAGCTCTTCTTGTGGCAGCCAAAGAATTGGAAATTGAGAGGATGCCCATCCTTTGAGGAATGGCTGAATAAGTTGTGGTATATGAATGTAATGGAATACTGTTGTGCTATAGGAAATGATGAACAGGCAGACTTCACATAAACCTGGAAAGACTTGTATGGTCTGATGCTGGAGTGAAGTGGGCAGAACCAGGAGAACATTGTACACAGTAATAGTCATGTTGTGTGACTGACTAATATTGATAGACTTGACCTTTCTCAGCAATACAAGGATCTAAGACATCTCCAAAGTCTTATGATGGAAAATGCTATCCACATCCAAAGAAAGAACTATGGAATTTGAATGCAGATCGAAACACACTATTTGCTCTTTTTTTTCTTCAGTTGTGTTCTGTTTCCTCTTTCTAGTGGTTCCTATTGGTTCTAATTCTTACTTACAACATCACTAATGGGAAAATATGTTTAATAGGAATGTATGTGTATAGCCTATATCAGATTGTGCACCATCTTGGAGAGGGAAGTGGGGAGGGAGGGGGAGAAAAATTTAAAACTCAAAAGCTTACGGAAGTGATTGTTGATAATTCCAAATAAATAAATTAAAAAAAAAAAAGACTCCATGCTTGACGGTACTCTGCTGGCAGCAATGCAAACTGATCCAACTGTTTGATCAACCAGATTTAAAGTAATTTCAAATTTTGCCAAGAAAGTGACTAAAATGTCATCCTCTTACTGAAATCTCACTGTTAGGCAGTGAGATACCCCAAGGACCCCAATACCCTACCCCTTCCAAGACAGAAAGCCCTACATGCCAAAATATTTATAGTAGCATTTTTAGCAACTAGAAACCAAACAAATTCTACCTAAGAAAAATCTGTGGTACATGAATGTAAGAAATAATGAATATGATAAATACAGAGAAACATGAGAAGACTTAGACTGATGCACAGCAAACAGAAACAACAACAATTTAAATAAAAAGAAAAAAGAAAAACTAAGTGCTGTTAAATTATACTGAATCTCTTAAATAAGAGATTAGAGAAGGCACTTCCTCAGCTTCTTTACAAAGACAAGGAACACTGCATGCAAAATATACTGTTCAGATTTGCTTGTCAGTTTATGAGACTTTTTTATTCTTTGTTTTAAGAGATAGTTCTCTGGAAAAGGGAGTAGTGATGATCATACTGGAAAACGTAAAGGATGCAAAAACAAAAGATATCAAAAACATTTTTCCAAGTTAAAAAAAAAACCAACAGGGGAGCTAGATGGTATAGTGGATACAGCACCGGCCCTGGATTCAGGGAAGACCTGAGTTCAAATCTGGCCTCAGATACTTGACACTTAACTAGCTGTGTGACTCTGGGCAAGTCACTTCACCCCACTGCCTTGGAAAAAAAATATTAGTTTAAAAAAAAAACCAAACAAACCAACCCTGAGCTATCACAGGATTCATAGCTGGAGAGACCTCAGAGGATTTCCCAGTCCTGTTTCCTCATTTTACTCATAGGCACAATGACACCCAGAAGGGACAAGCGCCTTGACCAAGGTCAAACAGCTGGTGTCATAAATGGGCTGGGTTTCCCGGTTTTAAATCCAGTTCTCTTTGCACTGTGTCACCGAATGGAGGAACCAGTGCAACGCTGGCTGCTTGAACTTCTTGCAAGAACGAGACCAGAGAAGAAGTAAAGTGGGGAACACTACAATGGTCACGAGGACTGGCCAGTTTTATAAGAAAAAGTACTGAACATAAGAATGCTCCATCCAGATAAAGCGAGAAGGCAGAGAAGAAGAGAGGAAACAGGATAAAAAAATCTGAACTCATGAAAGGTCTAAGACGCAGATGAATGCATATTAATGTATTTAGAAAATCCTGAAAAAACAGGTGCAAAGAACATTTCCATCAAATTTCTCTGCTACCTACATGCAGGCTCATGCCTCCTGCAACCTGAAAAAAGATCTTCCCTTGAATCTTCCATCCCTACTCAAATTATCGTCTTATTTTTCTCCTCTCCAAGAGGATGACGATGGTGATGACAGCAGCAGCAGCAGCTAACAGTGATCTAGCACTTCACGTGTGACAGACCCTTAGCAACCACCCTCTCATCTGATCCTAACTCTCTCCAGTGTCTTCACTATGGCCCATTCCCATCTCCACTCCCTCCCCTACCCCCCAATCTCCCAAGTCACCAACAACCTCTTTGCTGCTAAATCCAACAGCCTCTTCCAATTCTCAGGCCTTATTCTTGGTCTCTCTGCTGCTTTGACATCGTTGTACCACTCCCTCCCTCCTCACTTTCCTTGCTCCTGTGACAAAGAACTCTTCGGTTCTCCTCTCCTCTATCTAACTGCTCCTTTTAGTCTCTTTGGCTAGCTTAATATGCATCTTCTCTGCCGTTAAGCATAACCGTTATTCCTTAAGGTTCAATTCTGAAACCTGTTTATTACTTCTTACTCTACACTCTCTGAAAGATTTCATTAGCTCCTTCTGGGTTCAATTAATACTTCTACATAAATGATCCCCAAATCTATAAATGCAGCCCTGAGGTCTCTCCTGAACTCAAGTCTCCAAAGAGAAACTTCCTGCTGGATCACCATAACCTCAACATGTTCAACGCTGAACTCAACACTCCTTCAAAATTTACCTCGTAATAGGCATTAACACCATCCTCCTCATCACCTTCCTTTATTACCTCTAGAGCATACTTGAATCTTTTCTCTTTTTAATTCATTCACATTAATTAATCACATTCAATCAAGTCATGAGACCTTGACTTTATCTCTACAATTTTTCAATCAGTAATCAATAAGTTCTTCTTACAAGCACCTACTACATAGCAGGCATTGTGCTGAGAATACGAAAAGCAGCCAAAGACAGTCCCTGCCCTGTGCAGATAGCTGAGGTCTGTGTGGGATGTCATTAACAAAAGGACGGATCTAAAGTAGCTATACGGAAGAGGTGGCATTTTACAAACTGGGTAATCATTCAACAAGACAAAAGGCAGAATTTCAAAGGCTATTCCAGGTATGGCGAACAAGGCAGGATAAAGAAATGATGGGAGATCAGTTCAGGATGCGTTTAGTGACAGTGAGTAGACATTTGGCTAGAGTATAAGGCATGCCATAAGATAAGGCGGGAAAGACAGGGTGGTGTTAATTTGTAGAGGGCATGGAATGAACATCTTGTGACTCAGCCCAAGGCCCCCAGCACTGTAGATGTAGGCCTTGTCAAGGGGCAACTGTCATAGTGACAGGATAGTCATGTTGTACCTCCTCTGGGACCCTAGAAGGGAGTCCTTTGTCTGGCCCAATTTATGTGCAGGAGGGACTTAGGATCTGAGTCAGTATTAGCTGACCTACCAGCAGCTGGTGGACTAGAATATAAAATGGACAGGTTATTCTGCTCATGGATTCTTGTCCAAAGTGCAGTATTCTGAGGTCTTGTTCCCACCAAGAGAGAAGTAGGCCTGCAGTAAAAAACCAGGAATCACAAAGACCCTCTATACTTGTAAGCTCCTAAGCATAACAAAGACAGGAAAAAAAAAAGCCCCTGACCAAAGAAAACAAAAAGGCACCATTACATCTTGTCCTTTCATGGTCCACAAGTTGTCTAACTAAATGTAATATTTTTTGTAACTGCATTTAATTATGAATTTTGTGATCTCAAATGATTAAGAAAGTTTCTTGTGGTTATTCCATAGGAGAGTTTGACATCATAGCCCAATTTAGACTACACTTTCCAAAACTTTCCTAGTTTCAAATCTGTTATTAATAATCCAAGTTAAAGAGAAGGGAACATATGAGGTTCTCTGGCTAGAAGCAAACTGTAACTGTACTTAGGTCATAACAGAAATCTCCAGACTACCTGGGTTAGTCCTATACAATAATACCATGAGAAAACTAACAATAGTTTGATGGGATTCTTGCACAGCAAAGACATTCAGCATGTTCAATGACTTAGACAGGTTTCACCCTAACCCACCAAAATCAATGTGTATCATATACGTTTCACCAGTCTTACCATGCAGGCTTCCATTAAGGCAGTGTGCATTTCATCTGTTTTATGCTCTTGATCCGCACCAGCTTCCAGCAGAAACCTCACCATTTCTAAGTGACCTAAATCAAAAGTAAACCAAATTACTTAAAAAATAATTCCCCGTCACTCATAAGTTGAACAAATAAATTAAAAATAACAGTTGCCATTAAGTTTATTTCAGCAGTTGAGTTTTCATTTAAATTCAGAATTTAATTAAAAGAGCAGCAAAGTCAGGTAGAGACAAATAATTTACAAATAGTCAAACTTCTGCTCTCAACCAACACCTTCGTTATTCTGCTGCCACTGAAGTCCAAGTCAGAGCAGATTTCTCCTTCTGATATCATTCTCTTTCCTGGCCGCCTTTCAGTATCAGTGCTAGACATGTTATAATTTCAACTAAACATGAGAACATCAAGAGGCTTTTGTGGAATAGTCTAGGAAACTAACGTTGTTTTAACACTATGTTGCTACAAAAATTCATCTGAAATCCCAAATAACCAATATATAAATGAACTTTTGGAGCACACTCCATTTGTAAGTTGAATAACAAATTATTTTGAAATAATATTTATTAATTTCCAGAAAAAAAGACTCAAATAACCCTATTCAAGTATTACTAAACCTAATATAGTCATCACAGGAAATAATAATTAAAATGTGTAAAAAGGCAAACAAAATTAATCCCTCATTCACTTGACTTAAGGACCACAGCTCTAAATGAGTCAATTTCCCACATTATTTAACAAAGACAGTACTACAGCACAGTGTCTGGCATACAGTCGGTGCTTAATAAATATTTATTGATATTTTTACAATTAAGTCACACACTGGTAATTATACTGTATTGTGGAAGTTGTCAATGCAGGTGATAAGGCGCAAAGGCATACTAATCATAAGGGATAGCCTTTGCTTTTTATAAAAAGTCCCTTGTGGGGGCAGCTAGATGGAGCAGTGGATAAAGTTCTGGCCTTGGAGTCAGGAGGACCTGAGTTCAAATTTGATCTCAGACACTTAACACTTCCTAGCTGTGTGACCCTGGGCAAGTCACTTAACCCCTCACACACACACACAAAAAAGTCCCTTGCCAAACTTGCTTTTTTAGCTACTTATCTCATTCTCACAAAGGTAGAATATAAAATATGCAGTTTTATTATTGCAGTGCAGCATAAAATAGCTAATCTCCTTTAAAATTAATAATTAAATCAAAAGCAATCTCTTCTCTCAAGGTGCATGTCTTAACCCTCTGAAAAGTTTCTTTTCAATTGTTTGCCTTGTCTTGCAAAATTCAGAACATCCTCATTCCTACAAAACCAACACAATGCCTCGGTCACTTTCAAATTATTCATAGTCATGACTGCTCCACTCCCTTAACATTTCAGGCTTAAAATTATTTAAAGACAAAGCACAGCCTAGCCACAACTCATTTTCTAGCACGAGCCATAGCAGAAGTTGGGAAGCATTACCAAAAACAGATTGATTTCATTATCACTGTTCTAGGCAGAGACAATGTAAAGAGTTCTCTGAGAAAGTCACAAAATTATTCAACAACTGACCTCGACCAGCTACAGCCAGGCTTAAAATAATCCATCTTAATTTGTCTGAAATGCCAGTTCATTGACTGGTCAGAAAACCTGTATGGCTGAGTTCTACTACATTTGGCCCTAAAAATCTTTTGTATTTTGCATATAGAAATCTTTTTCCCTTAAGAACAGTAACTTGTGTTTTTGCCCCTGCCCTTTCACTAGAAGAAAGGTGGTGTGGATTCTACAGTAACTCTAACCTCACTTTGCTGCTTTTTCCAATAATATCAGCAAGTATTTATTGAATTCTACTCTAGCTTGCTGCTGTTGCACAGTGAATAACAACTGTCATCTTCTCACACCAAGTTTACCAAACCCAGTGTTGTTTGGGGACTGGTTTTGGAGAGGGTCTGCCAAATAAAATTGAGATTTGATCCATCCCAACAATATGCTACCTAGACACTGGAGTTACTGACAACTGTTTATTCCAATGCTATAGACAGACTCTTTCTCAATATTTATGTTTGTCAGTGCTACAATGCCATGTGTGGTATTTAGCGCGCCCTTGAGCCAAATGATATCCTCAGGGAGGGGCGCAGTGCTATCTGGACCCAGCAAAACTGTCCAGTATTGACAGTGCCCACTCCACAGGCCAAATCACAGAATTAGAGAATTTAGAGCTGCTTCAACCATCATCAACATCAGGTCTAAGCCGAAATGAAAAGAAGCGAAGTGACTCGGGGTCACAGGCGTGACTGCCCGGTCAGAAGCAGAGCCAGGACTAGAACACTTACTGTTCTCTTGGCTCCCAGCTCTGGGCTTTTACCATCTCATCACAGCTGTCTCCAAGATACCTGTGAGTGCTAAGGACATGCCTAGACACTGAAGAGCTTTGCCCGTTTCTTCTGGGTCAAAGGCTCCAATACGTGCCAAAGTCACTGTCACTGATTTTGTAGCCAACTGACTTTTCCCTTCCACTTTCTTTTTTCTTATCTCTTTTGTTTCCTTTCCCTACTGATTCTCATTTTCCCCATAAAAAGCAACTCAGTTTTTGCAACTATCATGAATCAATGAGCACATTCAAAGAACCACAAAACCAACTAATATTGAGTGTCAATGACCTCTGGATCTTCAGCTCTTAATGGATAGTCTTAAAAAAAACAAACAAACCACACTTCAGCATTCAATGCCATTTATATGCCCACAGTTACCAAAAGGCTACTCTGGGTTATTATTATACCTAAACTTCTAAGTCTTCTGGGAAATTAAGGCAATATATTGTTAATATGCGTGGCCATTTTATGCTATGGGCTACAATGACCAGAATTAAAAACACTCAGTAGGGGCAGCTAGGTGGCGCAGTGAATAGAGCTCTGGCCTTGGAGTCAGGAAGACCTGAGTTCAAATCCAGCCTCAGACACTTAACACTTACTAGCTGTGTGACTCTGGGCAAGTCACTTAACACCTATTGCCACACCAAAAAAAAAAATGCTCAGTAATTTTTATTGTCCATATATTAGTTCCATTGTGTTTTGTCTGCCTTTGATCAACAGAAAGTGAAGTAAATTCTGTACCTGAATCCATACTTTAAGCGATTTTCATTCACTGAGAACCAATTCAAGCACTTTATTTACAAAGTAACTCTATATTATAGGGGGCAAATGCTTTAATTTTATTCTTTACTAAAAATAATCTGATACCAGAAAAATCAAAAGTAAATTTTCATTTTTTTCTAAAATAAAGGTTGTATACTCTACCTTTGTAACAAGCTAAAGTAAGTGCACTCTCCTTAAATTCATTGGAATGCGTATTTATTCCAGCCCCATTTTCCAGCAGCAACCTGGCTACTTCCACATGACCGGCACTTCCTGCTTCCATAAGAGGAGTGTGACCATTTTCATTATGGTCCTCAATACTAGCACCAGATTCCAAGAGCACCTTTACAACGTCTACATAGCCTCCAGCACAGGCATATGTGAGTGCTGTATTTCCTAGTTTAGTAAGGGGGAAAAAAAGAGGAAAGTTACTAAGAAAAAAGTGAATTAAAATAAAAAATTTTAACAAGAAACAAAGCAATTGACACAGTAGGTTTATCTATCTACCTACCTATGTGTGGGTATGGGAAATGTTACTGTTAACACAGTCTTATACCCTAATTACGTTGGATTTTTAAAAATCTACTACCTAAATTCTTCTCTGCTTATAATTAAGTTAGATACACCTGGAAAACTGGAGAGTGTCCTCAGGATCTGAGAATAAAAAGTGTCAGCTTCAGAAAAGGCAAAAACAGCTCATCTTTTTTCCAACAAAAGTCCTACAGGCTAGTCTTTCACCAAGTCTTTGTTGTCTTAATTAGAAAGTTACTCACCTAGTACAAACTGACTAGATTCTGTAGACTTTAACCACACACAACAGTTCATACTGTTCTTCCAAGACACTGCTACTTTATGGAAGGTTAATGACTGATAACCTCAGGCTAGTCAAAGTTTACATGGACTAAAAGTCTCACAAGGCATCAAAACGATATTTTCTTTTGATATAAAATAACAGCGTTTGAAACTATATTTACTAATTTATATCTCAGCCTGTGAATCTTTTATGGATTGTTTTGATGCTTAAAAAAAACCCCACAAACACAGGGGAAATAATTCTAAAAAGAAATACAAGAAATGGTCAAACAAAATCATTCTCTGGAGAAATTAGCACTTATTGGACCTTAAAAATTATATAATCTGGCCAAAAAATATTACTTAAGAGCAAGAAGTTTCAGCAACATTTATCACAGCATTATGGGCCACAGTTTTATATAGTATGGAATTAGGCATCTTTATTCCCCTCAAATCTCTTCAAAACCATAGGGTTTTAGAGGAGAAATTTGCTAAGGGGCCCTCAGGAATGTATGTCAATCAAGAACAAATGACCTGTTAACAGATGAAACAAGTTCTCCACATATTACCAAAACAAGCCCCAAAACACAGGTTCTCCATCACTGGTAAATCAATTTTCAATATATAAATATAAATAAATATAAAGCAGTTGTATTCAAAACATATTCTGAAAGCAATTTATTTTAATATTTTGAACAATTTTATGTTTATGTTAAATATGTGGGCAATTTAAGAAACAAACTGAGTAAAAGGAACATTATTAGTAATGGCCATTTGAACCTAGCAGGTGCTTACTATAGTAGGCTGTTACCTTTCTGGAAGGCAGAGCAAGAGATAACCATTACCTGTTGAAGACTGTGCATTGACGTCGGCCCCATGAGCCAGCAGCAATTTCACGATTTTTACATGACCTCCGTTAGCAGCAGCCATTAAAGGTGTGATGTCGCCTTTAATGCCCCTGTCTTCTACATTAGCATGCATTGCCAACAAAACCTTGGAGGGAAAAGAGCATTACAAGGTTATGCTGGCAACAGCAAGTGTCCAAGTACTTGATTTGGAATTCTTGAGCATTTAATTAACAGGTGCCTATTACCGGTGCAAAATTTAGTTAAACATTTAATTATTTGAGAAAAGAATGGAAAAGGGGAAGTTTTCATAGTTACTTAATAAACAAAAGCTAGGTAACAAAATGACAGTCTATCATCTTTCAAAGTACCAACCTGTGCAAGCTCATAATATCCAGCTGAGCAAGCTAAACAAAGAAGGCTTTCCCCTTCTTCTGTATGCTCATTCACACTTCGCCCTTCAATTAGCAACTTTCGCACAGCATTTACATCTCCTTCTGAACAGGCTTCTGCCAAACTGCGACTATTAAAGGAAGAAATTTCAGCATTTACCATATACAAAGCATACTGAGATACATTATTTTCCCAAGTCAAATTAGACAGTTCATCATGTGACACAGACCACAATTAGTTTGTGAATGCCCACATTCTACCACGACCTGGTTTTTCTTTAAAAAACACGAGGTCAATATTTCCTAATCAAGACATGTCACATTTCCTCATATCTGCACCTGTATCTTCTCTTTGGGGTCTCTAATCAATTTTAATGTGTGGCAACTACATGCAAAATAAAACCCCTATATGCAAGGCTTACTCTAATGTAACAACTTAGTAATGCATAGACTCAAGCAAATGGTTAAATTTTTAAAAATCTGTAAATAAAAGGCTAGCATGCAAAAGGCATTTTAAATCAGTGCAAACATTAAGCTTAAAAAATTCTACAACACTTATTATTTGGAATATACTGCTTAACCAATTTTGTTAAACAAAAATGGGGGGTGCAATTTATGTCAATGTTAATACTCGAAAAATATTGTTATTATGTTCCACCTACTAGAATCAGCACTATAATATACCCTACAAAAGCCTTCATTTCCCCCCCTTCAATCTGGTTAATCCCAGCAGGCACCATAGTCAAGGATCCTCAGGGTTATATCATTACTATGGCAGGGCAGTAACCTCTAAATGCTAAACTAGGAATGAGAAACAACGCTAAAAGGAGGAAGGCAAACCTACTCAGAAGCAGAATAGGTAATTAAACAAATAGGATGATGAAAAAAGGGATCAAGAGGAAAAGTTCCACCTGCAATGGGTAAACTACTCAAAATGGATTATATTCATAATATGGTAAACAATTCTATAATCCTTTTTATAGTTTCATTGAAGTTTCAAAAGAAATTCTGATACACAGTGGAAAAAAATACTTCAAGTGTTGAAGAAAAACTATTAATACTGTACTCTGTTTCAGGCGTAAGACAGAAATACTTTTTTAAAAATTTAATACTAATCAAATATGGAAACACTTTCTAGCTTAGATGCTCAAATTGGTAATAGTTGCCCAATGACCACTGATATTTCTCTCTAACTCCAGAGGATCTGAGGTAACATTAACAGGAATCTCGAACAAGGAAAAGATCACATTAGAACAGATTTAGAGTTAACATTGCAAAACCAGTCACTACTCAGTGTCCTAGAAGGATTCAGGCCACACTCTCAAGGTTCTGATTGGAGGCCACTCCTCCCCGCATTCTATCTTCCTGGGAGATCATCAGCTTCCCGAGACTCAATTATCATACCCATGCACAAGATTCTCAGACTAATTTATCCAGTCCTGTAAACATCTGACACAAAACACATCCAAAACTGAACTCGCATCTTCCCTCACTCAAAAACCTCCCTTGTTCCCAATTTCCTAGTTACTGCAGAAGGCACCACCGACTGCTCAAGTCGGCCACCCGTGTCAGTGACCCAGGCGTTCTCCTCAATTCCTTACTGTCTCACCCCCACCCCCTCATATCCAATCCGCTTCCAAGTTCTGCTGATTCTACCTTCACATCTTTCATATGTGCCCCCTTCTCTGTTCTGACACTGACACTGCTGGTGAATTTCATGGCCTGGGTTCCTAGAAGGCTCACAAGATTATAGGTAAAATAAAGTAGGTAGTCAAACTAAAAGGAAAAGAAATTTAGCAGTCTGTCTATGGAGACTGTCTGCTGGAAGCCTCCCCTTTCTTCCTAATATTGAGATTTAGCTTTCAGGCCCTGCGAGCGCACAGCCAAGCAGCATCAGTCTACATCTTTAACTAGACGGATCAATGGGGCACCATCCCGCTACAATAGAAAAGTTAGCTGATTACTGGGCTTCCTGTAATAGCAGGTTCAAGTCTGATGCATTCACCTACTTGATAATCAAGTTGTCAGTGTGGCTGGAAAGGTTTTCTCTGAGTAAAGAACAGGGCTGCCACCCCAGACGCTGCCCCGTCTTTTCTCCCTCCATGCCAGAGCTGGAGCTCACAGCTTCGTGCCTAGACTACCGAAGCAGCCCGTTGGTTGGCCTCCCTCTACTCAACTGAACATCCATGGCCCACGCCCCAGCCGAACTCCTCAGTTCCATAAACTCCAATGGCTCAACACCTCCAGGATCGAACATAAAATCCTCAGTTCAGCTTTTGATTTGCTGTTCAGCTGTTTTTTCAGTCATGTCCAACTCTCTGTGACCCTATTTGGGGTTTTCTTAACAAAGACAGTGGAGTGGTTTTGCCATTCCTTCTCCAGCTTGTTTTTACAAATGAGGAAACTGAGGCAAACAGGGCTAAGTGACTTACCCAGGGTCACACAGCTAATAAGTACCTGATGCCAGATTTGAACTCATAAAGATCAGTCTCTCAGATCCCCAGCCCAGTGCTCTCTCCACCGTGCCGTGTCAGCTTTTAAAGCCCCCTTCATAGCCCGGCCCCCTTCTATCTCTCCAGTCTTCACAGATTGCACTCCCCTCCATGTGTGCTCCAGGATGCCTTGCTACTGGCCTCCTCGCAGAACGTCAGTATTTTCACTGACTGACTCTCAGGCCCAGAACGCTCTCCTCGCTCGTTCGTCTCCACCTCCTGGCTACACAGGCTTCATTCAAGTCCCAGCTAAAATCCCACCTTTTTGCAAGAAGTCATTCGTGATTTCAATGGTCGCTAGCCCCATCCATGCTATGACCTCCAACTGACCTTACAGCTTGTGTGTACGTATTTGTTTCCATGCTTATTTCCTCAGAATATATGATCCTTGGAGGGAAGGGACTGTAGTACAACATAGTAAGGAGCCCGGCCTCTCAATAAAATGAAGAGATTATTCAGTTCCTTTTTGGACCACACACCCCTCAAGGAATGAAAAGGGTCCTTCCTCCACCCCATCCCACCCCACCCAACCAATCATTATCATCACTCTGAACAGTAAGGTGGGACAAAGTACCTCTTTAGAAGGATACAAAGTCCCAGGACTCTTATCTAAATTCTGGTTCCCACTCCATTTCCCTAAAACCGGCCTTCTGTATTCCACCCAAGTGATCTTCAGCCAGGGAAGGGTTTTTTTAAGAGAGAAATATCAGTCCTCAAAACTGCTACAGAAACTAAGAAGGTTTTTAATATGCTTCTTTCCTTCCACACAGGCTATTTTTACTTACTCTCAAAACACTCTATCACTTTTCCAACAGTTTTAAGGTTATTATTAGAAAATACAACTTAACATCTACAGATGATTGTTCCTTAAGAGGAATATTTAGTTATAGACTAAGAGGAACTAAAGTGGGACCTTCTGGTGTCAGAAATTATGTGAAAGAAAAAAGGCATCAACCACATTTTCTCTACATGCTTCCTTAGTGTTCCAAAACCCATTCTTCCATATAACTTCAACATAAACTGAAGACGGTGATGTTTTCAGTTAGGATGTATTTGAATGTTTTACAAAAATAATCACCTATGTGTACTGAATTAGGCCACATCTAACAGGATACACCACGGAACCACGAGTCCCTTATGCACTCACTTGTCTGTGGGGCCAGCACTGGCGGTGCTCTCGGCTCTCATGCGGGTAAGGGCAGCAGCTGCTTCATCCAAGGCACAGCTGACAGAGGACGTCAGCCTCCGGAGCACTTCTGGATCTGCAAAGGCTTTACCATCAGCCGTAGATAATTTGCCAATTCCTTCGTGGTGATTTACCAGGCCGATCAGGACACATCAAAAGCAAAAAACAAATGAAAATCAAGTTACTTAAATGCAAACAAAATTGGTCAAAAGTCAGTGTGTTCCTCCAAAGAGAAAGGCAAGAGACAAGGCAGGCTAAACTTCAACAGAACAATCTGCAAAGAGAGGAGCAGTGGGGCAAAAGCCTTCTAAGACTATAAACTGCAGAGTTGAAAGAGTCTTCATTGGGAATAGAAGTTTTCTCTAGAAGAGTTTCCTTTAAGAAATCAAGAGTCCAGGGAAAAAAAAACACAAAAAATTATAACTTGTTTTGAGGATTAATAGAATAATATTGGGTAGTGCCTAAAAAAGTGGTCACTCAAAGCTAGTATTTATGTCAGTCATGCTTCCTAATGACACAGCTATCCATCATTAAGTAGCTTGAATTGCTTTACTCAAATTGCTCAAATATCTATTTATTCCAATTTTCTTTAGAAATTTGACATGGATTTCCTCTTACCAAAAATGTTTATCATCATTTCACAAAAGACTTGACATCTTATGCTTTTACTTTGTATGAAGCAAATTTTTAAAAGCATCAATTCAAAAAAAAAAATCAAAGCACATTTCAATATGAGTAACAACAACAGCATTAATATTTAGTATACTGATTTCTGAACTTACAATGCTGATGACTGAAAATGTTTATGGAAAAGAAACAGAATTTAAAAGTATGATTTGGAAAGGGGAAAAGATTGTTAAAGAAATACTCTGTTCTTAATGATTGAATATATCCAAGAGTTAATTCAAGATTCAAGATCCAAACACGTACCTGCAGCCTCAAGTAAAGCTTCCAATCTAGCCTGTGTTTCAGGATCTACAGTTCTGAGGTCTGTACCATCAGCGGTACCAGACAAAAGTAACTTGGAAGCAGTTTCCAGCATTGGATTTTCCAAATCATCCTGATCTAAAATGAATGACTCCACCTGAAAAAAAAGAAATTCATATTAATAAAACTCCTAATTAACAAAGATGATGACTATGTAAATAAAGTCAAACTCACTAGACATATTCTCAGCTATATAACTTGTCTAGGAGAGATCTCATTTATCAACACATGCATCACAAAATTATTACCTAGCCTTACACAAATTTTGCTCATCTGTACAACTTGATACTTTGCTTAATATTTATAAATTCTTGATTTTTAGAAAATGACAATATTGTGTATAATCTACTGTTGTTATTCAGTTGTTTCAGTCATGTTCAAGTCTTCATGTATGTCTGAGGCCAGACCTAAACCTTAGAAAGATGAGTCTTCCTGACTCTAGGCCTGGCATTCTATCAAGCTGCCCTAATAATCCTTAAAAGCTGCATTCAACCCAATCAGCACTTATTAAGTACCTATTACATACAAGAGGAAAGGAAAAGAGGAAAACAGAACAGATTTCATAGCAAGGAGAAAATGGATCCAAGCCCATATTCTGACAAGGACTGGCTAAGTGACTGTTTAGGCAAGTTAACTTCTCAAGGCCTCGGTTTCCTCATGTACCATCACCTGAATCCAAGCAAATCACGCTCCTATGGAAAATAGTTCAGCATCAGGAAACTTCCTCGCACAGAGACTTCATCAGCTTTAGGTCTCACCTCACCAGCCCCAGAATGAAGAGCTGAAGGGTAGATCTAAAATCCACTTCCAAAGCTTCCACCAGCTGTGATGCCAGAATTGACTCTGCTCTGATCAAGCCCCACTGTCCAGGTACCTTTTCTTCCTCAACGCCCCCCTTCCCCCTTCTCAGCTTCATGTTGTGTGTCGTCTCCCCCAATTTAGATTGTAAGCTCCTTGAGGGAAGGGACAGTCTTTTTTTTTTATCCCCAGCACTTAACACAATTCCTGGCACATAGTAGGAGCTTAATCAATGTTTATTTGATAACATAATCTATAAAACAAGGGGGTGGACACAGACAGTCCCTGTAAGATACCTTTCTCGGACTAACTTCTCAGTGCTCTAGATAACTAGGACTCTAAAATAACAGAAGAGTTGGGTAATAACGAATTAATGGAGCACACTGCCTCTCCAAGTGTTCTCTACCTCCGTGAAATCACAGGTGTGATTTCATTTAAATATTTTTAAAATATTTAAAATATTTATATTTAACAATTTTTTATATTTTAAAAATATAACAAAATCAAAAAGAGTGGAAGGTGGTGTGTGTGCTAGGCAAAAAGAAAACAAAAAAAGTTTGGCCCTCCAAGGACCTAACCCTTCTATTTGAAGGAAAGAAGTAAATAGATAATTGTGTATATGCACCTGAAAGGATCCATCAGTCAAATATTAAGTACTACCCAAAGCCCACCATTTGTTAAACCCTGGGGATACAAAAAGAGACAAGCTTCCTTTAGGAGCTTACACTATAATAGGGGAGACTAAGTAGAAAAAGCTGACCAAGTAAGCAAGACCCTGGAGGGGAGGCACATGAATGAAGGTGGGGTTTGAGTTGGGACTTAAAGAAAGTCAGGGAGGTCCTTAGTCCCAGGCGAGGAGGAAGGCCAGAGACAATGTCCACCTCAATTCTCTTGTTCACGGATCAATCAGGAAGCCAATGTCACTGAATCAAAGAAGACATGTCAGGGAGTAAGGTGTGAGAAGACCGGAAAGGCAGGAGGGGGCCGGGTTATCAAAGGTTTTGAAAAGATTTTGTATTTGAATCACTAGCCTTTCCATACAGGGGGTGACAAGGTTGAACCTATATCTATGGGGAGTTGACTCGAGGGAGGCAGAGACACGAGGTGATGGAGGCCTGCATGAAACTTAGGGCACTGTCAGAAGGCAGAAGGGGGCTATTCGAGAAACGGTGCGAAGGTGCAAACAGGCCCTGGCAAGAACTTGGACATGACGGGGGAGAGTGAGAGACAGCGAAGAATCCAGGATGGCTCCTCAGTCGTGAGCCTGAGGGGCTGGGAGGATAGTATTGCTCTGTTGAGTAACAGGAAAGGTGAGAGAGGGAGGCTGGGGGGGATGGCGGGAGGAGGTGGGGCAGCAACCTCTGATTCGGCCTGTCTGAAAGGCTACTGGAGCTCAGTGAAGAGATTGGGAGAAGGGTGGGCAGCTCTGAGAATTATCTGCATAGAGATGGGAATGAGACCACCTACAGAAGCAGTACTGAGAGGGGAAAGGTTTCCGTAGGGAACTCTGAGGGACACCTACAGTTAGAGGGTGCAATACAGATGAGTATCTATCCTAGGAGACCAAGAGGGAACAGTCAGCAAGTGCAATAACCAAAAGAGAGTGGTATTCTGAAAACCCAGAGTGAAAACTGCATCAAGGAAGAGAGAATGATTAATACTGTCAGAGGCTGAAGAGAGGCCAAGGTGAGTGAAGACTGAAAAAAGGCCACTGGATCTGGCAAGTAAGATTACTGCTAACTTTGGAGAGGGCAGTCTCAGTAGAATGATGAGGTTGGAAGCTGAACCACAAAAGGTTAAAAAGGAGTAAGAGGAGACAAAAGTGTAGGCATCTATTGCAGATACCTACAAAGTAGAGAAGAGATAGGACAATTCTTTGAGGGACGAATGGAGCAAGTAAGGGTTTTTTCAGGATGATCATTAGGAGACAGGAAGGAGAAAGGAAGGAAATAAGCAATTATAAAGTGCCTAGTATGTGCCAGGTGTTTTACAAATATCTCATTTGATTTTTTCAACAATCCTGCAAAGTAAGTGCTGTTTTTATCCCTATTTTACAGTTGAGAAACTGAGGCAAAGAGAGGTTAAGTTCATCCCAGAACTATTAAGTTTTTTAAGGTCCTATGTGAACTCAGCTCTTCTTGACTGTAAGTCCAGTGCTCCATCCACTGTGCCCACTAGGCTGACAAGAGAACACTAGTAACTTAAGGGAAGGGTTCCCTTAGGAAGTGGGAACTTGAAGGAAGATAGGCATTCTAAGAAGAGAAAGTGAAGAAATACTACATTCCAGCCATGATAAGTAGAATAGCTTGGCTAGACTATATAGTTCAAGAAAGAGAGAGAATAAAGGGATAATCAGCTTTCTTTTGTACCACAAAAGCTTAGCATAGTGCCTGGCATAAAACAAGCACTTCAATACTTTAAATAACAGATTAAACATCAGGAAAGCACAGATTGTCCAGGCTTCAGAGGCACTTGCAGCTCAAAATCTATGTATGAGTTTATGACTGACTAGTTTTGGCCAAATGACACAGTAAGTACTATGAATGTATACTATCTGATTATATTAGAAGGAATTTTAAGGCATTATAAATATTATTAGTTTCAAAAGCAGTAGAATATGTTTCTTTCATGTTAATTTGACAATCCTTTTCAGTGCACCACCCCCAACTCAGCAGAAGAATCATAAAATAGATTTCTGTGCTGAGATCAACACTCCCCCAAGACCTCACCTCCAATTTTATGAATGAGGAAAAAACAGGCCTAGAGAAAATAAAGTCATATAAAATGTAAGGTACAGATTGAGAACCAGAATCCTACAGCTTCCTATTAAATCAGTTTTCTGAGGGTTTATTAAATAAACTGTTCCACTATTTACAGTCACTAGTGAAAAGTCATTTCAAAATTCAATATAATGCTATTAATAAAAGAAATGAAACAGAAATAGGCTGAATCCACTGATCAGGAAATACTGATAACAGTTAGTATAACTAGCTGGGTCATATCAGGGACATGAGGGAGAAAAACTAAAAGACCCTATGAAACTCTAACCTTCCAAAGTAAATGAGAAAATATTTGGTATCTTGACTTTACAAATATTATTTAGAAAATTTTTCTAAAAAATTTCTAAAAAGTTAACAGACATCCCCCATGTCAATGAATTACAAATTTTCTTCCTAAATTTCAAAAAGAAAACATGTCTAACAAAAACAATTTAACATGAAATGCAAATTATTCTGAGTTTTACAATCTACTATAATAAAGACTATTATACTATCCAGAATCCAAACAGATAAAAATGTAAGCTCCTTGGGAGCAGGGGTTTAATAAAGCACTTGATAAATGACCAACTGATGCTTTCACTGAAAATTCCAAATAGTAAACAATATACCTATATTTTAATTGTATTTTGCAGTCAAAGTTATTTACAAAAGTGGTGAAGTATGATAAAATGACAGATATTAACATTTTATTAGAGTAGGATTTTGAAGACATGAATTAACCATACACATAATACAAAATATTAAAAAGTTAATTTTCAAAATCAGAATATGTCTTGGGTGGAAAAGACCTCCAAGGTACAGAACTGGCCATCTAACTAGTCATCATACCCACATGGAATGACCTCTACACAATGTCTTAAGTGATCAGTCTTTGCTTGAAGAGGTCATCCTAGGCCACCTGCTGGCGCTCTCCCCCCCCCCTCCCCTGCCACATACTTACGTAGGATCTTAAGGGACTTCCAATTAAGGCTCGTGTTTACAGTTTGCAGGGTTCCTAGAGCTCCTGTAGTATACATTAATCATTCTATAATGACCAAACTAAGGCTCAAAGAAGGACTTTGGCCAGTCAGCATCCAAGCTACTATCTCCAACTTCCAAATTCCTGACTCTTTCTGATAAAACATGGTACTAATATCTATTATAAGAAACCCTAAAAAGTGTTTTGTTTTGTTTTGCAATTTCAGTACATTAAGATAGACAGAAACAGAAATGTCAGTTCAGGGAACTAAGCTACGCTATAGTCTACCTGTTGCCATCGCCCAAGGTGATTTTTTTACTGTTTTTTTTTTGGGGGGGGGTGCGGGGCAGCAGGGTGGGATGATTACTTTTTTCCCACTAGAAGATATTACAGTTCATTAAGGAAGAAGAAAAGGGACCAAAAAGGGGCCATCAAATGCAGGTAGTAAGAAATAAACAGAAAGATATGAATTTGTAAATAACATTAAATAGCAGCTCAGGGCAACATAGATGCCACAAGGTCACATGATTAATTGGCAGTTTAGAAGCATAAAAGTTCAGAGGGTGACTAAAGAACTTTGTCAAGTGGTGATGGAGAAAGATTTTGTGGAACAGGCAAATGTGAGCAGGGTCTCACAGAAGGAACAAGATCTGATCAGAAAGAAATGGTATATGTACTGGAGAGGGGGAATAAAAATAGCCTATTGTCTGGAAGAGGAAATAATGAGTTGAGTAATTCCACATCACCAAATTCTTCAAGCAAAAGCTACACGAGGTGACCATTCACCGAGTGTATCATAAAGAAAACTTCAACTATGTGGAGTGGGACTGGAGCTCTGGAGAGAGTTGAGAGCTTAATATGTAATATAGGAAGGGGAGTAGCCATGGTCTTCTTGCAAATTAGGTTCTTTGCAAGTCCTCAGCTTGAAGCTATGGAAGATGAGAAGTGTGAGTCAGTCTTCCATCTCTGCATCTTTAAACTACACTTTCTGGAGTACCATTAACTTCTTCGGGTTTTCTGTCCATGAAATGAAGACCAAGAAGGATCAGCACAATTAGGAGGAAAAGGAATCAGGACAGAGGAATGTCATAGACTCCAGGTAGATAAAAAGAACATAGAAACGGGTTTGGGAAAGAAGTAGACTAGGAAGTGTGAAGACCTTTCCATGTATGAAAAGGGCGCCCTTGGAAAAGCAGCATACTTCATGTTGGATTGGAGGGAAGAGATGTGAAGCTATCATCGCAGGCAGGAGATGATATGACCATTAATGATTTTATGGACTTACAGCTGGAGGACAGACAAGGGGGATGAAGGAGTCAAACGTAACTGAGTAGCTCAGAAGGTCACTGGTCAAGTGAGAGGAACTCAGGGCCTTTAAAGAAGCAAATTACAGAGCACTGGAGCCCCCTGCACCTTGTGTAAAGAGGTATTGATCAATCTGTAGGAAAGAGGAGATTTCTTCTGACAACCCAAGAGTGTTAAGAGCCTACATAAACGGCAGATTGTATACAACAGGTACAACACAGGTTGTGTATTTTTTATATTGATACATAATGGGCTTTTTTCTTTTTTTAAAAAATAACTTACTTTTAGTTTTCAGCATTCATTTCCATTAAGATTTTGAGTTAAATTTTGTCTCCCTCCTCTTCTCCCCTCCCCAAGATGGCACGCAATCTGATATAGGCTCCACTTATATATTCATATTAAACACTTTTTCACATGAGTCATGATCTAAAGAAGAATTAGAACTAATGGGAGGAGCCACGAGAATGATGACACAAAACAAATCAACAAAAGAAAAGGAGGGCAAAGAGGATGCTCGGATCTGCGCTCAGACTCCAGAGTCCTTTCTCTGGACGTGGACAGCATTGTCCATCACGAGCCTTTTGGAGCTGAGATCCTTGCATTGCTGGGAAGAGGCAAGTCAATCAGTCAGTCATTGCACACTGTGGCTGTTACGGTATATAGTGTTCTCCTGGTTCTGCTCACTTCACTCAGCATCAGACCGCACAAGTATTTCCAGGTTTTTCTGAAGTCCGCCTGCTTATCATTTCCTATAGTACAACAGTATTCCATGACATTCATATACCACAACTTGTTCAGCCGTTCCCCAATGGATGGGCATCCCTTTAATTTCCAATTCTTTGCCACCACAAAAAAAGCTGCTAGAAATCCTTTTGTACATGTGGGTCCTTTCCCCATTTTTATGATCTCTTTGGGATAAAAACTATGGTCAAAAGGTTTTGTCTTTTTGTCAAGGTAACTGGGGTTAAGTGATTTGCCCTGGATCACACAGCTAGCAAGTGTCAAGGGTCTGAGGCTGGATTTGAACTCAGGTCCTCCTGACTCCAGGGCTGGTACTCTATCCACTGCATCACCTAGCTACCTCCACAGTGGACTTTTTTAACTGGTTAAAAAAACCTCACCTCCCCACCTCAACTGCTAGTGCCCTTCCTCTCTTCCCCTTAATCTGCTCATACTAATTTTGTATTTATTCTTCTATATACTATGTGTACATATTGTTTTTCCTGATAAGCTCTGTGAAAACGGGGATTATTTCATTTTATGTGCATGCTTATATTCCTAGTACCTAACACAACGCTTGGCGCACAGGAGATAACTGAATAAATGTTTGCTGATTGAATCACTGTCCCAGGTCAGCCATGTATAGGTAAGACTTGAACCCTGTTTATCTCCCTCACCATCAGCCCTTTCTCTGCAGGACTAGAGAAGAGAGGTAAAATTTTGATTTTCAAAAAAGGGAAGAAAGAGAAGTCTCTTTACATAATATACTCATACAACTGAGTTTGATTTCAAGTCCGTGTAAAAACAAAGGCTAATTAGTAGCCACGTAGAAAGGGAAGATCATGAAAACAGGTTATGCCAGATTTATTACCTTTTCTAACAAGGTTAGACTGGTAGCCCTGAGAAGGCACCAGGAGGTGAATGTGGAACTAACTGAACGGACCCATTCAAATGGTTTTTTAATGCCAGTCTGGAAGACACAATGGAGTGTCCCACAAGTGCTTGGTCCCATGTATTTTTTTCCAAGGTATATACGGCATACTTATCAAACTCACAGATAACACAAAGCTAACAAGTTACAAAGGATGGCAGAGATTGGTTTCAAAAAGATCGTTTTCAGGCAAGAATTTTGGGCCAAATCTAGTAAAAGTAAAAATAATAAAGAGGTCTCTAACATTTGGGTTAAAAAAAAAATCAGTTTCTCAACAAGATGGCAGGTGCTGCATGTGAAAACAGTGCTTCAAAAGAACTAAGGAAGTTTAGTGGAATGCAATCTCAAGTCTATAATGTGACAGGGCAGTCAAGCATGCACAAAGTGGATTTCTGTTTTAGGAAGGAAAAACACAGCATCCGTGAGAGCCCCTGGTTAGACATCGTCTGGAATACTGTATTGAGTGCTAGGCACATTTTAGTTTGGAGGAGATTTAGTCTTCAAATATTTAAGGAGATAAGTGAAAGAATTTCTTGGCCTGCCACACAATATCAAGGTTCAAAGGAGGTGGAGTTACACCCAAATATAACTGTCTTGGCTACTTTACAAAAAATTGGATTCCCCTTCTCTTTTTATAAGTGCTAACTGGCCACTTACTAGAAAGATTTCTTAGGGAGATATCAGCCTCTAAATGGCCTCTGAGGAAGGACCCTTTCAATACTGAAATTCTCAAGGGATGATTCAGCACCAAGATAATGGCTGACAAGAGTAACCAGCATAAATGTAACCTGGTTTTGTTTTTGCAGAATTTGATTTCTGTATTTGATACACTGATAAAAACTTTCACACAAGTAATTTCTTATAAAAAAAAACCAAAATCAATAAAAGCTATAGATATATTCAAAGTTGCCTAGGTAAGACTTTTGAAGGCAACATCCTCTGTAAGCAATCATCTTTTATTCCCCAGGTACATTTCAAAATGTCCACCAATACATTATTGACCCATTATGGTACTGAGTAAATAACACGACCTTTCACAAAGATTTATTATGAAAGTTTATTCTGATGAAATTTACTAAATAAGCAATGGTGGCAGGTTCACTGAGAAGACAAATAGACAATCTCTGCCCTCAAGGAGCTTACATTCTAAAATAGAACAGAAGGGTGGGGTGAATATACTCTAGGTGTATGCAGGAGAAGAATGAAGACATGCTTGTGAGCCAGTTCAGAGAACCACTAGCTAATCTTACACTGAATATAACTTTATTTTCTCGCCTATCACTGCACAAATAATCATTTTATTTGGCTACTGACTTTTGTATGTGTATCAGTATACTTCAGGTTCCCTTCTTAAACATACCCACTTAGGCTGAAGAGTTAGAAAAATCGATGTCCCACCCACACACATTCTAAGTGTATAGAAAAGTCACTTAACTACCCTAAGGCATTGTAAGCCGTAAATCTAAAACCCAGAGAACTGAGCTTGCATACTGGGTACTCCCTCTACAATGATTATAATCAAAGATTTGATCTCTTTTTTTCTCTAAAGTGAAGTTGAAGCTTTTTTTGAATTTTGAGAAGGGAAGCTATCTTTGAAATTCTAGGAGTTTATGCGGAAAAACTTTATTTTTCCTAAGGGACTCGGGTAGGACAAGAAACTCCAGTGGGAATTAGTGAAAGCTTTTACAAATGTTAATAGAAACACTGGCATGTTTTGTATGAAGAATATTGTGTAAGGCACTGGGGAAGATTCACTGGTACATACTTCAGTGAAACGGGGGGGGGGGGGGGAAGATAGACAAAGAACTTTTGCTTCAAACTTCAAAAACTGATATATTGGGTAAATGTGCCCAATAAGATGTGGGTGGTATGAATTTGACAAATATTATAAAAAAAGAACTGCATGTGAAACTGCTCATTTTCATTACATGCAATTCGGTTCATTAGGTATGCCCAGTTGCTCTATGTTTACTTCTGAAGCACTTTGTTTTCTTCTGCGCATTCCTTTCCATTTTCTTTTTTGTATCACTCTTCCCCACTCTTCCCTGGTCAAGTCCTCCACGAGTTTCATTCTTCATCTTGCACGAATTATCATTGATGGTTGGTCCTCTAAGGTTTCTCTGAAATCAGAATTCACATGGCATCCTCCAAATGATAGGCACCCCTCGATTGACAATTCTTCACTACAACAAAACATGTCATTAGAATTAATTTGAATTTAGATACAAAATATGCATCTAAAGATTGGGAACTGGCTGGGAAAAAAAGGCAAATTGGTATTTAAAACTAACGTGTAAGGTTGCACAAAAACAAACGATTGGTATGAAATGATCATAGGAACCTGGGTTCGTATATGGAAGACCATATCTGGGGCTACTGGGAGAGTTTAACATTAATGGTCACATGGTCACAAAAGGAAACTCGGGCCATCTAGATCCTCCTCCTTTCTAGAGCTACCATTACCACTGTTCTCTTCCCTTACATCCCTCAACACATGCTGCTGAGACCACTACAAATTTATGATACATAATCTCACTAGGGTATTTACTTCTACTAGGCAAACCTTTTCATCTCTTCAAACCTCCCATGGCTCCCCTTACTGATGTTTGCAGAGAGGAAGAAATTGAGTCCATAAAGGAAACATCAAAAACAACATCCTATAGGCCAGGATAAGGAGTTTAGAGGTGAATGTTAGGGGAGTAGAATGAGTTCACAAGGTCACCTGCTGAAAATGAAAGGAATAGAGTTAGGGCCTTCAGGAGTAACAAGAATATCCAACATGACAGTCATGAGGAGATTAGGAACTGAGTTGATGTTAGCATAAACTTCCAGAAGCAGAACATGAACACAGGAAATACATATGGTTTCTTTGTGTGTGTGTGTGGGGGGGGCCTTCCCTAAAGGTACAACCACAGAGAAGTCAAGAGCACAACGGCTCTTCGTTGTCAGAAACTTTATCAGAAGTAAAGAAGGGCTGTTCAAGCCACTCACTACCTGTGAAAGTTATTTAAAATTGTCAGTCCTAGTAACTGATAAGAAAGATTAAAGCCCAAAGATCACATTAGATGTTGCTAAAGTGGCTGAACACACTGTTTCCACAGCACTGGCAGCTGCTGCAAGGGATACCTGCATTACCACTGCAGTATCACCACGTACAAAGTTACATGGTGCATTAGAAGCAAACAAGTTAAAGAAATTACAAAATAGGTGCAAAGGGATGAAAAAGAATGTTTTAATTACCTACTGGAAAATGCTTACTGTAGTTAATCGCCACTCCTAATTAAGCTTTCCTAAACAGACCTAGAGCCACAGGAATCCCAATTCTCTATGAACGGTGACATGCGGCAGTGATGCAATTTTTAAAGAATAGAGCTAGAATACTCCTATTTAATCCCACTTATTATTTAAGGAAGGAAGAATAGGAGAAAAGGAAAAAGACAGAAAAGAAACTTTTGCCCTTGTATAGGGATGGCTTACTTGACCCCAACTTATGGGGATTCTGACTAGCTTAACTACAGCTACTGCTCATAGGTGCAGAGCAAGGAGAGACCATAGCACCATTTTACAAACGCGGCCAGAGAGACTGAGTGACCTATCATATAGTGACCAAGGTGATATAGGTAGTACAGAGCAGAGCCAATTAAAAATCAGGTCTTATGACTCCCAAGCTGTACATTCTTTATACTTAACTAGTCTATGAATGCCCCTCTTCACAGATGTGAAGAGGTTAAATCACTACTAACTTAACTACTATATCTCAGAAATGGACCACTCTGAAAATATCCCTAAAGCTTCACCTGCTTGGGAAATATTCTTGAGGCATATCTGAAAGGACATTATTAAGTTCAAGGCTACACAGACAGCACACACACACACACACACACACACACACACACACACCCTCCAAGGTAATGGTAATATCTAATACATCCAATGCTAATAAGCTGGCCCCAGAGCAGATTTCTTTTTAGTTAAAATGAAGGCTTTTAACCCCACCAAACAAAATGCTAGAAAGTCAAAAATAACAAGAAGCAAAGATCAATGAGGGAGTATAAAAGACCAGAGATTGGGATGGTTAGTCCACAGGGTCTCTATATCTACAACCCTTTGTATGCTATGCTGCAGTTATGTCCAAGGCCAGAAAGACATACTAGTAAACTACCTCTAGTTAACCAGAACAAGCCAAGGTAGGGATTTCAACAACCCCCAAAATAGCCATGTTTCAGCCTCATCAAGATGATGACTAAAGACACAAAAGTGTGTGTGTGTGTGTGTGTGTGTGTGTGTGTGTGTGTGTGTGTGTGTGTGTGAGAAAAGCATTTTCATCTGTGTTAAGGATGGGTGGGGGATCACTCACCTGTTGCCCAGGCCCAATGTGAGAGCCTGACCTCACTAATGTAACCAAAGAGCTTTTTAAGTACACAATTCACCTCAAACACAAGGCAGAGGAAAAAGAAAAGAACACAAGAGTGCTACTGTCCCGCCACTTCTCCCCCCCCAGAGATTTTCTGGGCCCTTGTCTCCTCCACACATGATGTTCATGATTAGGAAACTGGTCAGCCTCAATGAAATTTAGCTAAGTAAACTTCTAAAGCTGCACAGCTCAAGCAGGAGCACTCAGCCAGCTTGCTGTCATTAACTGCTTGCCTATTTATTAAATGCTGTTTGATTATTTAAGAAAAACATATGACATAACAAATCTTACAGGGATCTTACAGTAAAGCTAGAAAGGGTCTTAGTTTTTAAATCAATAACAAGGCAAAGATGAGTAAAACATGCTAAATAGCACTTATAAATTATATTTCATAAATTTGTATGTTTATATTATAACACTTCTTGATAACAGGAAACATACTTGATTTAAGGAAATAGTAAATGCTATGCATGTCAGTCAGGATCATTTAAATTTCATTAAAACTCTTTCTTCCAACTCCCATCACTTTAATTGCCTTATAATTTACTTTTAAAATGTTTCCTGTGAAGGCAGGTACCAAGCTCAACTACTCAACTGTCGTGGAATACACTCCTTTAACATACTAGAATTATCATCACGTACAGTGGGCATTAGACCTGGATCTTAGATTGAACTCCAACAGAAAGAGTTTATCAAATTAAGTTGACAATTAAATCCCTCTCAGGTTTGAAATATCCTGACAAAGACCATGATGAGGGATATGGAAGGCACAATAAAGAAGGCATTTAAAAATATGTACATATAAGTGTTTCATGCACAAATTTACATTCCATATTTTAGAAAAGAAGTTATTAACACTGAAATCTTCCCAAAATCCATACCAAAAGAACCGACCAGGTTTAGGAGAACAGTTGCAAACTCATTATGTTTGCATTCCACCCTTAACTTTTTTTTTTTAAGGCAACTGGGGTTAAGTGACTTGCCTAGGGTCACACAGCTAGTGTCAAGTGTTTGGTCTGAGGCAGGATTTGAACTCCAGTCCTCCTGACTTTAGGGCCAGGGCTCTTTCCACTGTACCACCTAGCTGCCCCTTGCATTTTACCCTTAGCAAGAAATGTAAATTGAATGTCATCAGCAAAAGGTGGAAAGTCTACTCTAAAATAATCACCCAGCTCACCAATTACATGCAGGCTCTACCTGTCACTTCATCACTAAAAATGAGTGTCCAGAAAACAAACAGTTCTACTCTACTTTGAATCCAGACATTTACAGCTAGTAAGTAACCCTGGGCTCTTTGACCTCCCTCAGCCTCAGTTTCCTCTTCTGTAAAATGGGGATCATAATAGCACCTTCCCTAGAATGGCTGATCAAATGATCAACAAAAGGCTTTGCAAACCTTTAAGATCTATACAAATACTACATATACCATATAAATAAATATATAAATGCATACACTGCATTCAATTCTGGGCACGCTAGGAGAGTAAAGGAATGGACCTGAAACCATATTATGTGAGGAACCTGAAATAACTAGGATATTTGGCCTAAAGAAAATTAAGAATGAAAGAGGGAATATACGCAAAAGATAAAACTTTTTTTTCCTCTAAAATTCTGGACAGAAGAATTGGAACTAATAGGAAGAAAATGCTCCTGTGTAAAAACTGAATTGGCTGTTCTATTAGATTGGGAGCTCCCCATCACTGATGACAGGAATATCAGAGAGGACTTAATAAACGTCCCAGATAAATCATTCCCCAGCCATATAGGCCTGTGAAAACAAGTGCTGATCTGAACAGACAGGATCCAGGCAGCCCTCTGGAGGTTGCTCTCTTAGGCTAGTTGACAAATCCTATTTGTACTGGTAGCTACTTCTGTGTCTGTTCTATCTCCTCTACTAGATTATAAACTCTTTTACAACACAATTTATCATTTGGGGATATTTTTTTCTCCCCACCCTGAGTTTCCTAAACAAAGGAGGTGCTCAATAAATGTTTGCCAAGGAACGAATGCCAAGTCATCGTTCAGGAACACAAGTCCCAGTGATAACACTGGGAAAAAAGGATCTCCTTTTTGAAGACACATTTTTAATCACACACAGCAAGGACATACTGTAAGGAACATCAAGGGCAGCCTGGATTCAACCTTGCTTTTTTCAGGGGAAGAAAACTTCATACAGGTTTGTTTTGAAACTAATGGCTAACTGAACAAGTTCAAGTTGCCCATGCAAAATTATGACTTATCACTAAGTAGAAACTGGATGGCTGCAGGGATTTTTAAAGATTCCCCACACTGATTGAGGAGAATGAATCCCACCATAATTCTATATTGATTCACAGCTCCCTAAACACAGACTGTGCCAAAAAGTAGAAAATCCCCCAAATCAAGAGAGAGAAATGAATCTTCCTTCTTTGGAGAAGTAGGGAAGTGCGCTATATATATAGCACACACACACACACGTGTGTGTGTGTGTGTGTGTGTGTGTGTGTGTGTGTGTGTGTGTATGTGTATTTTGTGTTACAAGCTGTTCTCTGGTAACATGAAGAAATATTGGAAAGGTAAAGGGAATGTTTTCACTAAAGAAAAATCCAAATTAGACTTAAAATTTGAGACCTAAAGTCATCTAAATGTCCCAAACAGCATTGTTCTCAAAAAGAAGAAATGCCAACTTATTAATAACAAAATGTACAAGTTATTCAATATCTATTATTAACATAAATATATTAAGAGAAATGCAAATTAAAGCTTGGGTTTTTTTTTTTGCCATCAGAC